GATCGAGAGTGACTGGCCATGAACACAGAGTGATGGCAAAGGCAGCGGTATCAGGCTTCCACGGTGTCCAAAAATACCAGAGACACAGGAGGCCTGGAAGTCAGGAAGAGTCTGAGGGAGGAGAGGCCCCCCAGTCACTGAAGAAGAAAAACCCAGCCAACTCTCTGCCAAACAGCAGGGTGAGACAAAAGCCGCAGGAGGACAGTTAATTCCTTGATAGATGTTTTAAGAACATCTGTAAACGGCCTCTTGTTTGTGAAGGGTCTGGAACAGGCCCAAAACCCACAAAGTCACTAGATCTTGAAGCAGGGGAATTCCACACTAACGAAAAAGCCTTATTCAAACATAAACGTGCTCTCCCAAAACTCAGTTCTAATTACTTTTTAAGACAGGTTTTCAAAATATTTGTTTAACTTTATACTGTTTATATAAAATTAGTAATAGTTAACAGACTTTCAACACTGCACTTCTTAAAATCCACACTGACAGCTCAGCTGGCCTTTAATGAGCTTCTAACCCATCTACTGTGGACACGTATGAGCCAACACCTTCAAATACGACAGCCTTGTCAGCCCTGGCCCCTTCAGGTCTCCTAACAAACGCTGCTCCTACAGCACGCGGCTGCAGTGGTGGCATGCGAGCAAGCGCAGGTGTGTCTGTGCTGACAAAGGACATGGCAGATGAAACAAATAGGTCACACACCAGTTCACACACATGACCACCTGCTTTTTTAAAAGCAAACAAGGCGTGGGGGCGTGGCTGGAGGCCCAGGGTTGGGTCCCCAGCACTGTAAAGCAAGTGAAAGAAAAGTAAACAGAGCTCCACCTGACATGCCCACAGCAACAACCTGGCTTGGGGCAGCACTGGCCACAGACCTGTATCATCGCACAAAAGAGCAACAGAACCATCCCTCTTGTTTGGCTTCACCAAGGTCTGATCTAGTAATCAGCAAGTTCCAGAAATGATTCCTACATTTAAATAACTTCTATTATAGAATACTGTTAAGTTTTCTGGTTTGTTTGGTTTTTTGTTTGTCTCTCTCTCTTTTTTTTTTTTTTTTTTTTTTTGAGACAGCATCTCTCATATAACTCTGGATGGCCTGGAACTCACTCTGTAGACCAGACCTGCCTCAAACTCAGAGATCTGACTGCCTCTTCCTCCCAAGTGCTGGGGTTAAAAGCCCATAGCACTACACCAGGCCAATTTTCCTATTTTACTAGCTCTTGTTATTATCATTAGAGCCAAGGTTTCCAGCATCTACCAGAAATTTGGAACAGATCCCTCAAAGACATAAGGCATAACTGTACCACATTGTACACAGACTCCAGAAAACTTAGAAAGAACAGGACATCCCAAGAAATTAGGGAATGACAATCATTAGGCCTCCTGTAATTTCTCTAGGTGGTGGATACATGACTTTAAAAAACAATCGAAACTCCTCACTTTCACTCAGCCTTCATGCATGGTCTAACCTTCACACGCAAAAATTACCAGTAATTTTCCTAAGCCAACCTGTATAACCTTAGGAACTACTGTGCCAGGTCTGTAATACCAACAACTCAGTAAGCTAAGAAAAATGGTTCTAAAGTTCAAGGCCTTCCTGGGCCACAAGAGTGAGTCTAAGACCAGCCCGGTGAACTTAGCAAAACCGTGTCTCAAAAATAAAAATGAAAAGGGCTTAGGATTAGGTGACCGAGTGTTTTGATAGCATGCATGGGTTCTGGGTATGCAGGGGGCGGGGGGGGGGGGGGAACAGCACCAATATGCTATAAGCACAGACACATAAACAAACGCTGCCTTGCTCAGAGCTCATACCCGATCCCATAGCCAAACCCCTTTTCCTACACTCTTCTCCAGAGAACTTCTCAACCCACAAAATCCAACCTGAAACACTATAGCTAGCTGAAACTTTTGTCCACTAATGAGAAACTGATGACAGAGTGGAGCTTCTATACATGAAGCTAACTTCACTTTCTTGTACATCTAAGGTGGAAAGAAGAAAGTTAAAGAGACTGACTCTGGACCAGAGGATACTCTAGACTCAGGGTCCCTCTGTTTCTCTTTCCAAGTAACATGCCTGAGGGACTCTGCTGGAGAAGGCTCAAATTGGTCATCTCCAAAGAGCCAATCATTTGCTCTCCGTATGACAGGCTCCTTTTTCTCAGCGAGGTTCTAAGAGTATCCCCTGATCTGGGTAATTTCAGGTCTTGTAAGGAGGTCACATAGCCCTCAAGGCAGATTATAGGCCAGACCCTTTCCTGATAAGGAAACTGCTCTAACAATCATTTAGGAATTCCTAGAAATACCCCACCCTGCTAAGAATCTTAGTCCAGCAGTGACCTTCAATTGTACTTGAAGATCCCAACCCCCCCATAATTAAGTACTGTATTTTCCTTCTTGTGATAGGACCATTTTCGTATGCCTGGCCTAATGCCAGCAAATCAAACACATTCACCCTCGAAATCCCTCCCTCTGCCAAGGGTTTATATTACTTTTCATTTCACATGATGAAAGGTATGATATTTCTTACTTCAAGATGGTCGGAGATTCATCATTCATCCTCCACCGGGTAGCATCTCATGGGCCTGCCCTCCAGCCCACTGGGCCTGCGCCTCCAAAGGCCTGTGTCTTGGCTGCAAGCTGACCAGACATGGGCTTTGGCACATACCTCTGCTGTGCTAGCAAAGCATCTTGACCAAGAGCTGTAATACTTTGGTATCGCCATAAGTTTCCACTGCGACCAGAGACCTCATGCTAAAAGAGCTAAACTGAAACACCCTGGCTTAGCACACTCAGGCCTAACCCTAAAGGGCTTTAGTTGCCCCTGGGAGAAACAGAACCGCTGTTTTCCATCTGAAAGCCAAGATCCAGGCCCTGCTGAAAGGAGAATAATACAGGCCTATAAGTTAAATACCACAAAATGTAGCTGGAAGAGGAGCCACATGCTCACTTTGTTGTTCCCGCAGGTCCCTGTGGTCACCTACTGCTTTGAGACCTTTTCCCTACTAGAAAAGCCACCCATTCTATTTGAGGCTAAACCATCACAATCACTGCAAATTATGATACAGATAAATATTGATAAATATACACATGTTGTTTTATTTAGCTTCCTGGTGAGCAGGTTAGCATGGTTCCTGGTTTCTAAGCCCTTTCTCTGGGTCAGGCCTTCAATATTTAGCCAGATTGCCCAAGTGGGCCAATAAAGAAATTCCCTGACTTAACTTTCCCCATGATTGGTGTTAAGACTCTCCTCCTCCCAGAAGAATCTGGGTTCATGACTTTGAACAAATAATGTACAAAGGAAAGCCAAGAAAGTTGACTAGACAGGCCAGCTGGGCTTCCACACAGACTATCAGAGTCACATATGCTGTGAACGGACATTAGGGAAAGGAGACAGTGGTATTAAGGGTGAGGTTGGGGCCTCTGGACAGGCAGCATAGGGCAGCTCACAAGAGGATAAACAAGAACTCACCATGTGCTACCAAGTACCAGAGGGACAAAATTGTGCTCAGGACCCTTCTAGACCTTGCCCAGATCTCTTCACTGACTGAATGTCTGTATGCTTCAAAAGCCCCTTTCAAGGGGCTGGAGAGATGGCTCAGCAGATAAAAGCATTTGCTGCTCTTGTAGAAGACCCACATTCAATTCCCAGCATCCACAACCGTCTACAACTCTAGCTCTAGAGAATCTGATACCTTTTTTTAACCATCACAGGGACCAGGCACACATGCTACACATGCTCCTTGAATACACATGTAACCAAAACATATAGACTCATAAAAACATGTATACTCATTAAAACAAAAACCAAAACCAAAACAAACAAACAACAACAACAACAACAACAAAAAAAAAACAGGTGTGCTGGCGTAGGCCTGTAATTCCAGCACTCAGGAAGGCAGAGGCAGGTGGATCTCTGTGAGTTCGAGAACAGCCAAGGCTACACAGAGGAACCATGTCTCAAAAAAAACATAAAGCACTCTATAAGAAACTGTAAGTGTGGGCTGGAGAGATGGCTCAGAGGTTAAGAGCACTGGCTGTTCTTCCAAAGGTCCAGAGTTCAATTCCCAGCAACCCCATGGTGGCACATAACCATCTATAGTGAGATCTGGTGCCTTCTGGCCTGCTGGCTCACATATAGGCAAAACACTGTATAAATAATAAATAAGTCGAAGGAAGGGAGGAAGGGAGAAGGGAGGGAGGGAGGGAGGGAGGGAGGGAGGGAGGGAGGGAGGGAGGGAGGAAGGAAGGAAGGAAGGAAGGAAATGTAAATGTGAGTAAAGTGTTTCAGGGAGTTCCTTCAATAATGGAGTCATATGAACTCTAACTTCTAGCTAATCAGGAGTTCAGACACTCAGACTAAAGCCTAGGCCTGAAGAGAGGCTGTCGTGGGCACAGAAACCTCAGCCTGTGGGACCTGCCCCTCTCCAGGCAGACAATGTCAGACTGTACTAGATCAAAGCACACGGATGCTGCTCTGGTAGGGAGAAGCCCCACAGCTCAGGGGACACAGACACTGTGTATGTTGTCTATGGCGTGAAAGCAAAGAGATAAGTAAGGCACTGTTTCCTCCTAAGGACACCAGCATTAAAAATCACCATCTTGGCTGGGTGGTGGTGGTGCATGCCTTTAACCACAGCACCAGGAGGGCAGGGGCTGCTAGATTTCCAAGTTTGAGGCCAGCCTGTTGTACAAGTTCCAGGATAGCCAGGGCAGCTATACAAAGAAACTCTGTCTTGAAAACAAACAAACAAAACTACCCAGAACTGCTAGTATTTGTGACTAAATCTTTTATTGGTTCTAAAGAAACACTGTCATCTCCTTTGGACCCATGTTCGCCTGGCTTCTGCCCAGAGAACAGCTGAAAGCTACAAGGCCCACTTGGGCCCAGTAAACATTTCAAAGTAGAGATTCTTAAGTCTAGTTTCCAAAAAAAGCATGCAAAAAAAAAAAAGAAAGAAAGAAAAAAGGAAGGAAAGAAATTCACACAATTAACTTACATGATCAATGCCTCCCATTCAAAAAAATTCTCTTCATTCATGGGGCCTGCAGGGAAAGACAAAAAAAAAAAAAAATCTTAATTAGAAGGCCACTTTGGCAATTAAAGAAAATCATAATGAAGTCACCCAAGCTCCTTACCTGCCACGATTCCTTCTGGAGGATTCAGGGTTAATTCTATAAAGTTAAAGAACAGAGCCATTACCAAACAGAATGTGTATTACATTGTCACTTAGCAAAGCACTTTCGTGAATCATATAAACAGCGTATACTTCTTCAAAGAGGGTGGCTCTCGGTCCCCAGATGAATGCCCAGGCCGGGAAGCAACATGGCTGTCAGCTCTTTGTAGCAGTAAAAAGTGAAAGTATAGGGAGGTGGACTACCTCCCCACAGTGCTCACACCAGTTCCTCTGACAAACACCAATCTAAAATTGGATATTTTCTAAAGAAATGCATTCCTATCACTTTAAGAGTTGGCACAGCCCTTTCTGAATGTGACAGGGCAGAAAAAATGAGGCCAAGCTCAGGTTGCAGGGAGACGGAAAACCAAATCTCCCGCTCTCTGGGTCAGCTACTGATTCTGCCACCACCCTGCACAAGCTCAGCTGCCCACACTGAGAACAACATCGGCAGGTGAGCCCACTGTGGCGTCACAGCTACTTCAGGCCAATAGCTGCTGGTGACCAGGTATCCAGCTCTGCTATCAGGCGGCATGTCAAGTCTCGGCATCATGATTTTCCTCTGTGTCACGTTCTGATCTGGGTGTGCCCTACGAGTCAAGCGCTGAAAGCGGGGGTGGGGGGGCACTGGGGTGGGGGCATGAGGTAGCGTGTGCCACACTGGTGTATGACAGCACAGTGGTTACAGAAGCAGCTAACTGCTCTCTGGCCTCCCGATTCAGGTGACATCACACCCTCATGTACAACACCGCCCCCAGTCACCACAATGTGGGCCACCCGCTGCCCTCCCTGAGATCCTGATCTTGTACTTGAAATCCAAACAAGTGAGCTTAAAGCAACAACAACAACAACAAAACTCGAACACAGAGTGTCACTATGTAAAACCTGGAAAGGCCAGGAATTCAGTATGTCCCAAGCTGGCCTCAAACTTGCAGCTACCATCTGGCCACTGCCTCACAAGTGTGCAAGTGGCGCTTCGCTTAACCAAGTTACTCCGATTGGGTATTGCTGTGGTAAAGAGCAACAGATCAATACAACATGTTGGAACAAAGATCAAGCCTGTGGACACACTTGGAAAACAGTGAATGAAATGTAAAGGCAGCAGCCACAGTAGGACAAGTCAAAACACAGTAAGAAAATCGGGATAGAATGCACTGTCATCTGAGTGGCAGGAAAATCAAGAAGACCAGACAGCAAGTACACAGGAGAACTGCAAAGCCAAATGATGATCTCTGAAAAAGCAGAAATTAATATATAGGATTAAGGCAAAAGGAACAGACACAAAGAAACAGATCATCCAAAGAAAGCTAAAGCCAGTCAAGCTGTTACCAAGTCAACATCCACATGTGAACTCCTCTCCACACATGTGAACTCCTCTCCACACATGTGTGGGTAGAGTGTAAGTTTTGCACAGTGGAAACTTAAGAGCAAACACATGGACACAGAGAGACACGGACACCCTAACAGGAACACAGCTAGATGAGTGAGGTTGTCTTTTGTTTTCACAAAACAAACCTTAATTCTACTTTGACAAACTTCAAGGCAGGGAGTACTTCTCACTGTCCACTCTGTTGCCCTTTGCAGTATATTAGGCCTAAAAAGCTGTGGAAAGGGGAAGTGGAAGGAAAAGAAAGGGGGAGGGAGAAAAAAGGGGAAGGGAGAAGGAGAGGAAGGTCCAATATGGAAAGCAGCATTCAGCACACAGGGAACCATAGCAGACCCTGCTGAAACTTTCTGTTAGAGCTTTACACAACCCAAAAGGGACTGGATGTACTCCAGCATGAAGCTCAAAGTCCATGCAGACTTTGGTATGTCCTCAACTTTGTTCACATAACAGCAAGCAAACCATTACCAAGGTTTGAACACCTTGTTTCCCAGAGGCTGCACTGCAGGAAAACGTGCAAACATAAACGTAACACCAGACCATCTTGGAGGCCTCTAGCTATCACCCCAGAAAAGGAAAAGAGAGATAGTTTGAAAGACACATAACAGACAGCATCACTGAGGAAAGGTTGAGCAGTGACAGCTCTAGCTGCTAAGCCTGACGACCTGAGTTTGATGCCCAGGACACAAACGATAGAACGAGAGAACTGATTGCCACAAGTTGTCATCTGATATCCGCATGAATGTTATGGTATGTGCACATCCACACTGCCAACACACACAACAAGTAAATGGAATTAAAAACACTGGTGAGGGAAAGTGAACAAGGGGCTAGAGAGATGGCTCTGTGATTAAGAGAGCTCACTGCTCTTACAGGGACCCAGGTTTGGTTCCCAGCACCCACAGTGCAGCTAACAACTGTCTGTAACTCCAGTTTCAGAGGATTCAGGACCCTCTTTTAGCCTCTGTGGGCACTGTAGTCATGTGGTTACATGCGGGCAAACACTCATAAAATTACAGGAAATTTTTTTAAGTGAACAAGAGAGGGAGATACTAAGAAAGCCAGACCAGAAGAAGGGACAGAGTGCTGGTACAGTCAGAGGTCTACAAGCTTCAAGGAGGAGGAGGCTGACATGAAGTATCAAGAAGGCCTGGGAGCACACCCTGGCAACACACCTCTACACTCTCCCTCTGTAGCTCTGTACAGCAAGACTAGGATGAGTAACAGAACCAGCTTGCCAAGCCTTTATAAGAAAACACATGACAGAGGACGCAGACAGATTATGAGCAGCTAAGATGTTGGGGTGAGGAAGACGCACATGCTGTGAAGCAAAGGGTACCCAAGCTGTAGGAGTGAGTCCCTGGAACACCCTGCAACACTGTTTCCTGAAGCTGGAGACCAGCATCACTAGAGAACCAAGCTCTGCGAAGCTACCACCATCCCACCCGCTTCGCTATCCAGCAGCGACACCTGCTGGTCAATGATGAACTGCAGGCAACGGGCTTCAAGACTATGTGCCCAGGTAACACACATACAAAACCACACAGGTGGGGGCTGGAGAGATGGCTCAGTGGCTAAGAGCACTGACTGTTCTTCCAGAGGACCTGGAGGAACACCCACATGGAAGCTCACAACTGCCTATAACTCAAGGGTCCAACACCTTCACACAGAATACATGCAAGCAAAACATCAATGCACACAAAATAAAAATAATTAAAGAACGTGCACACAGTTCCACATTTACTGATAAACACAAGTTCCAGGACAGAAACAATTACTAACCATATCAGAAAATTTCAAAGTCCATTCCCTGAAAATGGTAATTTGTTTAAAAAAAAAAACAAAACTATTTTTCTTAAAAGTAGCTTAGCCACTGCACAAAATATAAATATGTTCTCAAGTTTGGTGATTCCATTTGTAGAGCCCAATCACAATGGTAAAAACAAGAAAAGATCTACAACGGGGGCCCAGGGGTCACACCAGCATGTCCTATACGCTGCACCAGAAGCTCCAGCACATGCTGAATGGAGACAGCCAGGTAGAGAAGCAACTGCAGCGCATGTGAGGTCACTGGGCCGGGGCCTAACCCAGCCTGCTGTGTGTCCTTGCTGAGGCCTCAGGTAAACAGGTCCTTCCCACACTTGGTCTCCATAGCAAGTTCCAAGTAAGCCAGGCTACACAGAACACCCTATCTTGAAAACAAAAAAGAAAGGAAGGGGGCTCAGGGGAGATAGACCTTAGGGAAACAAACAATACAAATTAAAAATAAACACTCTTTACACTTTATCAAAAAAGACAGCCAGTCAGCTTGACATGACTCAACACTGTAAGGCATGAGAGAATTCCAAGTTAAACGACGAACACCAGCTGAACAGATGGAGGAAAAGTTTAAAGAAACAGCAGAGCAGTGGAGCACTGGGCTGGCGAGAATAGACGGTGACATCACCAAACAACTGGGTGGTTCCTTTTAAAACTAAACAGGCATTTATGCAAGAGAAATGAAGGCGCATTTCCACAGAGACAGGCACACAATGTTCATAGCAGGTCTTGCTGTCACAGCTAAAAGTTGGCAACATCCCAAGGATCATCAGGAAATGTTCAAACAGTGCAGCCTGGCCCAGCAATGGGCTATCACTCTACATTAAGAAGGGACACTGCGGAGCTGGAGAGATGATGACTCAGTAGTTAAGAGAACGGGCTGCTCTTCCAGAGGACCCTTGTTCAGTTCCCAACAATCACATGGCAGTAACAACTGCCTGCAACTCCAGTTCCAGGAGAGCCAGCTCCCGCGTTTGGCTTCTGCAGACACCTGGCGCGCACACAGTACATAGACATACATACAGGCAAAGACCATACGCACAGATTAAAAATTAAACCTTTAAAAAAGAGAGACACTGTCACTGCTCCCTTATCTATAGATATTCAGGGTCTACAGAGGTCTAATATCAAAATTTTGGTGGAAATTACTAGAAATAAACAATCCATACACCTTAAATGGCTAGTCAGGGAACTATAGTGAAATCTTTCTCCACCCTGCCAGGACTTTCATACAACAGCCATAACTACCTGTTCCACTTGACGCTGTAAAGGGGACACTGACCAGTCCCAGCAGCAAGAACAAATCTCCACACAATGGTGCTGAATGCAGAGAAGCCTGATAAAGGATATATCAAGACTGCAGTGAGTGAAAGCAAATGGGTACTGCCTAGGATGGGTCAGGGAGGGAAAGAGACAGATGGAGCCCAGAGCAGGCAATTCTGAGGATGCTGTTATTCACAGGCTGGATGTGACACACCTGATCATTCATGATCCTACAGTCAAGCAAAAAAAAAAGACAACCCTTGTAAAGCCTGCCAGAGACAAGACACTTCACAAAAAAAGGCAGAGACGACCTGTGTACATGAAAGGATGCAGCCCCCTCACGCACAGTCATTGACACACCCACAGGATACCGTCTAACACCTTCCAAACAAGATGAAGCCAAAAAGCTAGCGTCTAGGTGAAAAGTCTAAGCAGCGGGACACTCAGCTTGGGGGACCATGACACACACTAGGAAAGCCACAGTGAAAGCCAGTTTCGCCGATCTGGTAGAGATAGCTGGTCATTCAACTGCTCCGTGAGCCTGAATCTTGTCCGAATGCACACCTGCACAGAGATTTTCAAAAGTGCTCACAGCTATGGTACCTACAAACAAAACAAACTGCAAATAACTTCAGTGTCTACCAGAAGAGGACAGATGGATTCTGGCTCATTTATAAAAAGAAATCCACTCAGCAAGGAGAGTAAACTGTAGTCACAAGCTTCAAGGGAAAGGAGACAGACACAAGGCTGAGCAAGAGGTTCCAGGGCAAAAGCGAGAAAAACAAAAAACACGTACTGCAGCCGGGTGGTGGTTCATGTCTTTAATCCCAGCACTCGGGAGGAAGGGGTAGGCTGATCTTTTGAGTTTGAGGCCAGCGTGGTCTAGAAAGCGAGTCCCAGGACAGCCAGGGCTACAAAGAGAAACCCTGTCTTGAAAAACCAAAATAATAATAATAATAATAATAATAATAATAATAATAATAATAATAATAATAATAATTTCCATTAAGCTCACAGACAGACCAAAGAAAGCCATACACTGTATAGAGATAAAATGACAAATATGAAGAAAAGACAAAGAATGGTAACGCAGGGTGTTGGTAATTCCTGGCGGTGCTGGGCAGAAGATGAAGAATCTAACTCACTCTTCAGGCTCTATTTTGCAAGAAAGGTATGATGGACAGCACGTTACTGAGCTGGCCAGTACTGTAGCAGATGTCTGGGACAGTCACCTTACAGAGAGGAGAGTTTCGGCTCACAGTTTAGGAATGCCCGTGTATGTCTAAACACTTGCTTATGAAAAGGCAAGCACATCACAGCAAGGAGCACCAGGCCTGGCGAGCAAACAGAGTGGAGTCACTGAGAGCAGATCCTTAAAGGGAATAAAGGGACAACCACCCCACTCCCCACCCCCTCAAGCTGCCTTTCCGCTTTTCTTTTGTGTTGGTTTCTGTGTAAACAGCTTTGCTCTACTTCATGCCCCCACTATTATGCACTGCCTCCCATTCAAGCCAAGGGATGACTCAGTGGGTAGACACTTGCTGCCAAGTTTGCCAACCTGAGCTCTCGACTGCTGGGACCCACACTGTAGAAGGGGAGAATGAATTCCTGCCGGCGGCTATCACTTCTGCACACCCACACATACACATAAATACACACACACAAAAAAAACCACTTTAAAACAATCTCAATCTACCCCGAATGGGAACACTGTCTGGAAAGGGGTCTCAGCAGATGTACCAGAGTTATTAAAGAACATATTGACTCAGTTGGGCCCAAAACCAATGACTGCTGACTTTTCAAGTGAAAAATCTGAAGACCAACACACCCAGGAAAAGATGGCCACAGGAAGATACAGGAGAGATAGGAGTTACACTAACACAGCCCAGGAACACAAGGTAACAGCCAGCACTCGAGAAACCAAGAGCCAGGAAAGACTTTCTCCAGAACCCATCCTGCCACGGACCACAGCCCAGCCACAAGTCAACTTTTAATTCTACTTCCAAACTGTGAGATGGTTCTGTTATGGTAAGCTATTCAGGTGGTGACGTTACAGCAGCCCTGGGCCACTGCTCCCTGAGTCTGTCACAGTCAGAAGAAAAGCTGTGGGGCTATCTAAGAAGAACAAAGAGCACATACTGCTTTTGCAGAGGAACCAAGTTCGAGTTCCAGCACTCAGAAGAAAAAGAGGCAGGCTTTATTTACTATGAGTGCCTGCAACCCCAGAGCTGGAGGCAAGGTTGGAAACAGGAGCATTTCTGAGGCTGACTGGACAGCCATCCTGGCTGAAGTGATGAGCCCCAGGGTCAGTGAGAGACCCTGCCTCAAAGGAAAAGGGTGGGAAGTGACAGCAGGACATCCAATATCCTCCTCTGCATGCTCAGGAAAGTGCACTTGCACAAGAGGGACGAGCATGAGAGCTGTCTAAGGTCTTTTCTTGGCTCTTTTTGTTATATGACACAGGCGAACCGTACTGTATCTGTTATTCATCTGCCTGTGAAATCAGGGAGCCTCAAAAACAACAGGGCTGAAGAGATGACTCAAGAGTGTTCCTCTGGCAGAAGATCGGGGTTCTAGTCCAGCACCCATATGGAGGCTCACAACCGGCTGTAACTCCAGCCCCAGGGGATCCGATGTCATCGTCTGACATCCACTGGCACCAGACTCACGTGGCACACTCACCTACATGCAAGAAAAACACTCAAACACACAGAGCAATAAAACTTTAAAGTTTAAACAATAAACCACACCCCAGGTCCTTTCACCTTTAAACCTACAGTACAATGAGGTATGTATCAACACTGATGCTCTAGACAGACCGTGGACAAATCTCCTGATGAGTCTACCCGACACTGGAATACACTGTGTTAAACGCAGAGGACAGGCCAGAAGCTACGCCATGAAAGAAGAAAAGCACTCGGTGGGCCTTTATCAAATTACAAGGGCGCGGAAAAAAAAAAGCCTCACTCCTCATGCTTGGTACTGCTGGATGGATTTCCTGTCACTGTTGCCACAGTCTTAAACAATATCCATTGATGACCTCATGGTTTCCATGTGTCAGTGGGCCTTGGCCCAGCCAGGACAGCTGGGTCGTTTCGAGGCTGCAACCCAAGTCCATTCAAGTTGCTGGAACAACTCAGTTCCATATGGCTGTCAGCCTGGGGCCACCCTTAGCTCTCTGTCCTTTTTTCCTCTTCAAAGCAGCCACAGCGGGTGAAGCCCTCTCCTCTGTGAACACCCTAACCTCCTCTCCAGCCTTCCCGTTTCAGGGTCCACTCTTTTAGCCAAATTCTTTTCCTCTCTCAAATTTAGATGATCCATGACCTTAACCGCAAACTAAGTGACAATATGGTTGAGGCTTTCGTGAGGACAGAAGATGGGAAAGAATTTTTTTTTTTTTCTAATGTGAACACCCTTGGGAAATTAAGTTCAACAAGCAAAGCCGGGTAGAAGCAGCTGGAACTTAAACCCTGTCCCAGAGCCTAACTGCTGTTCCTCAGCACCCCCTCTTTTTTTGTAAAAAAGATGATGTTTCTCAGTTTTGAAGCAGGGCTGAAAACGTAAAACAGAAACACAAATCCGGATGAAAAGGAAATGGTCTTCACAAGTCCCCGGGCCCGTGTCCGAGAAACTTTATTTTGCTCCAGTCGTTATTTTGTTTACTTTCAACTTTCCCCCCAAACTCCCCTCTACCTCATAACCACCTCACAGGGGCTACCCGGGACTCGCTGAGCACGTCCCGAGGCATCAACTGTCGGGAGGGCAGATGAGCAGCCCACAGGGGGTTCAGGGACCAGGCCCCGGGTCGCAGGGCCACGGCCGCGCTGGCCGATCCCGCGTCTGCGCCCAGGGCCTGCCCGCTGCAGCCTACAGGGGCGCGTAGCCAACGACCAGAGCCTGGCCCTCCCGCACGCGGGCTCGCTCAGCCCGGCCCAAGAGGCCCGCACCGCGCCGCACGCACAGCGCGGCATGCTGGCCCGGGCCGGCGGACGCCGCGGGCAGCCGCAGGGGAGAGGACGGGACCGCGGACGCCGCCTGACTCACGCTTATACTCGGCCATCAGCCTCTTCAACGCCGTCCCCGCCATACCGCGGAACCTGCGTTCAGCAGCTTCGCCACATCCGCGCCGGTCCCGCCCGCCTGCTCCGGCGCCCGCAGCTGCTTCCGGGTCGCCGCCCCCGGCCAGAAGTGCATCCGGGGCGCGCGCGGGTGACGTGGCGCGCCGACGTGTGTAGGCAGAGGCGGCCCGATGCGGTTCGGCTGGTGCTCGCGGTTTCAGAGCTCGCGTTTTCTGGAACGGAGCTCGGGTTTCAGAACCTCCTCGGCCGGCCGCTTCCTGCGCGGTGGGGCTGCGTCCGAAGGCGCGCGGCTGGCCCTGTGGTCCTTCGTTAGTCCTGAAAAACCCTGCAAGGGTTAGGACGTGTCCCATGGATTGTTACCGAATGAGACTCCGTTCCTTGCGCTTGGCCCGCCCCTCCTTCGTAGCTGTACAAGTCGTAGCGGTGAAACTTGAGGACATCACGATCCACTCTCTCCCCTTCCCCCTTGTAGCTCTGACTGTCCTAGAACTCACTGTGTAGACCTAGCTGACCTCGAACTCACAGATATCCCGCCTGCCTCTGCCTCCCAGGTGCTGGGATAAGAGGCGTGCGCCACCACCACACCCGGCTTTGAGACCACCGTGATTTGAAGAATGACACTTTGAACAAGAGAAAGTACCTCGGTTTCGCAAGGAAGAATGTAGTCCCGAAGTCCACATCCTGGACCGTATCCCCGCCCTCTCTGTAGCCAAAACAAACTGCTGTTCTTCCTGGTCATATGAATATACCAGGTAGATGCTAGGCATCTTGGTTGCATAGCCGCTTTCTCCTGAGGGGACAGGAAGGGCTACAGCTCAAAACACAGAGGGGCTTCCCAGGATTAGGTACTTCGGGACAAAGAGAAAGTTCCCGCTGGAACAGCGAGTACAGATAAGTAGCTGTATCTTCACCCATCTACTGAGCTCAGAGATTTGGGGCATTAGGCTCATGTCATTTAACATTTTAAAAAAGAATACCGAGGGCTCTGTTACTCGGCATAGCATAAACAATTATACAACCTTACCGCTTCCCTGCAAAACAAAAACTGGCCTTCGGGACACCCTGTTCCTCCTGCTGTTTGTTGGGTGTGGGAGGAGCACAAGCTATTCTAACACGTAAATGGCATGGCAGCCATGATTCCCTGAGACTAAATGTGAGATGTGCCCTAAACAGCCCATATGTTTCAACAATGGTCACAGTTTTGGAAGACTATGAAACCTTTAACAGATGAAGCCTGGCAAGTGGGTCCCTTGGGGGGTCGGGGCGTATCTTGACATTTAGAACTCACCTTGGTTTCGGTTTCTGCTTCCGGTTCAGCTAAGGTGTGAGCAAGCAGCTGTGCGCTGCTGACTTGGAGCCACCTGCCATTCTGTTTCCCCACCATCAAAGACTGTCTCCTCTCAAACCCTGAGACAATAAATTTCCCTTAAGTTGCTTCTTGTCAGGTGTTGACCACAGCAGCAGCAAGAAAACAAAAGAGAAAAGCAGCACCACCAAGTGGTGCCATGGCTGGGACTGACCTGACCGTGTGGGTCCGTTCTTCCGAGCTCGTTTTATGGAGAGAAGTAGAGGAGTCCAGAGCTGTGAGCTGTGACTAGCTCTAGAATGCTGTAAGCAGAGCTAAGGGGACCATTCTGGCCGGAATCCAGACCAAAGCGCCGATAAAAGGCAGGCAGTAAAGACTGCGCACAAAGCTTTATTTCAGAGGGGAACAAGGACTGGATCAGAAACTGTGCTGGCAATCATTCATGTCACGTTCTGTGACAGGAACACTGCAGTTTCCTCCATTTTTTTATTTTTAAAATTCTTTTTGGGTGGGGGCTTCAAGACAGGGTTTCTCTATATAGCCTTGGCTGTCCTTTGTAGACCAGGCTGGCCTTGAACTCACAGAGATCTGCCTGCCTCTGCCTCCCAGAGTGCTGGGATTACAGGCATGTGCCAATCCACCCCGCTCCATTTTGTATTCTTGCTGAGGCCATTTCTTCGTTTAACTAAAATCTGATCTTCTTTTGTCGGTTTGTTTTTGAGACACATGGTTTCTCTGTGAAGCCTTGGATGTCCTGGACTCGATTTGTAGACTAGGCTGGCCTCGAACTCGGAGATCCGCCTGCGTCTGCCTCCCTGAGTGCTGAGATTACAGGTGTGTATTACCTCGCCTGGCTGAATCCGGTCTCCTTGATGGGAAGCCCCATGGATGATTATTCAGCTCTGTTCTAGGAACCTGAGGTCAAGATGCCCCAGCTAACTTAGCTTCTATTAAAGCTTGTGCAGAACCTCCTCCAGCTAACTGCCTTTAAACTGCTTGCTTGCACAAAACTTCCCCCTGCAGTTGCTGAGATAATTGGGATGCAGTTTTTTGTCTTTAGAAACACCTTACTCTAAACCAGTGGTTCTCAACTTTCCTAATACTGCAATCCTTCTATACAGTTCTTCATATTGTGGTGAAGCCCCTCAGCCATAAAATTATCTTCATTGCTCCCTCATATCTGCAAGTATGCAACCCCTGTGAAAGGGTCATTTGACCCCCAAAGGAGTCATGTCCCACAGGTTGAGAACCAGTGCTCTAAATATTTGGTACTATACCCGAGTTCCAAATACCCTGGTATAGTCCCAACTGGCTGGAATAAAGACTTTCAATTGGCTATACACTGGATCTCAGTGGTCTTCTCTGGTGGGCAACCCATAACAATTGGAGCTATGTTTTATCTGCATCCTAGAAACTTGAGTGAGGCTGGATTTCAAAAGTAATGGGCTAACTTGTTTGGCAGAGATTTCAAGGCAGCCTAACATCCAGGCTGTGATGTGGTTATTGTTCGCTGCATTTGTCCAGAGTTACAGTGAGAACAAATAGAAAGTGGTGCAGAGAAATGTGAAAAAATGTCGTTTGTCGAGTGTGGAGAGGGCAGGGCAGATTTGGGACAAACTAGCTATAGTTGTTGAAGAAGTTTAGTGCCATTAAAGAAATGTCTGAGACTTTGCACATCTAGACCTGGAATAGGAAAGGTGCCTAATGAAATGAGAACTCCAGGGTATAAAAATGCACACTCATGTGAAAGGAGAGTGCCTGAAAAAGGACCCTCCCACGTTCTCTGCTAAAAAAAAAAAAAAAAAAAAAAAAAAAAAAAAAAAAAAAAAAAAAAAACACATAGGGAGATGTTTTCCCAACCACCAGAACAACCAGAGGTGGCTGCCAACTGTGGTCCAAGGGTGCCAGGCTTCATCTGGAGCTGGCATCCATGTTTGTGGTGGCATTCACATCTGCAAGATGTAAAAGGGAAGAAATAATAGAATTTTGTGCCAGGATTCCAGAAAGCCACTGAAACGAGGCGATGAATGGCAGTATCAGATTTCTTATATGGAGGTCCTGAGAAGCTGCTGTGTCAAGTTGAAGTGAAGGTTATCTTGTAGTGAACCCCCGGATATTAGAGATGCCAGCAAAGTGGAATGTTTTACTGAGAAATGCTGCAGGCACCAAGCATTGGCCCAACACAGAGACCACAAGCACCACAGGCAACAGAACTGTGGGGCGGGACCACCCAAAACCACTGAAGCCCAAAGGATGCCAAGACCCTCCAACACCAGACATGGAACAGCAGGATCTGGCTTCTGCCCTTTTGGGTTTCATTGGCCTAATCTTTGTCATGTTCCAGTTTCTCCCCTGTTTACTCTGTGCTGTTGTGTGTTAAAAAGTAACTTGTTGAACAAGGGCTCACCATTCAAGAGGCACCATTGTGTCTCAGAGCAGACTTCGAATTCGGCCTTTAAACAGTATGAAGTTAAGATGGGGCGGAGGGAGCACTCCCAGATGACTAGATGTGTTTTGTATTGTGAGGTAAATATGATTTTAAGAGCCAAGTAGATTATGAAGTGATATATTTGGGTGTCTAGTTGACAGGAAGTGGATTTGTTATAGCTAACTTGTCAACTGAATTCGAAATACCTAGAGCATTAGTGAAGTTCACTTTTGAGTATGCCTTAAGAGCCTTTTCCTGACAGGATTAACTGAGGCGTGGAGGGGGGAGGAACATGACACGGGACAGGAAGGACGGGACTTACCCAGAATATGGGCCACACTATTTCAAGGGCTACGGTCTAGACTAAATAAAAAGTAAAAGTGGGGGCTAAGTACCAGTGCTCATCTCTCTCTGCTTCCTGATCCATCCCCTGTGAGCAAGCAGCAGCCTCATACTCCAGTTACCTAAGTCTTCCCTGCCATGACCAAGTACTCTCAAAGCTGTGAGCCAAATTTAACTCTTCCTCCTTTAGGTAGCTTCTTCCCAGGTATGACAGATAGGACAGCATTTCGAAAGTAATAAGGCACCTGAGGTGTATCCCTATCCTTAGGAGCTCTTCTATCGCATTTTAACCAGCCCTCCCTCCATGCCATCTTAGGGACCTAGAAAATGGCTGTCTCCGTACTATGCTTTAGTCGCCACACTCCTGCTGCTGGATGAATTTTAAGTGTTTGGTGTTTCTGATCAACTGATAGACTAAAATAGTTTGGGCAATGACAACGCTGGCTTTGTCTCACCTACGGGCTCAAACCCCTCACAGCCAACTTAGCATTGGTTCATTTCAAAGTGGATTAGTAGGTCATTAACTTGACAAGGAGGAGAATCTATTCAAACAACAAAAAGACTGAGATACCCCACACTAGCACCCTGCCTCTAAATGCCACCTTGTCTTCACACCCCCAGGGGAGAAGAGCCAGGTAGTACTATGTGCAGATTCAGAGCAGCAGGCAGGCAACATGGACCAGCATGGGGCACATGCTACAGAGCGAGAGCTATCTGGACCTACACATTTCCAGCATCTGGCTTCTCTCTTTGTCCACGTCTAAGTGGCCCCACTGGACGGACAGACTGTCAACAGAGAGTTGTGACATAGGACCAGTCTCCAAATACAGTGTTTAACATAAGCCAAGAGACAGAATACCAAACTATATTTACTGTTTACAGTAGTAAAGGACAACAAATAATGTACAAACTGGTGAGTACACACAACAGAGCCAACAGTCATCCCACCCAGGCCCACGCAGCAAAACAGGAAACAAGAACATTTTCCTCAGGATTTTAAGCAAGCGAGAGATGGTAGGTCAGTGTCAGGTGACTATAAAAGGCAGAGACGGCCATCAAGCAGCAATGGATCCCTACAGAAGAATGACAGGCAGGAACTACAAACATTTAAACTGGTATAGAGCCCACAATGCAGAACTGAAGTCACCCACCGCTGCGTCACTTTAATACACATTTGTAGAGCGGCAGAGCATAATCCGTGAGAATGAGGTCACCTTTCCCTGGCTCTTTTGCAACCACACTGTAAAGCAGGTCTCTTACATAACATTGCTGTAAACTTGATACTTAACCAATTTACCCTTCTTATACAGAAACCATAATTATGTATTGGAACCAAGTACTAGAAGAAATCTGAGGCCACATTCAATTTCCAAATGAGACATGGCAATTACTTTCTTCTTCACTATAAAAATGGAAGAGAGTGGGTTTCACTGTACCAACGTTACCCATGTACCAGATACCAAGGGGGGAGGAGTCATGTGCAGGAGTACTTGGGACACAGCACTCCTCACATCTTTAAGAAGCATTGGTCTTTTCCCTTTACCATTTGCTTGACAGAGCTCAATTTTACAGTATTTCACGTTTTAATATTCTATGTCTCTACCAAATAGGTGGAATTCCGCCCCTCCCCCTCTCCGCATCCACAGGCATGCCACTGGTTAATGTGACCTCCAGCTCTCTACTCGGTTAGGACAAGTCACACCAGTGGTGACCACAGTTCTAGGGGTAGAGTCAGGCCACAGGCTGAGAGACTACATCCAGCCCCAAGTTCTGGAGGAAAAAAACATTTTAGGCATGGGAGGAGACAGAAATGAAAAAAACAAACCCCAAAACCTCACATCTCATTTGCCCGAAACCACACACTCTTGTTGGCCAAGTTACATAACACTCTCATCCCTGCAGTGTGGTCTGTAGTTCTCTCCAAGAGCATAGGAAAAGGAGAATCGCCCAGTGCCTCTGGCTTCTGCCGACTCTTCCGTGATTGGCGTGGCTGTGTGTTCACCATTCAATAGCAAATGTCAGGACAATGGTTGGGGTGGGGACGGTTCCCTGGGGAAGCTGTTCCTCCCGTCTGCTGCTGGAATACATCAATGGTGTCCTCATCTTCCATCTCCAGCTATCGAAGTTGCCAAGGCAGGCCCAGGGAGAGGGGACAGGAATGTCAGAAGTGAATACACCATGATACCATGCTCCCAAACAGCCTCCCCTACTCTAGGCACAGCCTTGGCTGGAGTGTGGCATGTGGGGGAAAAAGGGGTCACTGTGGAGTCACAGTGACTCCCGACGTCTGACAAGATTCATAGAAGAATAATCACCACTAAGAACTGAGAGAAAAGTGGGGTATTAAAACCAGACTCATCAGCCACAAAACACTCTGTGCACTTATAATAATGTCTACTGATTATGCTGAAACGTCAGCGTTTTAAAAGAGTTTTATACATTTTTTTAATGCAGGGGCACTCACATGAACTCGGGTCATCAGGTTGGTGACTACTAAGCCAGCTCACCAGCCCAGCATTTTTAAATAAACATTTTACATTCACACACACACAAAAATATCTATTATCCATTTGTCTTTTGTTTTTATGTGTCTATGTGTATAGTTGTAAGAGCTTATGTGCTCCACATGCATGGAAGATTCTGCAAAGCAGAAGAGGGCGTCAGATCCCCTGGCACTGGAGTCAGAGACAGCTGTGAACTGCCATGTGGGTGCCGGAATTGAACCCAGGTCCTCTGGAAGAACAGCCAGTGCCCTTTTTTATTTTTTTATCTTTTGTTTTGTTTTGTTTTTTGAGACAGGGTTTCTCTGTGTAGCTTTGGCTGTCCTGGACTCACTTTGTAGACTAGGATGGACACGAACTCACAGAGATCGCCTGCCTCTGCCTCTCTGAGCGCTGGGATTACAGGCGTTGAGCCACCACACCCGGCTTCAGCCAGGACTCAATCCCCAAGCTATCTCTATAACCTCACATGAAAAGATAAAAAAAAAAAAAGATTAAAAAAAAAAAAATTGAGACAGGGTTTCTCAAAACCTGGCTGTCCTAGAACTTGTTCTGTAGACCAGGCTAGCCTCAAACTCAGAGATCCACTTGCCTCTGACTCCTGAGTGCTAAAATTAAAGGCATGCGCCACTACCATCTGGCAAAAAATAATTTTTAATTTTTTTTATTTTTATATGCACATATGTCTCAGATTCCCTGGGACTACAGCTACAGACAGCTGTTAGCACCATGTGGGTACTGGGAATCAAACCCAGGTCCTTTGCAAGAACAACAAATGCTCTTAACCATTAAGCCAACTTTCCAACCCACACACACAAAAAAAATTTTAATATTTATTTTTTTTATCATGTTTACAATGTTCTTTCTGCATGTACACCTGCACGCCAGAAGAGGGCAGCAGATCTCATTGTAGATGGTTGTGAATCACCATGTGGTTGCTGGGAATTGAACTCAAGATCTCTGGAAGAGCAGCCGGTGCTCTTAACATCTGAGCCACCTCACCAGCCCTTCACAAAAAATATTTTGAATTAAAAAATTTAAAAATAGGACAATTATCTAAGGTCTGACTCTAGTTCAAAGTTCAAAAAAGAGCAAGTGGCTGGCACTAAGCCCTCAGGACCACAGGAGCTATACACTCTACCACAGCCTGAACATATGGATTCAGGGGCAATCATTAGTGATGGCCCCCGTCCCTCAGGGTATGGGCCCTACAGTTGGATTCTATCTCCAAACAGGAAAGATATTTCTGACTGCTATTTATCTGAGGAACCTGACCTCAAAGCATCAAAATCTGAAGCCTAATAATTAAAATAATTTCGGAAACAAGCTACTTTGTTTGCACCTATCGATTATTCTCAAACAGTGTTCCAAACCAACACTGTTTAGATACTAAAAATGACACTTCATACCTGGGCTGGAGTGTCTGTTTCGTTGATTGGTTGCCCATCAAACCGGAATCGAATCTGCCTCATTGACAAGCCCTGGGGAAAAGGAAGAGAGAGCATGAGATGTTCCCAGACAACATGGCTTACCCTGAGGACATTTAAAACCAGTGTTGCTATAGTGTTCTTGTGGAATATATACAATTTACCCTTGTTCAGTCAAATTTCTGATTTCTCTACCCCCCACTCTAATTTCATTGTGATTGTGTTGACATTGCATTGTGATTTCATTGACAGTGCACTGTGATGCTTATTCATCTAATTTCATTGACAGTGCACTGCATCACCTGTCTCAAGTTTGTGTAAACTTTGTTCTCTGTATTGTCCGTAAAACAACCAGCCACAAAGCTGAGCAATGGAGAGAATAGGGTGGGGCATCCTGGTTCTGAGAGGAGGAGAAGGAAGCAAGTGGGAGGAAGAAAGGAGAGCAAAGGTTGGCAGGAGAGGATTGGAACCAGAAGGAGAGATGAACTGGACCTAAGATATGACTAAAAGCAAGTAGAACGTGGGAAATCTGACTGGGAGGAAGCTATGCAGGCTTGGAGGTTTATGAGGGAGTAACTATTGCCCAGCATTGTGCTCTAGGTTAATTAAATAAATCCTAGTCTCTATGTGGTGATTCAGGTTCAGCTGCTTTAAGAATAACCACAGGTTAAGTAAAAGATAAATCAATAGTAAATATTAATATTCAACAACAAACCAGCAACAGTATTAGCATTTTGCATGTATACATGTGACCCAACAGAGCAGAAAGAGCCCTGGGAACCCCCAATCTACAGCATGTGCTGCCCCAAACTAACCCATTCAAAAGTCTCCATCCAACTCCAACACCAGGCCTGCCCTAATTCCACCCCTCACGTCCTCCCAGAAGAGAAGCTAAGCCAAGCTCCTCCCAGACTTTCTATACTGCAGTACCATTTCCTCTTCTGGAAAGTTTCCAGAGAAACAGGTCAGGTGACCATAAGGGCCATAATCTGGAAGGCTGTGAAGAGCACAGCAGGAAGAAAAAAAAAAAAAAAAAAAGGGTATTTTCCATCCCTTTGTGGATACATTCCACAAAAAGGGTATTTTCCATCCTGGAAGGATGGCAGCCTGTCTCAGCCTGTCTAGACGGAACAGGTGAACACCAGCAAGCAGAAACCCTAACTTGGCAGCTCTGCTATCCCTGAAACAGGACAGATGGGATAAACTGTGACTGTTTACTCAATCCTGAAGCCTCCCTGAGATGATATGAATGAAAAGGCAAGGCCTCCAGGAAGGAACCAGTACATGCTAGGTCTCTGCTGGTCAGTTGGAGTCTGAAGCCACAAGCCTAGGGACACTGGAGTCTCATGTGTGCCAGAGCCAAAACCTCAGGGTCCCAGCGATGGTGAGACTAGGAACCGTAGGCCAAGGAAGCTAATGAACTTTTTGAAAGTTCACATGTAGGGGCTGAAGAGATGACTCAGAGGTTAAGAACACTTGTTCTTGCAGAGGACCAGGTTCAATTCCCGGCACCCATGTGGCAGCTTACATCCACCTGTAACACTGCTCCGGTTCCAGGGATCTGATGTTCTCTCTTGGCCTTTGTGAACACCAGACAGACATGCATATGGCGCAGACATACATGTGGCAAAACACCCACATACATAAAATAAAAATTAAAGTTCACATGCAAGTCTTTAAGGGTTCAAAGTCCCCTACAACTGTCAGAGGCCAAGAAGGCATCTCTCCCACAGCAATAAGCAGGACTTTCTAGAGATGTGGACTTAGAGCTCTGTCAAGACATGTATGGCAAGCGGGTATCCAGGGCAGGCTAATAAAAGCCAGCATCCCTAATGTGCCTCAGAGGCCCCTCTGTCTTCCAGCTGCACCCCAGATGTTGGGTGCAGCCTGGAGGCATTCTTCCCCAGGACACAGTGCCTCTCAGATCAGCACCTGGGGCCCTCCAGAGCCCCCAGTTCTAACATACCTCCCTGGTTCACTGCTTCACTCTTAAAAACAAGCAGAAACTGGAGGGCACTTAAGGAAAGACTAAAATAATGTGAGAACAGACCAGGGGAAGAAGAAAGCACTGTGCATGTTACAGAAATGATACAACGCTTCCCTGTGAGCGATCACTCCACACACTTAGAGATAAGGGAAAAGCTCTTCAATAAAACAGCATGTGGCTAGCCCTGGCTAATGCCCAAAGAGGAGGCAGCCTTAAATAGAAGATTTTGCTAACTTACATACACCTTAGGCTTATGGATTCCACAATGTCATCCTTAAATCTTTTCCAGTCCCCAGTCCCAGGTTACACTTTGAGCAATGTAAACAGAGACAGGAGACTATAGGTCTGGCCATGTAGACAGATGGGAGGTTTACACAGCAAAGATACTGCATATTGCCACAATTATAAGTACACCAGTGCTGTTCTATTTCAAATAGTTGTTGCCCGGGGTAATCTTGCCCACCGGCAGCATTACGCGTTTCTCAGTAAGTGAACTGTCGGCTTTATGACAGGCCAAGACTGAGCACAGCACAGGCAAGGAACGAACTGTGCACAAGTTCAGTGCAAGTGGTGGCCCACAGCATATGTGGCTGACAAATGGGAGGGCACAGGGGACACAGTGTCAGCAGAAAGCAAAGGAGAGAAGAGTCTAGGGTCAAAACCTAGAAGACAGGACAAGGGCGCTATCTGCCGGGCTCGAGAGGGGGAAGGAAAAAGGCACGATGCACTGCCTTGCAGAGTAGTCCTAAAAAAGTCCAAAGGCAGGAACTGTGTAAGTCAGGGCAGTCATGCTTGCAAGCACTTAGGGCAACCTTATACCACCATGCTGAGATGTCACTGCCCGCACAAAAGGGCAGAGCCGCCCTCGAAAGCCACCAGACGGCAGGGCTCAGACAGGAACTGGCACCTAGGTCTAAGCGCAGCAAGGCAGGCAAAACACTGAGGTGGACAGTGTAGGAACAAGCCAGACCAGGGGCCCGAGGACTTCCAGGTGGGCTGGAGCGCACCCACCTGCCAAAAGGTTCTCAGTAAGAATGAACTAGATGGACAGACCAAGGCAGAATGCGTGTGAGAGCAACGAGTTCACAATGTTGCTGACAGCAGACGGTCACTGTTGGGGGAGGAAGGACAGTCAGCTTGCTACTCTGAAATGGTAATGAAGGGACAGGATCAAGCATTTCCTCACTTTCCTAAATAAGATTAAAAAAAAAAAAAATCAAATCGCCAGCGAGGGCAGCAACACAAACGTAACTGGGTGGATGCCAGCGAGAGAAATTTGAACCAGCACTGATCCCACATCTGGGCACACCGCAGGGTAACCCCAGACCCATGTGCTGGCCGATGGGAGTGCGCCACCACTGCAGTCTGCTCAGGCCCTAAGATCCACTTGTCCATTTGTAGGAACCCAGGGAGACACACGCTCGAAGGACATGCAGATACCAAGGCCCAGGGCAGCAAGGGCAAGCCTGCAATACCAGCACCCCCCCACCCCCGGCCCCGAGGGACTACTTCAGGGAGGAAGGCCCCATTCCCCCATGGGGCTCCTGCCTCTGGCCAGCACACACCTGCCTCTCGCAGTAGGCCTTCATCAGCTTGCTCAGTGGAGTGTGCCTCTTGATCTTGAACTGCACCACTGAGCCATCCTGCCCCGCCACTTTCAGGTTGATGTGGTCATTCTCTGTCTTCACTCCCTCCTGCAAGGCACAGAAAATGGGTCTTAAAAGCCATCTCAGAAGGAACAGGGTTTACAGCACAGGTCCTTAGGCAATGGTTGTTTTAAGTCGTTAAAACCAACCTAATTCTTAAAATTCCCCCAGCAGCTCGGCGTTGCTCCTGTGACTGCCTTATTTTGGGTGACTTTATTTTTAACCTACGTTTGTTAAGCACGGTGACAGGAACTGCAGTGCAAAACCAGTGTCCTCGCACACAACCAGTTCAAAGGCAAAAACTGCTTATTAAATCAAGAAAGCCAAAGAAAACCCATCTTGGTTTTAAAATTACTCATGAGGCTAGTTTTTTAAAAAGACAACTTAAGCCCGAGAGTGAGGGACTGAGGGATCCAGTGAGTCGGCAGGGTAAAGGCTATGTCCCCTTGGGCCCTCAGGTCTCAAACTGTGCTATTTCTTCTAGGGCTGCGAATGGCTCTAAAGAATACTGTGTGCTCAGCCTGCACAAGGCCCTGGGTTCCACCCCCATACTGGAGGAAAAACTCCTTTTGAACAGCAGTAGTTTTTATGCAATCGTGATACATGCAAGCTGCTGGACAAAGGCAAAGTGAGTGCTTCTTGTTGGAAACACATTTTGAACAAAAGTTTATGTGAGCTACCATGTGGTTGCTGGGAATTGAACTCAGAACCCTTGGAAGAGCAGCCAGTGCTCTTAACCTCTGAAATATATCTCCAGCCCCCAAAAGTTTGTATTATGGGCCACAGAGCCAAGTTTGGGGCTGTTCAGTCTGAAAGGGAATGGGCATACTCGGCCCATTTCAGCCACAGCAGGATACAGGAGTCCATGGGAACTTTTTTAAAAAAAGACTCATTTATTTATTTATTATGTATATAGTGTTCTGCCTGCATGTATGCCTGCACGCCAGAAGAGGGCACCAGATCTCAAAAATGGTTGTGAGCCACCATGTGGTTGCAAGGAATTGAACTCAGGACCTTTGGAAAAGCAGCCAGTGCTTTTAACCTCTGAGCCATCTCTCCAGCCCCCCACAGGAACTTTTTATTTTAATGTGTATGAGTGTTTTGCCTGCATGTATGTTGCGCATCTCATGTAGGCAATACCCACGGAGGCCAGAAGAAAGCGTCAGATCCTCTATGACTGTATGTTTGTTACCAATCAATCATGTGAGTGCTGGGAATTGAAGCAGGTCCTCCGAAAGACCAGTCAGTCCTCCTAACTGCTGAGCAGTCTCTCCAGACTTGGGAACCATTTATTTATTTATTATTTTATGTGCATTGGTGTTTTGCCTGCATGTATGTCTGTGTGAGGGTGTCAGCTCTTGCTTGGTGTTACAGACAGTTGTGAGCTGCCAGGTGGGTGCTGGGAATTGAACCCAGGTCCTCTAGAAGCGCAGTCAGAGCTCTTGGCCTCTGAGCCATCTCTCCAGGTCCCGGAGAACCACTTTAAGGAAACAGATCCCTTGCTCTACTTTCAGACAAAATTTTCTCCTGTCTTCACAGCAGCTCCCCCCTACCCCCATACACACATACCCCATGGTTCAACTGAGCAGGCTACATAGAAACATCCTACTCCCTTGGATGTCCTCTGTAACTTTTTTATTCCTGGAGAAAAATGGTAGAATAGTGTCAGGAATCCGGTATGGGTGCAAAAGCAACCTACCCTGCACTGTGTCCTAATGGTGTTGAGTAGGAGCATAGCTCTTTCTAGCCTGAGAAATGATTCCCAGGTGAGAGGCTCCTGCAAAGACCTGAAGGGACCATTCTCCCTGGAGCACCATTCTCTCATCCCTCCCGTGTGAGACTTCCTACCCATTCACTCAAAGGACACCAGTGACTCAACAGCATTGCTCAGAGAGCTTGGCACCTGCTCCAAAGTGAGAGAAAAAGTGAACAACACAAGTGAGAAGCGTGAACAACTCCAGGCCCCAAGATGCACTGACTTCTAACTCCCCACAAAAAAAAAAAAAAAAAAAAGGATGGGTATGTTCAAAACAGAGGTAGGAACCAGAACATGAAATAAACAGAAAATGCCAGAAGAGGTGAAAGCCCTAAGGCCTTCCCAGGCATCTTTCCCTCCAACAGCAGGGTGGCTGGCTCAGTCCAGAAGCTCTGCAATTAGCAAGTCAACTCAGAAGTTACAGAGAAACGAGGACTTAGCACATGACTGTGCACACCTGTAACCCCAGCACTCCTGGGTATAGGTCGGGGACCAGCGTGAGCTACACAGGGAAACCCTGTCTCAAAACAAGGCAAAACAAAACAAGGCTTTGTGGCCCACTCCTTTAAGCCCAGCATTCAGGAGGCAGAGGCAGGAAGATCCCTGCTAGTTTGAGGACAGCCTGGTCTACATGGAGACCTTGTCTAAAAAAAAGGGGGGGGGGGTGAGGTTGGGGAGGCACACTAGAAGGGCACCTGCTGAATATACAAAAGGCTCCGGGTTGCATCAGCAGCACTACAAAACAGAAATAAAACCATAACACCCTGTTGCCACTAACCTGGAGAGGCAGAAGGCACCATAGCAGGCATTCACTTCCTGCCCGACCTCATTAAAAGGAAACCAGCTACAAAACATATAAACTAAGCGTTTACTCTTGGCCCAGGACTAATAGGTGCTCCTTCAACCGGGATGGTGCAGGCAGGACCCAAGACTAAGCTGAAATTAAAGGTAAGGGTTCCCGCAGGCAAGATATGACTGGGTTCAGCTGCTTAGCATGGTACCAAGAGAGTGGTCATCCCTAGGTCGGCGAACGGCACTGAATGCCAGGCCCCAACGTTTATCTCCCCACTGGATAAAACTGACTCAAGCAAAGCAGGTGAGGGTGAAAAAAAAAAAAACCAAAACATCCAACTTGTTTAATTAGGAATGGGCAACCCTGGCCTTTCCACGCACTAATAGCAGAGACCACCGCGATGGAGCGGGAGGGCAGCCGGCCGGGCGAACAGTGTAAGCTTGGAGCGTCCAGCCTTGCTCCTGCACCGGAGCGGCTTTCAGAGCTCCCGCTGAGCCTCGCGCAGGGCACCACGCGCGAACCTACGCACACTGAAAAGGAAGGATGGCCCCGTCTAGCAGTGAAGACGGAGAGAGACCCGCTCACCAAGTTCCAGCACCCTCAGAACATCCAAGTTCCGGGTTCTCAGGCCGTGGGGCGGGGCCAGATTCGGGGCGGGGCTACACCGGGGGCGGAGTCCTGGCGTGGCGGGAGGCACGGCTGAGGGTGGGCCTAAGGGGCGGGGCGGGGCCAGGATGAAGCTCGGGGCGGGGTGCGACGCCGGTGGGGGAGGGGCGCGGGCCGTGGGGGGAGGGGCGCGGAGGACCGGGCGCGGTCCCGCGGGCCTTGTTTGCGCGCGGCTCGGCCTGCTTCCTGCGGAATCTGCTGCGGCTTGCGTACGGGGCTTACCTTGGGCTTCTCTTCCGACATGTTTGCGCGGCGACGGCGGCGGCAAGCGCAGCGGGAACCGATGGCACTGGAGCAGGCGAGTCACGCTCTCTGCCCCGCCGCTCTCCCGCCGCAAGAGTCGCGGGGCCGCGCTTTATCCCTAAATCCTGGCGCGCCGGTTGGCCGCGCAGAGTCACGTGGTGACGCGCGTGCACGAGGCGCGCGCCCTGTGCCTCGGGTGCGCGCTGGCCCGCCGCGATTCCGGAGGGTTGCAAATGCGTCACGGGGCGGGTCAGTCGCCCGGGCGCGCGCAGATCCCGGGGACGCGCGACTCGAGGTCCTGGGCACAGAGACCCCGGATATGGGTACAAGATTTCGGTTGCCACTCAGGGCTCAGGGCAGGAGGACCGGGATGCATGGGAGGACTAGGGGCTTGTGTGATAGGTCAAGAGCCAGAGCAACGCTTTGGCCCTACCGACCCTGGTGTCGTGGTAGTCAGGCAGCTACTTTGCCACCCATGCCTGACTACTTTTTCTTACATGCAGGCTGCATTTGGGGAAGAGAGGGCGAAGAAACTCAGGGCCATCAGGCTAATCATTTCAGGTGGTCCGGGAAGACCAGGAAGAGGTTGGTTACCTGGCATTCTTTATGGGCCACGAAGTCCCGGAACAGGCCTGTGGCGCCTTGCATTTGAATGTCACAGCGGGGCGCATGTCTGGAAGAGGCATCCTTTGAGGACACACAGGATGGCTTCTGTTGGCCAGCACATAACTCCTGCTTCATCTTTTCCCATCCGACCTTCTAGGTAGGGTGGGCCAACCTCCGAAAAGGCATTCCCAAGATGGCTCCAGGAGGTAAATGCCTCTTCCCCTTCATTCTCTGTATCTACCCTTCCCCCTCCCAGAGTAGCCACTAGGTGGCTAGGGTAGGGTAGGGAAGAGTGGCATGCAAAGGAGGCCTCCCTTTTGACCCACCATTTGCCTAGTTTCTAGAATGCTGTTGTGGACACTAATAACCCATTTACACAGGAGGATGCTGAAACACCTCAGAATTTAAGAACATACCTAAGGAGTCAACCTGGGAAGCAGGTGTAGCCTGAGCACTCACAGGGAGCTTGAGCAACGTGGTAGAGCAGGCAGGGAACACTGGCTGGACCTTGGCATGGGTTCTTAGAATGCAGTCCACCTGCCCTCAAAACAGACCAGTCAGGATGGACAGTCACCCGCAGTAGTCCCAGGAGGCTTCTGGTGGCCATCTTCCAGAACCACACAGCAGCCTCCAGAGAATTGGCGGTCTCGATCTTGACAGAAGTACGTTTCTGTTCCATGGAAGGGCCACCCATTTCCTGGTAATGCTGCAAAGCCACTGAGCCAGGTGTCTGTGAGCCCAACCTTTTTAGCCTCCTTCCCCTGTACCCATGACCTTTCTCAGGAAGTTTGTCAAGGTCTTTCCATAAAGACCCATTTGGAACTCATCCCTCACACCAGTCAGACTAAGGTTTGGATCCTCCTCAAGTACAGTCCATGGTCAGCCTTAGCTGAACATATCTCTGGAATGTCCACCCAGGCTGTGTATCTGAGAGACAGGAACTCCAGAAACCAGCCCTACTGAAGCAGTTGTCAGAGGTCAGAGCACACCTTCCCTCCGTTGATGGCTATGAGTGAGTCTGGGTAAGTGTAGAGGAATTTTAGTTCAGGACATGGTTGTTCTGTCAAGAGATCACATCTGAAGATCTAGGTCTGTATGATCCAGCTGGAATACAAACATGCCTTTAAGAGGAGACAGAGGCAAGCAGATCTCTGAGTTCAAGGGTGCCTAGTATAGAACAAGTTTCAGGTAAAGAAAAACTTGAATCCGGGTGTGGTGGTTCACACCTTTAATCCCAGCACTTGGAAGGCACATGCCTGTGATCCCAACACTTGAGAGGTAGAGGCAGTTTTACCAGGACAGATACATACACAGTCAGGTTAAAGAGAGAACAAGCTAGATATAGGTGAAGACAGAAGGAGCCAGACGATTAGAAAAGAGTGTAGGAGTTACCTTGAGGCCAAGCAGAGCAGTTCAGAGGCCGAGAGAAAGGCCAGATTGAATAAATCAGCTGGGAAAGGAGTTTAAGCCAGACAGCTGAATTGAGTGAGCCAGCTATGAGTTGAGAAAGAACAAGAAAAGGTGAGCTTATTAAGCAAGTAAGTCTCAGAGGCAAAAATAAAAATAAACATTCAAGGCCTAAATTAGATTGTATGGAGGCTGTAAGCTTCCAGGACTAGGCCTAGGTTAGCAGACAGGCAGTAAGTCTTTGAGATGATCATTGAAACAGATGAATAAAAGTTACTTTTACAGGTAGGCAGTGTTCAGACCACAGTGTACCCTCAGCTCCAAGATGCCATGCATTATAAAGTGTTGCATAATCGCTTGCAGGATACAAGGATTGAATTGTTATGGTCTGTGGCTTAAGGCATCTGTTGCCAAGCTTTCAGAGTACAATGTGTACGCCTCAGGGTGGATGATGTCACACCTAAGTGGGCTACAGCATGAAGCAGCCACATCGTGATCCGTTCGCACGCTCCTGCTCCTTGAGGGATGGTCTTGTACACTGTGTATTCAAATGCTGATTTCTGAGATCCTGTTGCAGTCCGGACATGGGCATTGTCATGTCTATGAAGAAAGGATCTCTTGTCTCAGGGTTGTGTAAAAATTGTTCTCTGTTATCTCTGATTGGTTTATAAAGGAACTGGTCAGCCTATAGCTTGGTGAGAGAGGACAGGAGGAGGAACTTTCATTCCCAGTGGAGGGCTGTAAGGTAGAGACTTGAAGAAGAAGGTAAGAGAGACAGAGGTCACCCGCCATGAGGACAAAGATGGAGCAGAAACAGCCAAGGTAAGACTAAGATGGCAAGTAACATGGGGCACGTGGCTGAGAAGTAGCCAGGCTAGTATAGATGGGTTAGAATAGAAACAATATCTGCCCAGCTGTAGTGCTTTCAAGCTTATTAATAAATCTAACAGCTCTCTGTGTCATTATTTGGAAGCTAAAATGGGTAATAAAAAACACTACTTTTACACACACTGAAAACCTACCATTGTGATAAGTGGACAATTGATAGCAGGAAGACACTCACACCTGTATGTTTTTCAAAGCCTGTTCTCAAGCTATCAAGATATAAAGACCCATTGGGGAAGTGAAGAGTTCAGTTTACAGAACAGCTTACAGAACACACTGTTTTTCCAAAGGATCTGAGTTTGAATGTCAGTTATGAATGTCAGGCAGCCCACCATTACATATAACACGAGCTTCAGAACATCTGGCACCTTCTGGCCTCCATAGGTACTGCAGTCACACACCCCTATCCACACAGAGATAAACACATACACACTTAAAAATAAATAAATAAATAAATAAATAAATAAATAAATAAATAAATAAATAAAAGTAAAAAACCTTGTGCTAAGGAGGCCCCTCGCACACGGACAGGGCCTTAGCATGACTTTGGCTACCTGAGAATAGTGACTTGCTTGGCGTGGAGGATCCCAGCCTACCTTCATTCAGCAGATCCAGACACCCCATAATAAGCTGAGTTGCACACACACCTGGCCAACACTCCCCCAAGGAGACAGTTGAGGGCAAAGAACACTATCCAGAGAAGATGAAGAACTGGAAGATCTGTAGTAGCATTGCTGAATTAGGAGGACCATGGCTGTGAAACTTTGAAAAGGAAGTCATAGGATCACAAAGGAGGAAGGGACACAAGGAAACTGAAGCTCTGTGGATCAATTCAAGTATGCATTCAATTGACAGAAACCTCAGAGAAAGAAAAAGGAACAAAGAGGCAGGACACAATTGAAGACATTTCTCTAGACTAAAGAGTTATGTATTTTTCTTTTTTTATTTGTTTTTTTGAGACAGGGTTTTTCTGTGTAGCTGTGGCTGTCCTGGACTCACTTCGTAGACCAGGCTGGCCTCAAACTCACAGAGATCCACCTGCTTCTGCTTGTGTCTGCCTCCCAGGGTGCTGGGATTACAGGCATGCGTTTTACTTATATTCTTGGTTAAAAGCCTAGCCTTTAATGGCTGTGTGATCTCTCCAGCCCTATGTATGTATTTCTAATAGACTAAATACATATATCTACAAATGGAATGCACCTTCAAGTACCGAACAGCCAGTGGAGAAGGTTCAAGCTGAGGGACTCTATGTAAGGATAGATTCTAAAGGTTCCTTGCAGTGAAGGGCACCCTGTTGCCTCCACCAGCCGCTGGACACGGAGGTGCACACCAATGATCCTAGCACATGGGGTGGAGGCAGGAAGATCATGAGTTTGGAGGCCAGCCTGCACTTTAAAGTCCTTATCTAAAACTAAATATTTTTAATTTTTTTCTTAAAGATACCAGGTAGCCACCAACAAGGAGACTTTCTCTGAGAGAAGAGAACTCAAGAAAGAGAGGGTGCCACCTTGACTTCCTCCCAGTGATGGACCTGGAACTGAGAACCAAATGAACCCTTCCTTGCTTCCTTCCTCCTTCCTTTCTTCCTTCCTCCCTGTAGCTTTCATCAGGGTTATTTTGCCACAGCAGCATGAAAGGAACCTAGGACAAGCCTGAAAGAACAAGAGCTACAGCTTAGGAGAGAGGCTGGGTAACTAGCTGTGTGCTCAGCCTTCGCAGTCCCAAGACCAGCCCAGGCAGTCCAGTTGCAATCTGAGCAAAGCTGTCTGTCCTGCTTCCCACCTGCGACCTAAAGCAGAAAGATGTGGACAGAAACAGTGTAGAGGTGCTACGCAAGGACTCCACCTAGCTGATGCGTTCTCATTCACAGTGTCCAGAACTAGAGTTTACAAAGAAAACCCTCTCGCCCGGTCCAGGAAACAGATCCATGAGAAATAAACCCATAGGAGAGGGCGTAGACTTAACTAGACAGACTGGAAAGTAGCCATGATTAATATGTCCAGGAAATGGATTTGGAGACAGAACTTTTGCACAGAGAAGTGGAACGTATTTCAGCATTCAATTGAAAATTCAAAACAGAAATTAACTAAATTTGAATTCACTAGATGATCTCAAAAACAGATTTGATCCAGTGAAAGAGATGATTAGTGAACTGGAAGATAGGACAGAAGGAAATCTTCAGACAGGAAGTGTGTGGAGCATACAGTGAGACAGGCCTGTGACGTGGACCCATGGCACAGTTCTAACTTTGATAAGTCCCTGGGTGAGAGAAAACAATGTGCAAGAAGTAATATTTGGAAGGCATAATAAAAGAGGATTTTCAAAACTGACACAGAGAAAGCACAGGTTGCAGAGAGAGTATCCATCCAATAGGAAATCCCCCAAATCCGCAGCTCTTTTCAGAAGAGTAAAGCCAAAGATAGTTCAGTTGTCATTTGCTTAGATGTCTGCTGTTCACAAAGCAAGGCTGTTCCCAGAGAAGACGAAGGAGTCCCATCTGAGTTTTCAACACAAGTGATGGAGAGTAACATCTCAGAGTGCTGAGAGGAACTGCCAAGGAGAAGCTTCTACCAATGAAAGGGTTGCATGCAGCAGCAGATGGAGCTGCTTCAGGAAACTGCAAGAAATAAGCATATGCTAAAGGAAATTTGGTGACAGGTTTTCTTCAGCAAAGGAAACCTAGACGTACAGGAAGGAACAAGAATCACAGAGGGTACTTTTGAAGGAAAGTGACAACGACAGACAAGAGTGGACATGTCAGCAGAAGTCCTAAACAAAAGTAGAATTCCATTCAGATTAATATCTACCGGGAAAAGGGACAACCCAGGTTCTGTGGTGTGGAAAGTGGTGAAAGGTAGGTCAGGTAAGTTCCCAGTCATTTGATCCTTGAAACCCATGATGGGAGGAGAGAACTGTCTCCTAAAAGTTGTCTTCTGATGACCATGGCATGTGCACGCCCATGCACACACGCCTGTGTGGGAGCACTCGCAAGCCAACATGCCATTAACAGTTTACTGCCAGAAGCACAAATGGAACTCATGACTGAGAAAATCAGGCAGGACCTGTGTGGTGTTGGCCAGGCTGCATACCGCAACAAAATCTGCAGTCATCTCTTTCCTAGAAGGACAAGTTTTGTGGTGTATTTTCTGACATAAAAAAAAAAAAAATAGCAAGCAACAAAGCCAGTAAAACTTGTTATTTAATGCTTAACATCTGGTGGACACTGTAAAAAAAAAAATGCAATCACTGGGATTGACACCCAGATAATCACATGCAGCAGGCAGAAGAGTAGGGAGTGGGAGAGGTATAGAGAGAGAGCCAAGCCATGGTCCTTGCCTGGCTCAAAATGTAAACATGTATCTAGGTATTAGACAGGTGCTAACAGAATGGTGGGAGTTTAAAAACATAAAAATGTTCAAGTTGTGAATGTGCTTTGCTGTGTTGATATTCCACTTCAATGAACAAAAGTTGGGCAAAGGGAAAAAGAAATAGGATTAGTTCAAGAAACGTGGAAATAACTTCCAAACAACGAGGGATACAGTGGCACAGGCAAACTCAAGCCATGTAACCAGTTTGGAGATGTAAGGGAGTTCTGGAAGTCACAGCATAAGGCGTTTCCTCAGTGCTGACACGAACGTCAGGTCCCCCGCCTTCACTTGTGTTCATGGTGTGAAAGTAGTTACCATCGTGCTGCTTACACACAGGGCCAAGATGATGCAAACACTTGGTGGTCGAGCCCAGACTGTGCAAATTGGGACAGTGCTACTGTCCTTCAAAGAGGAAGAGCTAATGATTTGCAGAGCCAGGGCTGTCAAACCCATCACAGAGCTGGATCAGCAGGGTGGTCAGCCAGCTGGAACCCAGGCAGAGGACAGTGAACCAAAAAACCAGACACATGAAAAGAGGGGTTTTCCATGAAAGCGGGCTAGAAGACTTGAGATAAAGTATTGGCAGATCACTGCTGAAGGGCAGATGTGGACTGGTGTCCACGCGGAGCCCTGGGCCACGTGGTATGGCAACTGAGGTTGCTGTGCAGACACCATCAGTATGTTGCCCTCAGTGGAAGAACAGGGCAGAGCCATGCCAGGGAAGACCATGGCTTGTCGGGATGCCCTTGGAGGCTGGAAGGGTACAGCCCCAATCCACCATGGCTCTCTGGACAAAGGAAGCTCCAACCAGACCTACACTTCAACTATAATGTAGGATAACCCCAGCACCCAAAGCCATGAGCACAGCATAATATCATGTCTGCAGACACACGACTCTTAAAACTTGAGAGCAAATTCAGCAGCTTCATGGCATGCCCACATCCCATTCCGCCTGTCTCCACCCACACCGGGGAGGGCCATTTGCTCTGCTCAGTGCTCTCAACCCAAAGAGGTCTCATCTAGAAAGAGGACTTACCAGATATGTGATGTTCTCTGAGGAAGCTAGGTGTGTGCTGAAGATCCTCCTGATGGTGGGTGGAATGCTGCAGATCCAGAGCCCAAACCATCCTGACCTTAACTTCAGTGCTCTCTGAGTCTGACCCAATACCTTTGTGACAATTACAGAAAACTTACAGAAGTGTTGACTTACCATACTTCTGGCTTCTACCTAAGGCTAAGAATGTCACTGAGAGTATCTGAGAGACTGGGGCTATTCACACAACCACTTGCAAGGTGGAACACGTCCCCCAGGGCAAACTCAATCCAGGTTCCTGGGACATGACCACCCACATCTGGCTCAGAGTAAACTATCCCTTACCCTGCTCGGAGCAAATACCATTTTGCACTGACACGGCTATCTCTTAGCTTGTTGAGGTGCTGTGTAAATATCAACCATGCCAAGCCCCACCTTGCCGCAGGCCGCTCAAGTCACCATCCCTGGGTCAGACATGGGGGTCAGGTTGTAACTTTCTGAGGGGAGTTCAAAGGAAGCAGATGCTGACGCCAGGCATCAGAGGTAGGTCTTCGGGTTGGAGGGTCTCTCAAGGTCACAGCGTGTGGAGTGGGGGGTGGGGGTGCTTATGGGAGGGAAGCAGAGCAGGAAGAAAAGCAAAGAAAGGCTGAAAAAGCCTGGGCTAGCATGTTCAGGGACCCAATGGCTTCTCCTAAGAAAGCCAGGACAGAGCGGGTGGGTCAGACCGGCATGGCTAGTCACTCTGGCTGTGGGCCCTACCCAGGGTGCACTGCTGACCAGCACTGACCAGCCGCCCGTTGTTGAGTCTCTTCCTCTGGCCCCACGGCTCCCCTAGCTCTCCACTTTGATCAAGTACCCCCTGGCTGTGGATGGCACCAGTGTCTGTGGAACCTTTCCCACAACACTGAGGTGGAGCAGGAGACAATGGCAGCCCTGGACGGAGCCTGTCTGAGCCCCAGCTGGGAGCCTACCCTGCCTCCCTTTGCTTGAGCTCCAAAGGCAGGACTAGAACTCAATGCCCAGGCCGCCTGTCCTACAAAGTGGAGGGCTGGATACAGGTGAGGTCTGACCCAGCCAGCTGATAGCACCCATGGCTGCTTTGGGTGAGGCATGGCATTTCATGTTGGGGAGAAAGGGTTGATATACCCACCTCCACCCAAGCATGCCCCCTGACTATAGCCACAGGAAATTGCTTTGTAAACCTTTCCTCAACCCAACTGCACTGTGCTATTTTTCTGCATGAGTGAGTATGAAAGCCCAAGTTGAAGATATCCTTGGATTTCAAGCATTTCCCAGGTAGCTCCCCTGGAACACTGAAAGGTTCAACTCATCCAGTATCTTGCCCCCAGAACTTCCTTCCCTGGGTCTTCCCACACTCACCCAGAATTTCCTAGGCAGTTATCACTTTTGGTGATAATTGCTAACATCCTTTGCCAAGAGTGACTAACCTACGAAGGAAGGCCTGTGGTCCCAGGACAAGGCTGGGTGAGTGGGCTCCCACCTGCTCAGTGGTCTGTCCTCACTTCCTTGGTCTACAGTCTAGGCAGGTGCTGTTTGCAGGAATGACACTTTGGATGTGCCCGTCCCAGGACTTGTGCTTGCTGGAAACAGGCCAGTCCAGGCACATGCCTCAAGAGAGCAGACTTTTATTACAGACAGCCATGAGCAAACAGGCTGCTGACAGCCTCCTTTTTGCTTCGCATTTCAGGAGAATCCCTATGTTCTGGTTCTTGCTTTTGCAGGCCAGTCCCTTACTCTAGTGTTAGCCTGAAAGCAAGGTAGTCAATTTCCATCCCCAGGCCCCTATGTCTCCTTTTCCTCTACTACAATGGACAAGATCAAGCAGCCAGGGTGAACTCCGGGACTGAGGGCTCTGGGAGCCAACAGCTGCCACAGGCAGACTGGCTTGACACCCACACCCCTTATCTACCCTATATGCCCACCAGTCTCTCCAGGGCTTCAGATTCTTCAGACTCCAGGGCTCATGGAGCCAGATGCCAGTGTCAGTTGGCAGCCATGCAGAGCCACTCCCTCGGGCTTCTTTGTGCCAAGACAAAAACAGCATTGAGGATGGTGAGGTGGGATTGAACCCTTCTACACTGAGAGGCAGGGAGCACTCACTAGGACTCACTAGGCCCAGGATGGGCCTAGTCGGTCCCTGTAGGACATGGTACCCAGCTCACAGGGTGAGCACAGGTGCTCAACTCACCTGGGTGGCTCACACCCCCAGTCCACCCTTGGGACAAAACACAGAGAAAGAAATCAAAGCCATATTCAGCGTTTTATTGGAAAGTGGTTAAAAAGTAAGGCACTGGGTGTGATGGTCTCAGGCTTCGTTCTGTGGCTGTTCATGCTGCCCAGAGGAGGTGCCGACCAGTCCGGCGAGCACCTGCTGCATTTCTACACTGGAGAATTAAACATTCTGCATTGGGCAGTGGTCATTCTAACATCAGCTCAGCAACCTAACAGGTATGATTTATATGTGCTACATATTAATACAAAGTTCATCAAGGCCTGTGAGGAAGGCTCCCTTCTAACAGACAATAGAAAGATAACTTTCAATGGCTACTGTAATACTTAATGTATGACGACACTTTAAATTATATCAAATGTCTAACAAGTCAGAAACATGGTAAGACTAGAGATTGTGGTGAGGGTCATTCCCTTAGGTTTTAGAGATGGGAAGAGAGAAATGTTAATCCCTGGACAGGCTGACAAGAGCTGAAAAGGTCACCGAATGCTAGGTGAGGTCTCAGGCAGGGAGCCGGCTAAGCCTACCTCAGCTGCTGGTGGCTGTTCTCCTAGGGGCCGTATCTTTCCTCCTCCTTACCTTGCTATCAGACCAGTGATCTGCTTAACTAGTGACACATCTGGATTTCAGAGAAATGTACACTGTGGAGGGAATCGTGGGGACCCGAGTGTTCCCTGACAAGCTTCTAAGGGCCCATGCTGATGTGTCAGACACTGTGAGCTGAGACATGGCTGGAAGCAGGGTGGGAAGTGAGGTGGGTGTGCATGTCTGCTCAGGCAGTTTTCCTGGTAGAAGTATGGGGTGGGGTCCTCCTAGCTTTCTACACACTCAGCTTCTACAACGGGATGGCTGGTGGACGAGCTCATCTTCCATGATACATACAGAATCAACTGGGAAGCTGCCTGACAGATGGAAGACAAATGTCCAAGACCTGCCCAAAAGCCCTTCTGTAGACAGGTGGTTCCAGGCATCACCACAGGGGAGAGGCCAAAGGCAGACAGTTCAGCCCTCACAAGAGGATCAAACTGACTTCATAACTCAGATTTCTCGTGGGGGAAAAGGCAACTGGAAAATCCCAAGGCCTGGACTTTTCTTGAAAGGTTTTGGTAAGACAGTTTCCTGAGGAAATAAAGACTTCAGGTGACTTTATATGGTCTTGTGCTGCTGGATACAGCTGGGTTAAAAAGCAAATCCATACCAGACTGTGGGAACAGAGCCTTCCAAAAGGTCACCAAAACTAAAGCAATGGCATGTCACAGAGATGGGCTTGTGGACAAAGCACAGCCTTGAGGAATCAACGATGGTGGGTCAACTGTTGCCATGACAAGTAAACTGTTGCAATGTGAGATTTATAGCAAGGTCACTCAGCAGCCAATCAGCACCTCGGGCTGCCAGCTTTGCAATCGGCTTGAAGAGTGTGGGACCAAGCACATTTCCTCCCCTAAAAAAGGACATCTACAAGATTAACGTCTCGGGTGATTACGCACAAAGATAGAGGGAACAAGAGCAGGATTGTCCTCTCAAGGCCACTCTGGCGCCCGTGCTAAGGCTGGAGGGATCACCAGGTCCAGGGTGGCTGTGGTAGTGAGGTCTCTGCAGGCTGTGCTGAAGAGTGTACTCCCAGGAAACTTTGGAACTGCAAGATCTGCAGCAAGTGTGTGCCACCTGCTTTAGAACTTCTCATACGGGTTTTGTTCTTTAAACAGACCTGAGGGAGAAAGGAAAAAAAATTGGCTTACAAATTCACCACTCAACTGGAAACAAACTCACAAAAGCAATGTATAACCTTGAGTGTTCTGGCTTACACCCATAATCCTAGCACCAGGGAAGCTGAGGCAGTGGGACTGTTGTGAGTTTGAGCCCAGCCTCGGTTACAGAGCAAGAAACTATCTCAAAGAAAACAAAACAGTGGCTCTCTGTGAGTTAGAGCCTTGTCTACCAGTGGAGTTCTAGGCCAACCAGAGTTAGAGTAGGACCTCGTCACAAAACAACAAAAAACAAAAACAAACAAACAAAACCCTCCAAACCAAACAAAGAAAGACAAACCAAAACTAAACTACCTACCTCTACCCCTGCATAACACAACACACCTCAGCAAAGATTTAACCATAGTTTGAAGCAGCCTCCCTTCTTGACCTTCGCTGAAGCTGAGCTACAGGTGACTTTTTTTCAAATGTATGAATATCTTCTTTTTATTTATTATGTATACAGTGCTCTGCCTGTAAGTACACCTGCATGCCAGAAGAGGGCATTAGATCGCAATATAGATGGTTATAAGCGACCGCGTGGTTGCTGGGAATTGAGCTCAGGAATTCTGGAAGAACAGCCAATGTTTTTAACCTCTGAGCCATTTCTTCAGCTACAGGTGACTTTAAAACTGGAATAAAATCCCCCAGGAACAAAAATCCCAACAGTTTCTGAAAAACAAGCCACAGCAGAGATCACAAGAAGTCAGGAAAGTTCTCCAAGTGTTTCTTTCCACAAGAATAACACGGAAAAACCAAGCACGTCACTTCACCTTAAACCTAAGAGCTGTGGCTGTGCCTGGAGAATCAAGACTACAAAAAGAACACACACCATCAAGCTGACAATAGTAGGCCTGGAACACCCGTAGATCTGCGGCACCCACCCATTCTTCTCTTTATTTCTACCCTCCTTCATTTGCATCTCTTTCCTTATCTCACACTCCTCTCACTGTCCCAACTGCCACATTCTGGCTTGCTGAGATTGTCTGGGGCCTGTGTAGTGATCTACTACCAGGATTCTGTTAGGGCAGAGATACCAGCATCTCTATGCTCCACCCACTCCAGAACCCATGGGCATATAAAGATGAAACAAAGATAAACAGCAGGACAGAAATCAACAGAAAGGAGACAGGGGCTAGCCAGGGCCAGCGCAGCAGCTGACGTATGAAGTCCAAATCCAAGGCTAGGTCACAGCATGAAGAGCCTGCATCAGGAGCATGGGGAGGAAGACTCCACCAGCTCCAGCTTCCTCAGCTCCCAGTGCATGGTGTGACCAGATGAGAAGAGATCAAGCCCAGTCCTGACACCAGCAGCCATGGGATCGCTACAGCCCCTGGAGGGGAACCAAAGACTTGCATATTTAATATCTGAACAGCTCAAACCTAGAGGAGCTGGCTATGCTAGGGCAACTGGACTTTGCCATAGCATCCCCCCAGATAACAGACATAGATAAAAAGTCATCTTTTATTCAATGAAGCAAATGTTCAGATGTGAGCTCTGTGATAAATGCCCTAAGTTAATCAAGAGATTCATTCACTCATGAATTTTTTTCTATTTGTTTGTTTGTTTGTTTGTTTTGAGACAGGTCTCATGACACAGCTTTGGCTAGCCTGGAATTTACTATGTGGAGCAGGCTGGCCTCACTCTTAGAGATCTACTTGCTTCTGCTTCCAGGGAAGCTGGAAAGTGTGTGCCACCATGCCTGACTTCGATTCATAAGATTCTTAAACTGATGGTAGTATCAGAAGATGGGACCAAGCTGGAGGACACAGGCCCTTAAAGGGTCCACCTTCTTCCAGCTGCTGTCGCCCCAAAACTTGTTCATGACTGACATAAGGTAAGCAGCTTTCCTTCACCATCTTCTGCCTCATCACAGGCGCACAGCAGCAGACTAAACAGGAAACTGGGACACTGAGACAAAACAAATCCTTCCTCTCTAAAGAGGTTTGACTTAGGCATTTTGTCTCAGCAATGAAAAGCTAACACACACAGTGGTATAATCAAGTTCCTAGTGGGTAAGATCCTGACGCATCAACAAACATGCTATCTCCTTATATTAAAAATGACCTCAAAATTGTATTTCTTAGGAGTTGGTGAGATGGGGTTCAGTAGGTAAAATCCTTGCCACCAAGCCTTAAGACCCCAGGACCCACATAACAGAAAAGAACTGGCTCCTAGAAGTCATCCCAACTTCTATATGTGCGTGTGCGCGCGCGCACACACACACACACACACACACACTCTTAAATAAATGAAATAATTTCAATGCTCATTTTTGGAAAAGATTTTAGAATTTTCCTCATCAGATTTCTCCTGTTAAAATAGTGATTTAAGGGCTAGAGAGATGGCTCAGGAGTTAAAAGCACTAGCTCTTCTTCTAAAAGGTCTTGAGTTCAATCCCCAGCAACCACATGGTGGCTCACAAACATCTATAATGAGATCTGGTGCCCTTTTCTGATGTGCAGGCAAAACAGTGTATACATAATAAATAAATCTTAAAAAAGGGGGGGGGGGCTGGAGAGATGGCTCAGAGGTTAAGAGCAATGACTGCTCTTCCAGAGGTCCTGAGTTCAATTTCCAGCAACGACATGGTGGCTCACAACCATCTATAATGATATCTGGTGCTCTCTTGCAGATAGAACATTGTATGCATAATAAATAAATCTTTAAAAAAGAGAGAGAGAGAGAGAGAGAGTTCTTTAAGGCCAAAAAAAGTGGGTTCACAACTGGAGCCTTCCAGTAGCCCCATGGCCCTATATCTAGGTGGGTCAGGGGTCAGCTTCAGTAGCAGCCATAAAGTACAGGCAGAAAGCTTTAGTGCCATTTCTGAGCTTTAAAATCAGCTCAGAACCAGTTGAGAGCATCAGACAGAAAGCAGGAGCAGAAGAGAGTCGTGTGTAACCTCACAGACAGGATTCTCCGCTGTGCTGGGTTTCTCACTTGCTCCAACTGAACAAAACCGGCTTACACTTGGCACCCATGATCAGGCTTGTTCCTTCAGTCACTTCCCAGTTTCTCCAAACAAGATAATGCGGCCAGAAAGTAGTGAGGGAGGGAGGGCATGCCTTAGTCTCAGCTAATTCTCTGATAAAGAAAGATGGTCTGACCCCACTAGAAGACAGGAAGAAGAGACACACAAGGGAAGGGCTGCAGAGACAGCCAAGAAACTCACAGACACAGGCACATGCTACTTAAAGGCAAATAGACAAGCAGCTATGAACAAACCTCCTGAAGTGTTATTCTTCATAAGTACCAAGGAAAAGTGTGGCTGAGACTGAAGGTACCTTCCTCTCTTGAGGCACTCAGTGTAGTCAGTCTCTGGGGGTGCCCTGGTTAACTACACAGCTGCTGTCTTCAGTGAAGGACAATTCTCTGGAAAAGCAGCAGCTGCTCAGATCCCAACCAGTCAAGAGAAACACAGCTCATTCTTACCATATTTTTTCCTGATTTCATCATGTCTTGACTTCATCTCTGCTCTCCTAAAAAAAAACAAAACAAAATAGAAATACCAGGTCACATCTAATTATGACCGAGAAGCAAAGTCATCTCAAACTCCCAGCCCTTCCACTTCCTTGAGCAGAGGCTGTGGGCTCCTTCAGCACTTTCCTTGAGCTTCTCCCAAAAGTAGGGATGACTGTGGCTACCAGGCCACACCTACCACTTGACCAGCAGGGTGACTGCACAGCCAGCTTGCTGGGGCTGCTCTGATCGCCATTCTATTCTTTTCCAATTCTGACTGGACATTGTGGTAACAACCTGGTATCCCAGTACTCAAGAGACAGGCAGAAAGATACAGAGTTTAAAGACAGGCTGGACTATGGAATGAGATCCCCACTCAAAGAAGACACAACAACAAAATGAATTCAACTGTCTAATACCATGATTGTTTAAAAAGTTCTCATAAAGAAAATGCAGATGGGTCAAAGCTTTGCATCAGGTGACCAGAAAAAGGTAAAGTTAACATCTACTTAGTGGTACCTGCTTCAGAGCTGCAAGAATGATAAACATCTGCCTTCAAGGCTGCACGAGGCCCCGGCACACATTAGGAGAATTCCCTGCTCTGGGAGCTAGTAGGCACAAGCCAGTGTCTACAAGAGTAGTCTGGTTCCTTCATCATTAGGGGCTAGAGCTGGGGGCTGGGGCTGGCACAGCAGTACTCAAGGCCAGGCCATGACCAGTGCAAGAGCACTGAGCACAGGCTCTGCGAGCCTCCTCTACCAGTGGAAGAGGTAGGTCAAGCAGCCTGAGGTTTGACACAGCCAGTGATCCCTATGAGACTCCTGCCAGCTTCTCTTTTCACCACAGCCCAGAAAATGTTGGACAACGAACACTCACTACATTTTTAGAAATGGAGAAATCATGTGAATAATCCTTGTTTCCCATGGTCTCCCTGTTGTAATTTCAGAGGAAAGCTCCCAAGTAAGGAACCCAGCCTCACCTCTCTTCCTGCCGCACTCTCCTCTCCTCCTGCTCTCTGATGGCCCGCTCATCGCTCTTGTCTGGCTTCCGGCTCTTCTTCTGGCGGCAGCAGCAGCAGCAGCACACAGTGATGCCCAGGAGCACAGTGCCCCCAAGCACAGACATGGTGATGATCAAGGCCTCAAAGTTCACTGCAAGTCCAGGCAAAAAGTTGAAACCTCAGCAGGTATGGCCTGCCTCTATCCGCAAGGGTACCACCTTTTGTCACAAGAGCAGTCCTAAACATAGGGCCTGGACATATGGCTCCTTTCAGCCAATGTCTACAATTTAAGATCTAGATTAACCACATCAAACTAATGAGATGAGACAGACTTTTTCACCATTTAAGACCAAAAGAAGGAAAGACGTCAACTGTGTCTGTTCCCAAGACCTGACTCCTTAGTGCTGACTATGGATAGATAAGTGCCCTAACCACCACCACATGCACATCCGAGCTTTACAGATGTCCTGGTATCTGTAAACCAGTGTCACTCAAAGATGTGATGTGCTAGTAGCGCCAAACTTAGCAACTGATACAAACTGAAAATAAATTTTAAGCTTCTTCTAAGTTTCTCTTAAAGGTCTTTAAATTAAAACCAGCTGGGTGGTGGTGGTACACGCCTTTAATCCCAGCACTCCAGGAGGCAGAAGCAGGCAGAGCTCAAACAAGCCCCAGGACAGCCATGGCTACACAGAGAAACTTTGTTTCCAAAAACAAAAACAAAAACAAAGGGGCCCATCCTGTTAGTGCATGCCTTTAATTGTAGCACTCAAGGCAGAGGCAGGCATATCACTAAATTCTAGGCCTGGTCTACAGAGGGTGTTCCGGGCCAGCCAGGACTACACAGAAAAACCTCCTCTCAAAAACCCCAAAACTAAAAATAAACTCACTCAAGGCTTTTCTACTACTCTGCTCAAACCAGAGCCAGTTCAAGAGCCCTGTACTGCTTTTGCCAATAGTCACCCAGCTCAACTCCTCACATGCAAACTCCCCAGCTGCGGGGCTGCTGGCCCAGGGAGGCACCTGAACAGCTGGACAATAGGAGGAGGGAGGCTGAAGGCTAACTTCGGGGCTCCCTCAGCCAGCCTCAGCACAGTGGTCCATGCTCATCTATTAACTGCTTTCTGCTGGTAAGCATGATAAAACCAGAAACAGGCCATACAACTGCTCTGGTGCCTTGGAGCTCCAAGCCCTGTGCTCTGTCTACAGTGCCTAGCTCAAAAGTGTAGAGATGCAAAAAGTAGCAACTTGTGTGGTTAGAAAATTGGAAGGCACCAGTAGGTGGTAGTTTTTGACTACAGAACTCTGTAGCACTAGACCTAAAAATGAGAACAGTAAGGCAGCTGGATCTAACTAAAATCAATCTACTCCCACAGCTTCTCTGACAAGCAGCTCAAGACAGAGCCTGTCATGATGGGAAAGCAGTCTGTGGGCTCCTCCATTAGCCATACTGGGAAACTTGTGAACGTCTACCCACAAGGTGGCCTGACAGGAACGACTGATACCTTGCTCAGCGCAAAAGGTCAACGTGAAAAGACTTCATTTTTCTTCAAATGAACATAACACTTTGAGTCATTACAATTAAAACCCTGGGGTTACAGTTTTCCTAGAGGAGGAAAAAAAATGACTCTAAAGTTTTTCTAAGAACTGACTGTCCATGGTGGAGACCTACAATCAGCATAAACCACCCAGACCTATGGTGAAACCAGGAAGCCCAACCTCAAGTGTCCTACTCTGCTCATGGGAGTATGAACCCTGGCCAACACCCCCCCCCACACACACACACACACAAGGCCAGGCTCAACCGACTGCATTCACAGGCAGTGGGTGTCAGTTCCTCAAAACCCTCAGGAGTTCCCAGCTCACTGGGAAACAGATGCAGACCTGCTGTCCTGCTAGAACAAGGCTGCCTCCCACAGGCGCCAGCCTACTCTGCTGGCAGCGTGGAGTGACTGCACAGGCTGATAACAAGCTACCCACAACTTCGTCTGTGCTGTGCTGGGAGTGCAGCTTAGCCGTCCCGTAATCTGGGTGGGGCCTGCATTGCACAGGACAATTATCAAGAGCACCCACCATCTGACACAGCTCAACACCTTCAGTCATCAGTCAGACCAACAGCTCACCATTCTCCACACACCGCCCAATGAGTCAAAGGTGAAACAAGTGACCGCCCTCTATGTCATTGCTTGGGGGTGGGGTACAAACAGGTGAGGTGACACTGCTATATGCAGGGCAGAACAGTCCACAGAGGTGGAAAAAGCGGCACAAAGCAGGTCTTTGTGAAGGCCACCTCAGGACCTGGGGGGAGGGCACTTCCAGAAGCTCTAGAATTGTCTTCCTTGTTCCTCCGAGTGGTGATAACCCAGACCATAAGGGAATCTAGAATTCAAACATTGATGGGAGATGCCTGAGAGGCAATCAGTGCTCCAAGCCAACACTCCCAGTCCAGGAAGAAGCACTACAGGACAGGACAGTGGTGGGCAGTGCTGAGACCTGACGCTTTTCTGTGCCAAGGCTAGAGGAGGCCTGTGCAGCCCCAACCCTAACACCACCAAAGGAAAGCAGCTCACTACAGGATAATGAGTTCCAGGCAGCAATACACAGCACAAAGGTACTTAACAGGCAAAGGGAATCCACAGGGCTAAAGTCTTTCATGGGAGAAAAATGGCTACCACAGACACAAACACACAGACAGGCACCTGGGCTGACAGGGTCCTTAGTTGGGAATCACTGGCCCATGGGAATCCACACAGGCTCCCCAGGCAGCACAGCATTCACAGGAACATTTATGCTCCCACGATGTGGTTTGTGTGGTGCTGTGGCTACTGCTGCACTAGGAGCCCCTTTTCCCCCCTCCAGGTCCCTGGCTGCTTGCCAAACAACAGACACTCACAGGACTGCTTGCTTCCTTCCCTTGGGAGTCACAGTCCAGCAGCATTCCTAGTAACTTCCTAGTGACTTATGCTGATTGAGCACAAGCCCCAGGATTATCAGAAGCCACTGATTTTGCAAGAAGTAAATAGGAACAACTTACCCCAGCATACGCCCCAGCGAGCAGAACTCAATTTACAAAGAGAAGCAGGGGGCAAGATTTTTCTCACTGGGTAGTCCAAGCAAGCCTTGTTCTCGTTGCACCATAGACACTGAAAGAGACCAGCGTCAGCAGACCCTTCAACAGACCACAGCAAGATCACCTTCCCGTCTCTAATGCTCCCTGTACCACCATCTCTCAAGGATGGAGGGATCTAAGGCATTCATCTCCCAAATACCCCTACTCATCCTTGTTGCTCTTTGGTCAATGTCCAACACAGTGACTGTTCACTGTCCATCCTACAGAGCCATGGTCCTGAAAGCTGTCCTGCTCCCGGGGCCTTTGCAGCCCACTTATTTTCTCTAGAGCCCTCTTCCTCAAGCTTGAATATGGTTTCCTCACATCCTCAAGGAGGCTTGCCCTGCCACCAACCACCCTTCTTCCCAGGCCCCCATTCCCTGACCAACAACACTGCCTGCTTCCTCCCACAGCATGCCTCCCTACACTATCCAGTGCATTTTCCACACTGTGCAGGAAGTCAGATAACTGTGGCCTTCACTGAGACAAGGGACTGGGGAATCTGAGCATCCAGGAGATACTCTTTTGTTGAATAGTTGGTGGGGCACAGAGGGGGGCCACTACTTTAGGAGGTCCTGTGCCTCAATCTTTACACTGCACCAAGTGTCCAGTTTGAAGGATGATGCAGCCGTTGATCAGAGTAGGAGAAAACCTCTTGTCTGAGTCCCTCAAGTGTTGGGGTGGGAATGGAGCAGTGAAGAGACTGTCACACCAATACATCAGAACTCAGAGCAGAGCACCCACCACATAGCAGCCAGCATACAGCACAGCTGACCTAGGTATGTATCCTTGGGTAGACTACACACATCAAAGGGCAAAACATTTCTGCTTTCCAGAGCACTACCAGAGCCAAGACGACATCTTTCTGTCACCACACATCGGCAGAGTAAGCATGTCACTAGATCTTCAACAAGATTATAAACCAGGTTTGGGTCTCAGTTTGGAATATCATCTACTACAAGGATATTAAAACATGTGCTGGACTACTGTACAATGTCCACTGTGGTTCCTGGCGCTACATGGAAAAGAGCAGCAGAGTCCTGAAGATCCTGCTGCCAAGAACAACTTCCATCCCAGTAGTTCCGTCCTGTGTTATTTTGGTTACTCTTCCACTTTAAAGTCTAATCTTCCATTTTTATATAACCAGGAGCTCCAATGAGAACACAGCACTCTCAAAGGCTATTGTTCTGTTCTTTTTTAACTAAAATAAGAGGCCCCTAAACAATAACTCAGCAGCAGCAAGAAATGCCATAGCCTCTTTCTAACCCACTGGTCCTTAGGAGGCCTACAGGGGTTCATCTCTTCCCAGCACCTTGTCTCTAGGCACCCTTGCCTTCACCTTGCCTTCCTGTTAGCAGTGTCAGGCCTCAGGCTCTACCCGACTAGACTAACCCATTGTGATCTGGGCAGATCCCTCTCTGGACTTTGCCCTCAGAAGAAAAACTAGAACCTAGAAAGAGTCAAGAAAACCCTAATACATGGGGTAGCAGGCTCAGCACTACCAATGCCAGTACTGAGGCAGGGCCAGCTGCTAATTTTCAGTCAGCAGATCCTGCTGCCCACTGGAGCCTCAGGAAGTAACAAGACGTGTCTCAGACCTGCACTGTCACTTTAAAAATCTACAGCTGCCTTTTCAGATGCTCCCATGTCCTCTGGTAGAAGCCAAGAGGAAACACTGCCCTGACCTGTGCTGTAGTTGGCCCGTCAGCCCTAGGATGCCACAAAGCCTCCTGGGAGTCTCCAGGGGAAATTCCTCTGAAGACTGTTTCTGGTCATCTGCTGCTCCACTTCTGTTCCTCCCTGGGAGTTCCCAGTGCAAGATGTACGGCAAGCACTGGGCTAAACAAGCCCAAGCAGAACTCCCCAGCCTCCAGGACCATCACAGAAGCCTCCCAGACTGGCCAGAGAGCAGGCCATGGCATCTAAGGACCCCAGCTGCGGAGCTATTTCCCCACTGCTGGTCTGTTTCTCCCAGAAGGGCAGATGAATGTCTGTCCCATCAAAACCCAAGATGACCTGTCAGAAGGTACCCTCATGAGTCCTTCCACTTCACAGAGGGGACTCTGCTCCAGAACAGTAGCTACCTTCTGACTCCAGGGCACACATGAAATTAAAGGAACAAAAAGTAAACATGGTGGCTGAGTCTGCCCAGTCGACCACGTGGCCTGGAGCGCTCCCACAGGCCTGTAGCTGCCTTGCCCCTGGTTCTTTTCCCCAGTCCTCTGTGGGAGTTGAGAGCAGTCCCCACGAGCCCTGGCAGCTTCAGGAAGTACGGGCACTGGGGCACAACCATGGTCGTCTCCGGTTCAGACAGTCGTTTCTCTCGACAAGGGTCCTGCTGGAGAAGCCGACCTGTAGCACTGCACCCGTGAAGAAGAGTGCGGTCTTGAGTGTGCATTCAAGGCCCCTAGTTGTCTGTTAAGTACTTGTCTTTGCGTAAGTGGTTAGTTATGTCAGCCTCCAGCATGTCTTGAAGGCTGGATGACCCTCTAGAGAAGTCAAAGGCAAGCAGTCCTAGTCTTCTAATGCCAACACACCTGCCATGTCCCCAGGCACTCCAGGATGGGTGTATCCCCACACTGCCTAACTAGGTCACGAATACTGACTGTGTTAGATGGAGCCTGAACCTTTCAGGGGAAGGCTTCAGGTACCTGAGAGAAGCTGGGATAATATTTAACAACCACCTAACAATTCCCCAATGACAGAACCTTTCAGACACACACGCCTCCTCGGACTTGAGGGCATGGGTCTGAGCGCACTACTTACCGAGACATTCCTGAGGCACTCTTCACAGGATCTGTTTGTGTACTTGGCACAACCTGCCAGGAGAGACAAAGGTATCACCGAAGCGGCACAGAAGACAAGGGTGCTGTGAACCTTGGCAGGGAATGATCCACAACTCTGCTGGTGCTGGCCTGCAACTTATTCCTGCTGCAAGCAAGGCACCAGGAGAGCTACTCCTGCAAGGAATCTCCTGGGAAGAAAGACTCCAAACACAACACAGCCATGTTTTACAGCTCTCTTTATAAGTGAATCATGAAACTGGGCAACCACTAACCTGCTGAGACCTACTACTACTGGCATGCTCTGGTGAGCCGGAGGCCATGGCTATCTGGTGACATGCCTAAGGCAAAGCCAAGCTTGCAGACTTACCTTCAGAGCTCAAGCTTCCCCAGAGAGGGCTATGCTCCCCAGACCCAAGAAGCCAGGTGGTGTCAGCCTGCTCCAGTCATGCAGAGCACCTGGGACACTGCCAGCACCCACAGCAATATTTTTAGGAGAGGTTCAAAGTCTATGCAGCTATCAGCCTCGGAACTCAAGCAAATCAAATGTATAGAAGTAGCATATAAATCAAGACTTTCTCATGCTATCCAATTAGCCACTACTTTTCCCCACCATGTCTTAAAACAAGCACACTTTGATTTGCCTGGCGCACACCTGTGACCCCAGCACTCTGGGAGGCAGAAGTAGGCCGGATCGTTGTGAGTTTGAGGCCAGCCTAGTCTACAAAGCCAGTTTAGGATAGCCAAGGCTACACAGTGAAACCCTGTCTCAAAAAAGCCAAAACAACAACAAACAAACAAACAAAAAACAAGCACACTTTGAAAAGAGCACTGCACTCAAGTCATTGGTTGCCAGGGAAATGCAAACTAAAAACATCAAGAAGATGCATGCATAAGAAAGGCTAAACTTAAAAGAGACAACCAGGGATACACAGTAACAATTTGGAGTTGGCTCAGCCATTTTTAGAAATGGCCTCTCCTATGGCTAGCAAGCTCACTAGAAGTATCTTATTCAAGACATCAGAACACATACCAAGAGAAAGCCCTGTGCAGGCATGCTCCCCGCATCTCTATCCACAATGACCCAACTGGAAACGGCCCAGATGTTCACTTCCAGAAGGATGGACAGATAAACCGGAACATCTACACAGTGGAGCAACTTCAATCCACAAAGAGAAGGGAAATGAATGATACTGACCAACGCCACGCAGGCCGAAAGAAGCACTGTCTCAAAGACCATGTTTCAAGCCCAACAGTTCTACACAGTGTAAACTCATCCACCTAGGGCGAGAACAGGCGCTTCTGGGGCCACACGGGAGGGAAGACAGTTGGCTCACGGGTTGCTGGATAGAGTCTGGCATCTAGAGTAGCTGGGAGAAAAATCTAAAAAAAAAAAAAAAAAAGTGGTTTGGAGCATACCTTTGTAAGCCCAGCACTTGAAGGTTGAGGTCTGGAGATACAGAGTTCCAGGTCAGCCTGAGTTACACAGAGATCCTGACTCAAAAAAGAAAAAAAATAAAAAAATAAAAAGGACAGCAGAAAACCAAGACGACATTGGGCTCTGGTGGTCTGCCACCAATCCAGAGGAACCCAGGCTGCTCCTGGACAACAGCACAGGCCTATCAGCAAAACACAGCGATAAAAACTCAGTGGTGGGGACATAAACATACACCTCCTAATAGGTGGCTCCTATTCTGCTCCTTGCCTCCCCCTTGGGGCAACCTGAGACAGTGGGTGCATACTGTTCTGTTTATTTACAAGGTCGAGAAAAAGCAAGACCAGGAGGGGCATGATGGCAAATGCCTTTAATCCCAGCACTCAGGAGGGAGAGGCAGGTGGATTTCTGTGAGTTCGAGGCCTGCCTAGTTTACACAGTGAGTTCCAGGGCAGCCACAGCTACATAGTGAGGCTATGTCTTGGAGTGAAAGAAAGAAAGAGAGAGGAAGAGAGGGAGGGAGGGAAGGAGGAAAGGATGTTAAGATGAAGGAAGGAAGGAAGACAGGCAGGCAACACCAGACTGGGAATCTCTACAAACAGGCTTTCTGAAGACAAAGATGGACTTGAGGGGCTTAGAAATGTAAAAGCTGGGGCTAGAGAGATGGTTCAGAGGTTAAGAGCACTGGCTGCTCTTCCAAAGTCCTGAGTTCAATTCCCAGCAACCACATGGTAGCTCATGACCATCTATAATGAGATCTGGTGCCTTCTTCTGGCCTGAAGGCATACATGCAGGCAGAATGCCGATAAATAAATAAATCTTAAAAAAATAATGTAAAAGTTGAAGCAACTTAAAATGGCCCAAGGCTTCAGAGGCTGAGAACAGAGAATGACCCCACTGGGGAACTTGGTGAATCTGTGTAGAGTATATGGTAAATCAAGTGTCTGTGAATGTAAAAAGTTCCATGTTTTTTTGGGGGTGGGGTGGGTTTTGGAGGTAGAGTTTCTGTGTGTTGCCTTGGCTGTCCTGGACCCACTTTGCAGACCAGGATGGCCTTGAACTCAGATCCATCCACCTACCTCTGCCTCAAGTCCTGAGATTACAAGCATGTACCACTTCAACCAGCTCTGAGTTCCACTTTAACACCCCACCTTTGGCAACTATGTTCTAGAGGAGCAGAGACTATCCTCATATTAGGAGAAATTATACCTGAAGAATTCAAGGGTACAAACCACCACAATAACTTACTCCCATGATTTGGTCAAATTAGTAACAAGCTCTAAGATTATAATTTCTCAATTTGCAATAAAAAATTTTAAATTAGCAGATGGCTTATGGTAAGCTAAGAAAGACCCTAGCAAGCACAGGGAGGGCAGGAAGTGGTAGAGCAAGCATGCAGTCACTCAGGATAGCTGTACATCCATGAGCTCACCATTCCGCCCCTCAGCTCTCCTACACCCTGCACTGGGATCTCAGAATGGTGACAGCTGAGGGTGTACCGAACACACCCACTCTCCAAAGTCATCCACAAGAAAGGATGGTCTTGCTTGCTATCAGCAGACACAGCGGCCCCGGTAATCATGAGGTCCGGATATGTTGCGGGATATTTTGTAAACTGCGCTTTTGAGAAGTGAAAGAACTGAGTTCCAAGAAACACATCCTGAGCTCTGACCACCCTGGGCCTGTCCATTACTCGGCAGTCTGAATTCCCAAGCGCCAGCCCTCCTCCTCCGCAGGCCAACTTTAGGGTGGATCTTGTGTACCAAAAAACATGAATGGCAGGCATCTAGCTGAAGTAACTCCCAGACTCACGTGGCAAGGAAGGAAATACTGACAATTTGCTGCCCCACAGCTCACATTTCTGGAAGGCCACACACAGTATCTCCTAGCCAATCACGGGACACAGGCAACCGCACGCTGGTGATAAGAACAATGTCTCTGCAGTTCCTCGGTGCTGACTGTGAAAGGCCTGACTTTGAGGCATTATGACTTAAGAGTTCAGTTTAGATGCTATTTACTCATTTTTAAAGCACTTTCAAACTCATTCCCTTTAATAATTAAACGGGAAGACGATAAATAGTGACTCATTTCTGAGTGGGTCCCTGCCGTTTCAGGTGAGTCAACTACGGCACTCAGGACAAAAGGACACACCTACATGCGGGAAGGGGATGATTTTGGAAACTAAGGAAACAAACATTTATCATAAACCAATGATACAGAAGGCCTCATTCTGCCATCTTCTGTGCCCCAAACTTGGAAGGGCTCAGTACCCATTCTGGGGACAGAACTCAGGGAGAACCTCTACTGTCCTGTCAGGGGAGGAGAGCACACCTGCTTAGACAAAGTAGTTCTGGCCACCTCCCTGAGGAAGATGAGGAGGAGCAAGGCACCCCAAAAGGCATGTATGGAGTATCGTCCAGTACAGTTCTCCTCAGGGAGATAGGGAGGGGAACTGCAGGTCCCTCTGCAGACTAAGTTGCTCAGTAAGGACTCACGCCTGGTGACCTGCACCAGCCACCCCATAGGCATTCCTCTGGAGGGCGACAGCTGCGGTCTTTTAGGGGCTCTTTTCGCCAAGGTGAAGATCTGAAATAGTGACTCCACGCACCACTATGGAGGAACAAAGTGCCCTCCACTTCATGAATCTCGCTCTAAGGAGCTATATAATCCATGACAGATTCGGCGAAGCACACAAAAATATTAAAAAGATAAGAGTTTTGCCAGACACAGTGGTGCACACCTTTATTCCCAGCACTTGGGAGGCACTGGAAGGCAGACACCTGCGAGTTCAAAGCCAGCCTGATCCATATAGTGAAACCGTGTCTCGAACAACAAACAAAAAAGTGAGTTTGGGAATACTGTAATGTATTCTTTAAATTTATGTGGGATCCTTGCACACACGAATGTTTTTAAGCATAAATCATCCTTCTATAGAATATCTCACATCCTGCACATGTCCTGTGGCAAAGATATGGATGCTGGTGCCCTCCTCACTAGAGCAGTCTAGCAATGCAGCAGACAGCGACACCCCTGAGCCACTGGGAAAGGGGTCCTGTGTCTCCACAGGCTCTCCAGCATTCTGCCCGCTGTAAAATCCTCTCTGGGGAATCTAGCCCCAAGTCTCCCGGGTCGCGAGGGTCAGACACTTTAGCCACAGTAGCAGCAGCGCAGCAGTCGGAGACCTTAGGCACACCTGGGAGCCGATAAGAAACTTAAACACCGAGCTGCGTCAGCACGGAAAAGGTCACAAAGAGAAAACACACAGTGCCAGGCTAGAGCGTAAAGACACCTTGAGAGAACCTGAGAAAAATACTCTCCCTCTAGCTGGGTCCCATCAACCCGTGCTGCAATGGTCAGGAAGCGGACCAGGCCGATTCTCTCAGCTTCAGACCTGCACATAACCTGCCAGCTCCACCGATTCCCCCCGCAAAAAACAAACAATGCTAGCGTCAAGCACTTTGTAAGAGTTCCGATCCTCAAAGTGGCGGGCCCCGGCACCTGCTACAAGCAGGAGTGGACCCCGAACCAGCCAGATACCAAGCAGGTGCCAAGGCATCGGGTTCCGACTGGGCCTACTTTTCGTGCCTTAGGGCTCGACGTAACTCCCAGTAAATGCCTGCCGCGCCCGCAGCTCCAAGGGAGGGCATGGGCGCAGAGGACGCAGGGCCCGCGGGCCGGGCTCCGCCCTGGATCCGACCCAGCCGGCCCTCCTCCCCGGTTCCCCGGCCTTACCTATCCCCGGAGGTTCCTGCGCGGAGGCCATAGGCAGAAGCAGCAGCAGCAGCGCCGCGCCGAGGAGCATCACCCATCGCGGCGTCAGCCCGAAGGCAGCAGACGCCATGGTGCGTCGGAGGCGTCGGCGGCCAGCACCTCAGACTGACTACTCAGACGCTGAGCTGGGCTGTTTCCACAACTAGCGCTGAGGGAACCCGGGGGGCGGGGCCTGCTAGTGCGCAGCCGCAGGCTCCGGCTCGCCCCGCCCCTTCGCCTTATGCCCGCCTCCGGGCCGCGGCAGAGGCTTAGTGGGCCTGCGCACTGTTGGAACTGCCGCGAGGTAGGTATAACGGGAGCGTCAGACCAGTGCGCCTGCGCAGTAGACTTCTAGGCAGGGCCGTGCACTGTGCTGCGCTTTGCCAGCTAGAGCGGGTGCGCAGGAGTGGAGATGCTGGACTCTTTCACGGGTTCTGTCTGAGGTTCGGCTGCTCTGCCCAACACAGGTCCAATGGTAAGTCCGCCGAGGGCCTCTGAGGATGACCCCAAAGCGGCCTGGACTGGGAAGGTGGCTTCAATTGCAGCCAAGATCCCTTTGATTAGGGCCGCTAGCAGCAGCGATGGTGGGTTGCACCTGCTCTGTAGCCACTTAGCCGAGGCAACCGGGCAGTTGCCTTTGCCAGTCCTGTGGATTCTCTCCCAGAGCTTCTTGGGTGTCCATAGGGCAGGTTTTGAGGGTTCGTTTACCTGTGTAAGTTATAATAGCATCCAGGCTGTCGCGAACTTGTTACTGAAAGGAGGTTAAAGGATGTAGCTTAGATGGTGGAATGGCTTGCCTAGCAACCGCCGCACAAGGCCTCCCTCCCCCCACACCTCCAGTTCCATCCTGAGAACCTCACAAACCAGTCCTGATGGCGCACACCTGTCACCCCAGCACTTGGGAGGTGGAGTCGAGAACCTCAAAAGTTCAAAGTCTTCCTCAGCCAATGAGAGTGGGCTCCCTAAGAGTGGGTTGTTGGAGGCAGGACTACATTTTCTTTTTTTTTTTTTCTTATTTATTTTTTATATTAATCACAGGTTATTTACTTTGTATCCCAGGCGTAGCCCCCTCCCTCATTCCTTCCCAATCCCACCCACCCTCCCTCACCTTCTCCCTGCCCCTTTCCAAGTCCACTAATGGGGGAGGTCCTCCTCCACCTCCATCTGACCCTAGCTTATCAAGTCTCTTCAGGACTGGCTGCAGTGTCCTCTTCTGTGGCCTAGCAAGGCTGCTCCTCCCTCGTGGGAGGGAGTGGAAGAGCTCGCCGTTGAGTTTACGTCAGAAATAGTCCCTGTTCCCCTTATTAGAGAATCCATTTGGACACTGAGCTACCACGGGCTATATCCGAGCAGGGGTTCTAGGTTATATCCATACATGGTCCTTGGTTGGAGAAATAAAACAGTCTCATGAGAGACCCCTGTGCCCTGATATATTTGGGACTACATTTTCTTAATTAGTGATTGATGGAGGAGAGCCCGTTTCTTATGGAGGTACCACTCCTGGGCCGGTGCCCCTTGGGTTCTGTAATAAAGCAGGCTAATTAGTAAGCCAAGACAAAGCCAGTAAGCAACCCTCCTCCATGACCCTTCCTTAGCTTCTGCTTCCAGGTTCCTGCATGAGTTCCTGCTTTCGATGATGAACTGTTCTATGGAACTGTGAGTGAAATAAACCCTTTCCTCCCCAAGTTGCTACTGTTGCTGTGTTTCATCACAGCCATAGAACAGTTAACTAAGAAAAGGTTTATTAAGAGACAACAGGAGAGAAGTTCCTGAGAGTAGGAGGGGCTCCCAAGAAATAAAAAGCAACAGCACTTGTAAGACAGATGTCCGTCCCCTTCCCCCCCCCCATTCCCTAAGAAGCAGCCATTATCTCCAGCTTGCCCCCTCAAGCAATCAGGGCTTCTTAGAAATCACCTTGAAGGACCAGAACTGAGACAGTGAGCAACAAGACCACAGTGTGGCCAGGATTGTTTCATTACGAAACTCTCTTGCCCTGATCCATTCCCCCCACCCCAGTAAATCAAAGCTAATGTCAGTGCCCTGAAGATGGACATGGGGGTCATGAGTCATGAGCCTCTTTATGCTTGGCACCTTTCTTTTGCCAGCTTTGGTCCCATCAACTGGAGTAATGGGATGAACACGCTCATCTACTGAGCCATCTCTGCAGCCCTGTACAGCATGCCTTACAGCCATAGTCTGAAGTTCTTAAAAACGAAGTAGGCTGCTTGCCCATATTGTGACAGGGCAGTTCCAGGAGGAGTTGGTGACTGGAGCTTCTCCCAGGTCCTCCTGGCTCGATGTGGATGATGTAATGAGAATGTATGTGTTTGTATGCTCCATTTTCTTTTTCTTTTTTTTTTTTTTAATAATTTATTTAATTTTATGTACACTGGTGTGAGGGTGTCAGACACTTGGAACTGGAGTTACAGACAGTTGTGAGCTGTCATGTGGGTGCTGGGAATTGAACCCGGGACCTTTGGAAGAGCAGACAGTGCTCTTAACCACTGAGCCATTTCTCCAGCCCTGTATGCTCCATTTTCAAGGCGGTGTGGCATGTCACCTGCACTGAGATTGTTTAGGCCAGGAGTTAGACATGGGGTAAGACAAGTTTTTGTCAGTCTGACACAAGCTAGAGTCATCTAGGAGGAGGGATGTCAAGTAAGGAGTTACCTCCATCAGTCTGGTCTGTAGACATATCCGTAGCCCATTTTATGGAGGGATGATCGATGTGGGAGGGCCACTCTGGGGCAGGTGGCCTTGGGTTATATAAGAAAGCAAGCATGAGCCAGCGATGCTGAGCAAGCCTGCAAACTGTGTTCTCTGAGATTCTGCCTCAGTTCCCGCCTTGAGCTCCTCCCCTGGCTTCTCTAAATTGTGATGTAGAAGTATCAGCCAAGTAGTTTTTTGTTGTTGTTCCCCCCACTTCCCTAGTTGGTTTGGTCAGTGTTTTATCATAGCAACAGAGAAGCTAACTGAGACATCAGGGCAGCTGCAGCAGTCTTTAAATACCCCGTTATAGTTAAGCACTGTTCTTTCTGCTGTATCAGAAACTCGGGTTCTAGTTGGGGTCATGTTAGTCATCTGCCCTGTGAAGGTGGGTCCTCAAGAGATCCAGCTTGGTTGCAGTGGCACTGTAGTTTTGACCACCTTTCCCCACTTTGTGGATCATGGGGGGAATACTCTAAAAGGATGATCTGATCTGTCTTGAGGAAAAAAAAAAAAAAAAGCATCATCTACCTGAAGAATATGCCACCCCTCGTGAATATACATAAACCTCATGCAAAACAACAAACCCAAGTTCCTTTGCTGCTGTCATTTCTCAGGTTAGCCGGCTCCTGCCATCTTTGAAGTATAGTATGCGTCGATTTTGCTAAATAAATCTCACTTTCTATGGTCCCCATCTGCATCTATGGATGAATTCTTTCTTCATTGGACCACGGACCTGCCAGACCCCTGGGTAGGTAATAACTTTATCAGACCCAAGAGGTACGGATTGCCCATGATCATAAGTCTGGAAGGGCTCACAGGGGACCGGTGTGAACTAAAATTTCTCCAAAGGAAATATACCTATGCATACGATTCTTCAAGGCCACTTGATTGATAAGAACTCATAATCTTGGAGAATTGGCTGCAGTTCCAGAGCCGAATTATCTTGGCCGATCCTTTGGTTTCCCTAATGGCCAATCATTGCCCACCTCTGACCTAATGTCTTTTTTACTGTCGGGTACAACCTCAGGAATGCATTCTTAGCAGACTACTACCATCCGCCAAACCCAAATCTCAGAATGCCCTCAGATAATATCTGAGACCTATAGCAGAGACGTGCCTGCTTCCTTGCAACCTCCTCTAATACACTTGAAAAATGCCTTGATCTATGACTGTTTCGTTCTGTAACTGTAAGCACTTTCCTGAACTGTTGGCACAATCTGAGCATGTTATTCAGAACAACCTGAATCCATGTTCCTAAACTATGCTCATTTATATTGGGCTCAACAGTAAACCGTTTCGTTTCCTTTGAGGTCTGTATTTTGAGTCATCAGGAAACCATGAGGAAGGAGTTCAAGTCCCAGCTCCTCCTGGCCCCACCACTGCGACCTCTACCATAGTTTCAAAGCCCCAGTGAACTTCCGTGGCCACAGCAAACAAACACCAGAACAGGATCAGGCGCCGAGGCACAGATTAGAGCCCAGGATCATTGTCTGCAACCTGAACTAACTCAGTGCCTGGTACAACATTCACAGGAAGTCTAGGCTTGACACCCATGCACAAGGACAAGGTCATTGGTGTGTTGGTATGTTAGGGGACATTTTAACAAGCAGGTCTCACTGCCCTCTAATGCAGCAGAAAGCTCCTTCTGTGTGTAGCTGCTGAGTAGGGAGTAAATGTTTTACATATTCCCAGGCAAGCAGCCCTCATGGAATTGTCTATTATACAAACAAAGTCTTGAAAACCCACTTGTAGGAACAGTAGTCATGAGCCTGGTGTAGAATGCTTAGAGCAAGGATGCTCTTGTCCTAGCATCAAAGCACACAGTGCTAAATCAGCATTTTGTTTTAATTTGAATCGTGTGTGTGTGTGTGTGACATCACAGTACATATGGAAGTCAGAGGACAACTTTCAGAAGTTGGTTTTCTCCTTCCACTGTGAGATCAAATGCAAGTCATCAGGCTTGCTTGGCAAGTGCTTCTATGCACTGAGCCATTCCACTGGCCCCACAGTAATAATTTAATGAGGGTGGGGGACACTGATGCACATTAGCCTATATTCAAGAAATGTAAAAAACAAACAAAACAAAAAACAAACAAACAAACAAAAAAAAAAAACACAGAAAAGCCCTAATGTGACGCTTTTAGAAAGAAATGCTGCTGGTAGCAGCATTATAAAGTACAACTGAGTCTTGGGAAGATTTAGCAATGCAAAAGCTGGAGAGATGGTTCCCTGCCCCCACATGGCAGTGCCGGTGACATTGTCCTAAACCACAGGACTCTGGCTAGGTAAACAAGAAGGATCTCCTTATCAGGTAAACAAACCTACAGGTTTCTGTTTACTAGAATAGCAGAAACCACCCTTAATCTTCCAGCAACCTCCAAAGTTCCCCCAAAGGTCAGCTCCCTCTAGCAACTTCCTGAAGATCCAGGTTCAATTCCCAATATCCACATGGCTTCCCTAACTCCAGTTCCAGATCTAATGTCTTCTTCTGGCTTCCACAAGCAGATGCATAGCACACATACATACAGGCACACATACATACCCACACACAGTATGTGAAGGTGAGGGGCGGGTGTGGGGAGGAGTGTGGAGCACTTGGTTTAGAGACAGTTTCCCAACGTAGCTCTGGCTGCCCTGAACTCACTCTGAAGATCAGGCTGGCCTCAAGCTCAGAGATCTGCCTCCTGAGTGCTGGGATTAAAGGTATGTACCACCATAATGTATTTAACTAAAATACATTAAAAAAAATAAAAAAGCTTAGCCTAAGGGCTGGGGAGATGGCTGAATGGGGGAGAATGTTTGCTATGCAAGCATGAAGGCCTATGTTCAAATCCCCCAACCCATGCACACCAAGCCAACTGTGCAAAGTGGTAGTAGCACTTTGGGGGTCAGACACACCAAACACACACACAAAGTACAGTCCACATCCCTGCTTCAGCCACATGACAGTGAAGAAGAAGGAGGAGGGAGAGCTTCTGATACAACCACACATCTGACTTTGACAGGTACCTCTTCAGTCATCCATAAGCTTCCACCCCAGGAATGATTGACATCGCATGTGGTCCGGAGACCACAAGCAGCAAGGATGGTGGAGAGAAACAGTGATACCTCGAGTCAAAGGGTGTTTGCTTTTCCGTGGAGATGGTTAAAGAATTCAACAGACACAGAATGGCATCGGCCTGCTTTGCATCCAAGAGCCACAGAAAAGCTGCTTACAGCCCAGACCAGCCACGGGATGATATGATGCCACGGCCCAGCAGCCATAGGAATTCTAGGGCCACAGGTCAGAATTTCTGACACCTGAATCACCTGCTGGGGATTTTCAGTTTTATTTGGTAGTGTCTGTGTGACTGGTCTTTCTTCAATGCAAGGACATTCCTTAGTTAGCCACAGAACTCCACATATGGAAACATCCTCCCAGGTCATAGTACATTTTGTCTGCAGGTGCTTCATCAGGGCATGCTTCTGAATGGAGCTTGGGGGGGGGGGGACTTTGAACTTCTGGAGGGGAGCTGCCAAGGAAGGGGCTGTGCCTGGGGACAAAGCCCAATTTTCTATGGTTGGATTAAGCCAGAAGAACCTGTTTCTCTGGAATGTGGGATGGCCTTGATGGGCGGCTGTGAGAAGTTGTTTGCCCCACTGGTTTGGGACTGGTTTTTTTATTGTCCTTGTTTTTTGTTTGTTTTGTTTTGTTTTTTAATCTGGGGCCTTTCCGGCTCAGGAATTTAGAAAACTAGTTCCTCATCCCTGATGAGCAGCCAGCCAGTCTCTCCCAATCCTCCCTGAGAGCCTGTCAGCGACTCCTTCGCCTATGTATTTTTACTTTATCATTTATACTTTATGTGTGTGCTTTGTGAATGTATACAAAGAATGTGGAGGTGATGGCAGGGGTCAGAAGAGGGAGACAGGTTCCTTCCCCCAAGTCAGCTTGGAGTTGTCAGCCTCCTGGTGTGGACACTGGGCCTCTGGAAGAGTAGCAGGTACTTTTAGCCACTGAGCCATCTCTGTGGACAAGATGGAAGATGTCACTTGCTCAAGGTGACATAGTAAAGACTCAGTACTGGACATGGACCGACGCTTGGAATTTTGATTCTGTTAGGTCCAAAGTGTGCTCCCCTTTCCCCCCTGCCCCCCCCCCACAGTGGCAGTGCTTTTGACAGTGTCCTTGTTGGGGTAATCTTTTTGTATACTGTGTAAAGGTTGTCTTTATATTGTTCAAATGTTGATTTCTGAACCAACAGAGAGCTGAGTACTGTCCAGACTTTGGTTATTGGTCATTTTTATGGATCATCGCCTGCCTCAGAACTTTGTAGACCTCCATTACCTTCTCATTAGTTTAATAAAGTAGCTGAAGCAGGAGAGGAAAGGGGGAAGAATCAGGCAAGAAGCTTTGCCAGAGCGACACAGGTAGACTTAACAGGTGCGGGGTCTGGGTGAAAGGTAATGGCAGACGTGGACTGAAATAGCTGGGTTACTTTAAGTTCAATAAGCTAGCTGGTAAGTAGCCAGGTAAGGCCTAAGCTATGATAAATAGTAATAAGTTTGTGTGTCATTATTTGAGAGCTGGCAGGTCCAAGACAGTTCAGCAGTAGTCCTAAACAGAAGGATTTTGCCTGGGTAAAACATAAGCCTAAATGTGGGTTTCTGTTAACCAGCAGCCTTCCTTAATCCAACCCCAAAGATTAACTAGCCTGGGCAAGGTAGTTCCACACACTTCCTTGTGTCTGATTCCACCCTGAGATTTTGGTCCTTCTGCTTCTTAAAAGCCCCACTCCCAACCACTATCGCACTTTGGGATAAGTTCCAGCAGGTGAAGGAGGGAGAGACATCAGCATTCATACAGCACCGTAGGGTGAGTCTCAGACAAGAAGCCATGCTGTGGTAGTCAGAGGTGGCCAGAGTGGTGAAGACCTCCAGGGAGAATGGGGGAGGCAAAGACGGGCCTCCCGCCCAGCCTCACTCACAACATGAAGGGAAAAGGAGGATTGTTGCCTTGGTTGAGATAGAACTCCACACGGAGGAGTGGGTGTTATCCAGGAGATGGTCAAGGCCTCTGGGGGCCAGGGCAGCTCTCATGGGACTGGCAAGGAACTTCCTTGGGCCATGGCAGGAACAGTGAACCAGCAGCCAAGAGCTGCCAGCAGGTGGCACTAGACACGGGACCCTGCAGCTGTGCTTTGATCCTGGCTCTAAATAAACTACCATGCCGGCTTCCCAGCAGGCTGAGTTCTGAGGACCTCCTGGAGGTCAGAGGTGATCCACTGCATTATCCACTGTACCTGAAAAGCATCATTTGTTTTTTGACTGAATGGAATGTTCCACCAACAAGTTTTTCTGGACTTTGAACAATTGTATTCTAAAGAAGGAGGAGGAGAAGAAGAAGAAAAGAGAAGGACAAAATATCATTTGAAAATACATTTCACACAGGGAAGGCACTCCAATATACACCTGGCGCTCAGTCCTGCCCACTTCACAAATGTGTGTAAGGAGATTTGAACAAGAGTGAGTACCTCTGCCTGGAGGTGAGAACCCTTGAGGGGTTCTCTGGCCACACCTAGCCCTTCCTACTCGAAGGCTTGGGGACACAAGCTGGGTGGCCATTTACATGGCTTCATAGTACAGTTCAGATTGGAAGTGCCTTTCTACAAAAACTCCTGTATTCGGGGCCTTGGTGCTTAGCTAGTGGCACTATTTTGGGCGGTTCTGGGAAGTTTAGGAGGTAGAGCTTAGTTGGAAGACATAGGTCCTTGGGGTCAGTCCTTCAGGTGGCTTGTCACTGGCCTCTTTCTGTCTGTCTGTCTGTCTCTCTGCTTCCTGGCTGACATGAAGTCAGCAGTTTGGAGAGCATACTCCCACTGTCAGGATGCTCTGCTAAGTATGTGGAGCTAAGCAACTGAATCACCAAAGACCATAAGGCAAAGCAAATATTTCCAGGAAATGTACCTAGTATGTTGGATCATCACTCTCAGAGACCCAGGAACACCATAATCACTGAACACAACTTGGGCTCATTTACTCATTCAGAACTTGAGTCAGCAGTGGTTTCCTGGTCACCCCTTCCCCCCAAATTCTTACCCAACTCCTGGCCTGTGTTCTGGCCACCACCCTATCCTCCTGTGCTGAACCCAACAGATGATGGGAGCTGAAGATGGTGGGAGGTGACATTTCTGTCACCTGACACCTTTGTTGGCAGCCACACAAGATTTAGCACTGGGTCTGGAAAGGCCTCATACATACAGACCCATGGGCAGGGAAGAAGAAAACTAAATCTCACACTCCATGGCCCAGAGCCCACCTGAATCCTCAGGATGTGAATAAATAATCAGACAACTGGCAAATGGGTTAAGCACTCTGGAGCTCAGGCCACCCTGTCCCAGGGGACCCCACAAAGCCTGCCTCCTGTGGACAGCATGGATAGAAGCTTTATTATTTTTACACATTACAATAGAATATGTGGGATATAGTTCCATGTGCATAGATAATATAATGGATGAGATGTTAACAATATAATAAATGAGATATACCCTGTCAAGTTTAAATATAAATAAGTTGGTGCCACCTTTACGGAGACTACTGTCTTCCTTTATGCAAGAGAACGTGTGTGGAACCCCTTAAGACTTGGGACATTCTTCTCTAAGACTCTGTGGCAAGATTGTACAGGTCGGAAGATGAGTCCCTAGAAAACCTGGCAGCCTTGACTTCAAGGGAGAAAGAGAGAGTGGGCCTTTGGATCCTTGGCAGCACTGTGGTGAGCCGTAAGCCACATGGTGGTTCAGAAGGAAGGAGGCGTGGTCTGAGGGTCTCGTCTGCCTGATCCTGGTACCTTGTGCCCTAGCTTTCAGCAAACCTGGGGTTCATGACCGTTGTGGTAGCACTCTTGAAGAGGGGGTTGTCCTAAAAAAGGAACCAAGCATGTTGTCAGTGCAGGGAGGGTGTCAAGACTCTTAGAAGCCACCAGCTCAATAGAGGTGACAGTGAGGAGCCAACCAGGACAGGAAGCCGCCTCAGGGCTAAGCCTTCACACCATAGCCTAGTTTGGGAGGCTGGAGGCTAAGCTGGGGTGAAGCATGTGCCATCTCTCCAGGACAGCCAAGGTCCCACTGTGAAAAGTACAGAGTTGGGGAAGTCACCCTATGTGGGTCTCCCAAGCATGGGCAGGAGAGAGCGTGTACCAATAGCTCCCTGTGAGAGGTCAGAGAAGAATTCGAGTTCGTGTGCTATAGGGTCCCCCAAGAGAGGCCACTCACATTGTTCCACTGGGACTTGAGCTTCTCCTTCTCAAAGCGTCTGTACTCCCTGAGGTCAGTCAGGTGGGTCAGGGCCTTCCAGATGACCAGGAGGAGGACACCGATCAATACGACACCTACCACAGTTCCCCCTACGATAGCAGCCACGTTGGGGCCTTTCACACACACTGAAGAAGAAGAAGAAGAACACAACCACAAGTGTCAGCCCCTCCCTACAGGATCCAGGCCTATTCCTGCCACACTGGGATCACCCTCTGCCACATCTCATGAGGAGAGGAGAGAATCTCGCCCCGCCCTCTACCAGAAATAAGACCAGGCCCCATGCTTCCAAACGAAGCATAAAGACTGTTTGGCCAAATCATTGGCCAACCTGAGGAAAGCTTGGATGAAATGGCAGGCATCCCTGGGTCAACACCACCACTAGGGTTGTGCTTGAGGTACCCCTGGCCATCTCATTGTGCAGTATGGGCATTGGTACTGATGTCTGAGTTGGTACGTCCATTGGTGACCAATGCCAGGTCTATGTGTAGACAGCTGAGGTAGCCATGTGATGAGCAGGACAATATCCCAAAGTCCGGTGCTGAGCTGGCCTCTCTTGGGTGTGGACCCTGAGATGCAGTAGGCTACACAGCAGACCCTGACTGGGTGACAGAGGTACTAACCATCAGTGCAGACCTCTCCTTGCTGGGTCCCTGATGACATTGTCATAGAATCTTTCCTATCATCATGGCCTTTTCAGGAAGGGCCACCTGCTGTCTTCACAGAGGTTAAATAATTTGGCCAAGGTTGCACAAAACCAGACATTATTTCCAATGTATCCATCAGAATAGCCTGGAGGAGACCTCACAATGGCAGGATGGAGCCCACAGCCCCCAAGCCCGAGGGCAGACCCTGAGCTCCAGGTACGTCAACAGAGGCTATATCCTATCTGCCTTCTTATGGGTTCCTGACTTGAAGAGGGGCTTGGGCTCAGGAGCCTCCAGGCCTCAGTTGTGTAGCAGCCTGGTTTGCTGCTGGCCTGAGCTCCTGATGGTCACCTGAGTGGCCTCCTTGTCAGTTCCCTTAGCTGTCGGGGTCTGAATGCAGTGCATAGCTGAAATTCCAAGGCTGCTTGCTTAAATCTATAAGGCACCCTGTCATATCTTTTTGCCTAAATCCATCATGCCTGCCTTCTTTGGTTATTGTTATTCAACAATACTTCCCAGCTATTCAACCTCCGACCTGACCTTCTGTTTCATCTGTCGGGGACCCAGGACCCATCATCACCTGTTTCTCTCAGAGCTGCTCTTCTGGGTATCAATACACACACACACACACACACACACACACACACACACACCTACAGCCCATCCTGCCCACTCATCTCCTCTCTGTTAAGTCCTAGGCCAAGCAGCAGTTTTACCTGCCCCTTCTGCAGCCCTGACATGATCCATCCACTTGCTCAGTGACAGGGCAGCAGCCAACTTAGACAATCACAAGATCATAACTGCCTCATCCCCTGCTGAAACTATGTTTATCTGGCTCCTGACATGATCATGCTCCCTGACTCCTAAAGGGACAGTGCTTATCTGGTCCCTCACAAGACCTTCTCCACCTCGTTCCCTGACAGGACTGTGTCCACTCAGTTCCTGACAATATCGTGTCCACACTATCCTCCAGGAGGGCAATACCCACTGAATACCCTGGCAAGTGAGCTGCTGGTGGCACTTTTAAAAAACACAACATGGGGGCCAGTGAAAATGGATCAGCCAGGAAAGGTGTTTGCTGTGCAAACATGGCCATCTGAGTTCCATCCCACCATGAGAAAAAGATGAACCAACTCCTGAAGCTTGTCCTCCGATGTGTGCACACCCACGCACACACTAATAATAATAAAGAACCAGCAATTACAGAAAAAAAAAAACTTTAAATAAGAATAGCTGAGCATGGCTACTTTCTTTCTGGAAATTTCTAATGGTTTTTCTGGAATGTACAGGAATAGGCCTGGACCCTTCCAGGACTCCTGGGGGCATCGTGTGTGTAAATGGCTGGCCCATGGGGAGTGGCACTATGAGGAGGCATGGCTTTGTTGGAGTAGGTGTGGCTTTGTTGGAGTAGTTGTGGCTTTGTTGGAGAAAGTGTGTCATCGTTGGGGGGGGGGCTTTGAGATCTCCTATGCTCATGCTCCGCCCAGTGTGGAACCAGCCCCCTTCTGCTACCTTTAGAGGTAGAACTCTTGTGCTCTTCCAGCACATCTGCCTGCACGCTGCCATGCTTCCCCCCATGATAATAATGGACTAAACCCCTGAAATTGTAAGCCAGCCCCAAGGAGATGTTTTCCTTTATAAGAGTTGTCATGGTCATGGTGTCTGTCCAGAGCAGTAGAACCCAAACCGGGACAATATCCATTGTGTATTGTATTGCCACCATGAAATGTCATTTGCTGTTCATCTCACCATGCAGAGCCAGGTAAGGAGAGTAAAGAGAGAGGGCCATGGGACAGGGAAATTGGATGGCTGCCAGCTGCCCTGCCCAGGTCCTGGCCAGTTCCTCTCCTGCTGTTGAGCTTGCCTCGCCCCACAGAAGAGAGCTGTTTCCCTCCACAGCCCTCTCACTGTCTGCGAAGGCCTTGGGGTCAGAGTTCTTGTCACCATGTCCCAACTACACCAGTCCTCGTCATCACGTCCCAGGTCCCACCCAGCCTCACCTCGGATGTCCTCCACGTGGATGTCGTAACGGTCCCACCCGTCCTTCTGCTGCATGGTGTAGTTCATCCAGCAGCCCTCTGAGTCCCTCTCCGTGCAAACGGTTACATCTACCGGGTCGGACTTCAGCGTCAAATTGGCACACGCCAAGCTGCAGTTCTTCTCAAAAGGGCCTTTATCGAACTTCAGGCACTCGGCACAATTGCTGCGGAGGAGTGGGGTGGAGTAGGTTTTGAGGGGGTGTGAGGGCAGGAAGTTTCAAATGGCATATTTGATGTACGACTCGTAGGTGTGTCAGGGCGCACAGGTATGCAGAGCTGCATGGTTGTGGAAGGGTCGAAGGAGCGTGTCATGGTCTGTGAATACAAAGACACACGAGCGTGCCAGGTGGTCTGGCTGTGTGTGAGTACACTAGTATATGAAGATGTATGGATGGACCAGGCTTCAGAGCTGCGCCAGGTGGCATGGATGATTCGGGAAACACACGAGCGTCTGGCGCATGGTCTAAAAGGAATATGGGCTTCTGCATACCAGATGATCCCAGGTAGAGGGCCTGGGAGCTCTCAGGACTCAGTGCCATGATGTGAGTGACAGCGGATATGGAATCGTGTTCATAAGAGGGTCTGGAAGGCAGCGCCAGTGTTAAAGGAAACCTGGCTCAAGGGCTGAAGGGACATAGGCCTAGCTCCCCTGTGAAGCCAGGAGTCCTGTGGGCGTGCAAGGAGGTAGATGGTAGGGACACTGGACCTGCTGAATCCTGCTGAGAACCGTCAAGGAATGGTACCCCTGGGGGCTCCCGGTTTGCCCAGCAGGGAGGCCAGCGTGGGCGATGGAGACACTCACATGTGATTGCTCTCTTTGCAGGGCAAGGAGCTGGGATTGGGCTTACACAACGGTGGCTGGTAGCTTCCCTCACACACGCATACGTTGCAGCTGCACCGGCCACGGCCAGAGCACTCCACCAGCCGCTCATTCAGGCAGCCCTCCGTGGACCTCTTGCACTGGCAGGCTGAGCCCTCGTAGCCATCAAGGCAATTGCATTTACCACAGAAGCAGGTGCCCCTTTCTGGAAAAGAGCCGAGGTCACCGTCACTCACTGATGGAGGCCAGGGAAAGGGAGTCATCCTCCTGCCACTAGGCTCCCTAGCCTGGTAGTGCCAGGAGGACAGCCTCCTCTGCTTCCTGTTTCTACCTATGCCTCTTCACATGGCCCCGGAGTACCATGGAAGGATAGCTGGGCAAAACCACATAGACCAAGGATGCCTTCCTGCCCTGAATCTCCAGCAACACAGACACCGCTCAGCTAGATGGGACCTCCACATTGTATCTGAAAAGCTCTTGGATCAGGACAAGACTGTCACCTCCATTGCCTTCCCAGGACAATGCTGGCCCTCACAGACAAAGAAATAGGTCGGGCAGGGAAGGCTTCCTGGACTGTCTATCTGTCTGTTCCCAATGCCCCACTTAACATCTCCCAGGACAAATGGACGAGGAAGTCCCTCCCCATGGCACCCTGACACTCACGTGGGCCGCCGCAGACCTGGGCATTGTATCGCTCGCAGTTGACATTGTCACACTCGCAGTACTGCCCAAAGATCATTTTGTTGGAGCCCTCAATGTTGTGGCACACACACTGCCCACAGATGCAGTCCCCCAGCCCTGAGCACACGATGGAGCTGTTGTCCCTCCTGCAGCTTCCTTCCAGCTCCTGGCTCGTCCGGCCCTGTGTCTGGCATTCGCAGTTTTTCCCAATGTAGCCAGACTCACACCTGGTGTGATGAGGGACGGGGTGCACTTAGGTCCTCCCTTGGGATGGGGACACCGGTCCTTCCCGGCCCAGCACTCACCCAAACACCTGTAGCGTATGGCATGCCACACCTGCTCTCCAAAGGTCTCCTGAGCATGTGCCATAGACCAGGCAAGGATGTCCCTGGGATCATACAGGTGACTGTCCTATGAGCAGGACACCCCTGGCAGGCTCACCTGGGAGCTGCCTGAGAGTTGAGTTAATAGATTGTCCTAAGAAGCCAGTATCTGTCCCTGACCTAGACCCGGAAGGGGGTCTGGTGAGCATCTGGGATCACTGCCTTATTACGGATGAGTGTGGGAACACAGTACCTAGCTCAGTAAGACGTGAACGGCAGGTCCGAACCCTGTCACATCCTGTAGGGTCCTCCTGCAGAAGGAAACTGCGGAATTCACTGACCAGTGGCCCAGTCCTTCAGGCAAGTTAGCTCAGCCTTATAGAGAGGCTGGGCATTCAGGACCAGGGCAAGGTGCTACCGGCCAGGGGGCAGCCACCGAGATCATAGAGTATCCGGGAGGAGGCACACAGTCAGTACAGGCCTGACAGATGGGATAGTCAGTGCACCCCAAATATCAGAAATTGGAGAAGCAGTCGGGAGTGGGAGAGCATGGCTGGCACCCAGACCAGCACTTACAGCTTCTCTGCTGGGCATACGGCACCCTTCCTCCTCCTTGAGGCAGAGCATCCTGAACCGAGGCCAGTGTACACATGCTCACCAGGCAGCTTTAGGGCTCAGGCTCCCAGGAGTGGCTGCCTGTCTCAAAGGTATTCTAACTACATGCTGCCAATCTGCTCCGAGTCCCTGAGGTCAGAGAGCCAGGAGTACCTGCAGGCCATCGACTTCCTGGGTGAGCCGGCCGTCCCCACTTCACCTGAAGACACCTGCCTCATGGGTAGGCATGCCGTGGGCCGCTCATGCCCACCTCACCATGCTGGGGGCTGGCTGTGCCCACCTCATCTGCAGACAGTTTTTCCGTGAACTGGTGAGCCGTGGGCCACAGGCACCTCCTCACCTGCAGATGCCACACTCCATGGTACCCTTGCCTCCACAGAGCTTTTGCTCCCGACTCTGGTCCCGGCACTGGCACTCGCACAGGGGAAGGACCTCTACGGTCACTGTGTCGGTGAAGCCCAGTGCCTTGATGACAAAGGACTGCTTCTGGATGCACTCCGAAGCCGTGACTTTTACCTGGAAGGTGACCTACAGGAGAATTGTGGGGGGGGGGGCTGAGCAGCAGAATGGCCCTACTTCTGCATCTTTGCCCAGCCTCTTGGGTACCCCAACCAGATACTTGTCCAGTTGCGCATGTCCAGCAGTTGCACCCAGAGGACCTGTCATCCCATGCCCATCAGCCTACCCTGGCCACTGTAGACATCTGCAGGTATTTGTGTGTCAATAGGCATGAACCTGCATCTGAGACCGTGTCTGACACCCTCCCTGCGCCCTTTCCCGAATCTGGCCTCACAGGTGTTTAAAGGGCGAAGAAGCTGGGTGCTGGCCACTAGTGGCTTCCTCCCTCACTTATGCCTGTGATCTTTCCCTCCTAGCCATTCTTGGGAGTGGGTCACCAAGATCTCCACTCGGGACTCTCTCACAGGCTGGTGTAGGAACCCCAGGCCCATCGGGGAGCCAGGCTCACCGGGACGTTGATCTGCACACCGTCACAGTCTCCTCGGGATTTGCCTAGACTTGGTGCTCCGTTACTGCAGAAGGAGTCATAGGTGACTTTCAGGGTGTCCGGGAGGTTGATGTGGTCCAGGAAGACTCTGGAGGAAAGTTTCTATGGGAAGGGAGCAGCTATGCTCAGGAGTGACTGGTCTGGCTGTCCCTGCCACCCAGGCCATCTCACTTTTCATATCCCTCCTGTTTGCATTAATGACACAAACACCCACTGAGAGCTCAGTGATTGTGTCCAGATGAGACAGTCAGCTGATGGTTTGCTCTCTGAGACAAAAACTAGGGACAGGTGACCAGCCTAGACACAGGCCATGAGCCCTGTGAGGACTGTCCCCTCACTGTTGAACCCCAGGGTTAGCAGAGGAGGAACGATAGACTGTTGAAGTGATGAGAGAGGTGAGACACAGATGGAAGGGGAAAGAGAAAAGGTGGCATCCAGTGAGGAGGCAATGATGACATCACCAGCATCATCCCTGTAAAGATAGAGCTAGAAATGACTGGACAGTGGCCAGGCACAGGAGCCAGCTTGGGGCACCTGGGCTTGCAAGGCTAGAGAAGGAAACAAGATTCCCCACCCTGGCCCCAGGCTTGCACCCCAGTCAGCAACAGAGATATTGAACACAGTATGTGCTTCTAGCCTTCAAAATGTTCAGCAGCAGATATGCAGGCAAGATCGTTGGGGGCACCTGTCACTAGGAGTAAATTTCTGGTTTTGGTTGTGTCCTCGATGGTGTCTGAGCCCCGAGCAGTGTTTGGTGCACACTGGTGTCCACCAGGACACTGGGCCTCTGAGGCAAGCAAATCTGAGTGCATTTGGACAGATTGCCCATCCACGAAGAGGAGGAGGAGAGTGGAGGAGGAGAATGGACAAGGGGTCTAGGAGGGTTCGCCCAGAATAAGGTCGGGGGCTGTCATGCAAGACACACCCTACTGCAAGGAAGTCTTCACGAGGTCCAAGGTCACTGTGATGAATGATGGGATCTCCCTACCCTGAGAGGCATCATTTTGCCCTCTCCAGCCACCCACTCCCCGCTGTTCCATGGTGGCTGGCAGGGAAGAGCCTCAATAAAGCAGGGACTGCCCTTATCGTACCAAACCCTGGGTAGGGTCTGGTCTAGGCCAGCCATGCCACCAAAGGACCCAAAGCTGTGGGAAGTGGCTGGCACGTATCCCCTTAACCTTCCTTCTTTCTCCCTGCCATGGCTATCCAGAAGCATGAGGATCCTAGCAGGAGCCCAAATCTGTCCTCTTCTGCCTGATCATGGGGTCCTTGCCAGCCCTCTGAGCTTTGCTGGAGACTCACGTAATAGGCGTTCTTGATGAGCTGCACCACGTTGCTGGAGTCATCAGACAGTTCCCCCACTGCTGACTTGGGGATGATCTCTGTGAGTTTCTGTTGGTGAGAAGATCAAGCTGGCACTCAGTGCTACCGGCCCCTCCACAGCCACGAGGCTAAGGATGAATGCCCAGGGCCTCCCTTCCTCACAATGGCTCATATGAATGCAGATAACAGGTCCTTGGAGCAAAACCTGAGGAGCCAAGCCTGGTGTCACAGTCTCTCTCCCCAGCTGAAGAACATCAAGCCCTTAGGAGCTTGACCTAGAAAGCCGCAGGCCTGGAGAGGCTGGGTCTAGTGTCCCAGTCCTCTCATCCCGGATATTTGGGAGGCTGAGGCAGGGGATCACAAGTTCAGGGCCTGCCTGGGTGACTCAGCCAGAAAGCCACAGAAGAAAAAGTGAAAAGAGGGCTGAGGGTGTGAGCCAGTGGCAGAGCACTTGCCTGACACAGATTCAATCCCCAGTTCTGACTGAAAAAGGGAGGAAGGCCGGGCAAGGTGGTGCAGGCCTGTAATCCCAGAACTCAGGAAGGCAGAGGCAGGAGAATCTCTGTGAGACCAGTCTGGTCTACATAACGAGTTCCAGGACATCCAAGGCTACACAGAGAATCCTTGTCCCAGAAAATGGGGGTGGGGGGAAGAGGAAGGGAGATAAGGAAGGAGAGAGGAAGGAGGGAGGAAAGACCAGCTCCAAAACCCTAAATGGAGGTTATACTCCGGGGTGTGGCTGTCCCCAGTGGACATTTCAATCTGATGGCCTCTTTGAATTGGAAGCACATGTCTGGCTCACTGCGGGACGATATTCCTACTATCTCAGCATGATACGCAGATAACAGTAAAACGTGGTAAAATCACATGACCATTTAAATTTTTTTTTATTTATTCATTATTTATACAGTGTTCTGCCTGCATGTGTGCCTGCACGCCAGAAGAGGGCACCAGATCTCATTATAGATGGTTATGAGCCACCATGTTATTGCTGGGACTGGACCTTTGGAAGAACAGCCAGTGCTCTTAGCCTCTGAGCCATCTCTCCAGTCCCTCCACTTGACCATTTTTAAAGGGTTTCTAATTTAATAGCAACTGTTACATAGCCCTGTGACAAGCTGCTGTAGCAGGACAGGTCTGCTGCCCAGAGGAGGTGGGCCACACCCTTGATTGAGAGGCATTCTGTACTTTCTTCATACCTTTCCTAGTGCTATTCATGGACATGCCACACTTCATGAACAGGGATTGATCACCCCACACACACACACACACACACCTCCACATAACTGATGACCAGGTCACTCGGGCCCAGCACCCTTCCTTGAGTCTCTGGAATGAAGTCTGTCCCTCCCGTGAATCCATCGCAGCCTAGCCACCAACCACCTCTGGGCTCTGCCACCCACTTCCTTTGCCCTGGCACAGGACCAGCCCTGGCCAGGAAAGCTGGGCTCCTCTATGTCCAGTCTGAAGATCCTACTCTACATGGTCTGGAAGTGCGTGTCCAATCGGGTCTGGTGTATACAGTCCTCATACGTGCGTCTTTGACCATCTCCTAGGGAACAGAGGATCAGGAAGGCCTGTGACCCCTGCTGTGGTTGTCCTTGTCAACTTGATTAAATCGGGAGCCAACTAAGACATGCCTCTGGGCAAGTCTGTGAGAGTGTATCCAGGAAGGACCTGCTGAAGGATGAAGTGGGCACTCCCCTGCCCCCGCCTCCCGGCAGCACCGTGTCATCTGTCTGTCTTCGCTTTTTGCTAGTGAGTGCATCAGTCCCTTCGCACGGCTGCTGTCCTTCGCCGATATCACAACTCAGTATGTTCTTCCACTATGGACGGAAGAGCTGCAACTTTGCAGGAAGCCTTCAGTCCTTCAGTACCAGCTTCGGTGGAAGAGGCCTCCAGTTTTGATGACTGGGCAACTACCAAGCTCTTGGCCTTTTAAGAAAGCAGCCAGCTTTGAAGAAAGCTCTCCAGCTGCTCTTGGTTGCAAGGCATTCTCATGGATCACCTCTGACGGGATAGATTCAGTCAGTTCAGTCCCTCCAGAAAGCTCTGCCCAGTTCAACCATCCAAGTGCTTGGGTGGCAAGTGGTGGGTTTGGGACTCAAGTCTCCTGTCGGGCAGATTTCTCCCTCATCGCCATGCTGTATTCTGCAATACAACTGATGCCACCAATGGGGAAGAGTTGGGACCGTCTACGAACCCTGTGAGGGGGAAGACAATCCATAGCCCAGTTGCAGACAAGGGCATGGTGTGTGTGTGCTGTAAATGTTTTGACCATGGAGTGGTCTTCTGCTTCCAGTGGTCACTCTGGCTGGCCATCATTCCTGATTATGAGTTAAACTACTGGCCTCCATGGCCACTTCCATCACCCACTCAGAGGAGCCCTAGCTTGTCCCTCCTTCTTCCTGATGTCTCTCCAGGGTACTGTGCACTGTCTGGAGCCTGGGAACCCGACAGTAGGAGCATCACTGGGCATGACTCGTCTAAGACCCACTCTGTGACACCATCCTCGGTTTTCATTCAGCAGTGCACATTCCACAGAAGTCAACTTCCCAGGTACTGTGTACCCCATCTCCACATTCCTGCTCACATCCCAACCCTGTACCCTGCCAGGTTTTTTTTCAGGTTTTTTTTTTTTTCTTTTAAGCAGCGTGGCAGTACAGAGTTGTCACACAAGGAGGGTCAGCCTGGGTTCACACTTGTTGGTATCTATGAGGACAGAGTGGTGGCAGGGACTGCTGAGGAGCTGTGGCCACTCTCAGATGAGAGGTCAGGTGCTCTGTGGAGTCACTGGGTAACTGAGCTCAGAGTCCCCACTGTGGCCTTCCCAGCTGAGCATTGTTCCGTCTCTCTGAGGAGGAAGCTGCTCCCCTTCTTTAGACACGTCTGGAGTGGTTGAGATCTGAGGTTCTCTGACCCTGAAGACTGAGCCATCAGACGTTTACAGATCGACTACAGCCAGCATCTTTCGTGCCGTAGATCACATGATAGGCACATGCATCTCATTCTGTCCCTGGGTCCTATGCTGAGCAGCTGCTGGGAGCAGAGATTCTTCCAGCGGGAGAGGAGTGGCGCTTTTGCTTTGAGTGGATCCCTGATGCCCACTGTCCAGGAGAGGTCAGTCCAGAGGCTGGGCTGCCTACACTGTGCACATTTCAAAGGACAGGAGCCGCCAGAGGGGCAGTAGCTTCTGGCACGTGGGTGTGTGTAGGTGTGTGTGGTGGAGGGAGGGCTGTCTTCAGGCCATGAAGGATCCACTCATTCTCGGGTGGGGCTGGAGGTCCTGCTCAGCCATGAGGTCAGCCCTGAGAGGGGCAGGGCCTCTGAAGTTCCAGCCCCATCTCTCTCCTAGAGTTTGCCTTTTGCCTTTCTCATCTCTGATGACTTCACACTGTGGCAGACTGACTGGGAGCCTCGAGGCTTTGCTTAATTCTGTAGGCCTGCCCAGCAAATCACTAAGCCGGGGAGAAAAGGCTTGGGAGCCTGGCAACTCAAGGCAGGACACACACATGACATGACAGCAGCTGCCGCAGAAACACAGGATGAGCCTAAAGTAGCATTTTGAAGGGGCCACAGGGAGTCACCCCGACCATTAGAAAACACTGTCTATCTCTGCAGCCACTTCTTGCTCTGTGACACCTTTGCATCCAATTACTGCTGTCACAAGAGAGGAATGGGTGCCAGTGGCATTCCTGTTGCATAAGATGAAGGGTCCAAGGGTCTCCTGACTACGAGAGTGGCACTTTGCCTTCCTCTGGTGGCCACCATACAGGTAAGCCCTCTGGATGCAGAGCCTTGGCATCCTCAGGCTTGACTCCACTTTACAAGGAGCAAGGGTGGCTGCTTCCTCCCCAGGAGGTTAAACAACTGTTTCAAAGCCAATACCGAATCCAAGATCCAGTTTGGTTTGGGCTTCTGTTTGTTGAGGTGCTTTGGGAAGACTTGTCCCTAACCAACACAGGAAGGTATCCCCGTGGATCTCCTGATGCAGTAACAACACATGAGTTTGGCTTCATCTGAATGCTGGTTATTCAAAGGGGCTTCTCTTGAGAGAGAGAGAGAGAGAGAGAGAGAGAGAGAGAGAGAGAGGGAGACAGAGAGCACTCCAGAAGAAACAAAAAGAACGAGCAGCACTGTGGAATTTCAAGATGTGGACACTTCAGGGCCTAACTGCAGCCTCAGCTTCCTCCATCAGGATGTTCACACATAGAAAACTGTGGCCCAATGGCCAACCCCCACCCAACCCACCCACAGGCCAGCATGGAAAGTAGAACTGAGGCAACCCTGGGCATGGCCTAGCTTGTCACTCCCAACTGAGACAGCCTGTCGCCCACATTGCACAAGGCTCCTCTTACCTCATAGGTTTTCACCATCTTCTTCGTCACCGCAAATATGGGCTGGATGTTGCTCTCAGCAAGTTTGTGGGCCAGCTGGCCCACTGAGGGGTAGTCCTGGAGAGAAGGGACATTCTGCTAGACAAGCTTCCAGGAAGCAAGTGTCCATGTGGGCAGAGTATTGATGAAGCTTGCTCAGGGCGGGCCTCACTTGGTATAGATCTACAAGCATGTGACAAGATTGGCAGGAAACCAACCGCTTTGAAATACATGAAGAGAACACTGGCAATTGCGATGGATCTCTTGGTTAATGCCAAGTAAAGAAAGCTACTGTGAGCCACCACTCCAGGTGCTAGATTTTAAACTCCACCCCTCACCAACATGATGTACAATGGACAGACATAACATTCAAGTTTAGGGGACCAAATGGACATAAGATATCGCTGCTCCTGTCCAATGTTAGGACCCCAGATTCTATTTGCCAACAACTCCAAATCAGTGGGTTCCAGGTGGTCCCTGCAAAAAAAAAATCTTTTGTGGTACCTTTGGGTAGGTAAGGAGTGTCCAGGCATGACCTAAGGCTCTGCCAGGGTCACTAGAGGCAGAGCAGGCATGCATAGAGGCAGTGTGATGGATGGGGAAGGCTGTGTCAGGACCTCTGCCATGAGGACCATGGTCAGGACTGTCTTGCAGGCTAGTGTGGGTCCTAGGAGCCTCGTGTTATCACGGGGGCTCTCTGTAATGCCTCTGTGATTTGTTATTTGTGTTAGGAGGAGTCTGGGTTCTGTTGGTATGACCTAGACATGTGACCCTGCTCTCATCCTGTCCTGTTCTCACTCCTGAATGGCCTTTAACCAGTGTTGATACGGGGGTGTGACAAGGCAGGCAGAGCACTCACGAACTCATTGCTCCTCTTGTACAAGTTATCTTCCAGGTGGCAGTGGCCATCATTGGGGGTCAGGATGGCACCAAGCTTTCCATCACCAGCAAAGTGGAAGCCATCATCTGTGGCAAACACCAGTAGCCTCGTGACATTGCGCCAGCCAATTTCCTCCTGGGAAGAAGACAGCCAGGGATTACCTGCCTTGGTTTCCCTGCAGGGCCCTCAGGAGACTGAGACAGAGACAGAGAAACAGAGACAGAGGGAGAGAAAGTCCTCACCCAGTACCCAGGAATTACCTAAACCAACAGCTCCCAGCATGCCCTGCAGGAGTGTGAGGTGAGAAATGAAAAGTATCTCAATCTAAAGAGATAAACTTCATAACCCTCTTGGGACCTGGAACTAGATTCCAATGGCACAATTATAAAAGGAGAACAGTATTCAGTAGTGCCCATTAAAATGCAAATCACCTAGCCAGGAATGGTGGCACATTGCCTTTAATCCCAGCACTCAGGGAGGCAGAGGCAAGAGGATCACTGTGTGATCCAGGCCAGCCTGGTGTACAAAATGAGTCCGGGACAGACAAGGCTACACAGAGAAACAAAAAACAAAACAAAACGAAAAAAAGTAAACACCTCCCAACCACAAAAGAGGGGACCAGGGGGTGTCTGTAGGGGAGCTGTGTGCCTGCAACACTCAGGAGCGTACATTTGAAGGAGCGTGCATTTGCAGCACCCACATTATGTACCATGGTCCAACACACAGGGAGAATGTGCGTACCCACAGGGTGAGCTCCCCGTAAAGCTGGAGAACTGAGAGCCAGGCTGCAGGGGGGTTGGCTTGCTGCAATGATGATGACGCTATAAACACAGTCTAGGACTGACAGGCAGGGGTGCGGATGAGGATGGGAGCGAAGGACAGGCCTCACCCTCTATTTTTTTTTCTTTTTCTTTTTTTCCAGACAAGGTTTCTCTGTGTAGCCTTGGCTGTCCTGGACTCACTTTATAGACCAGGTTGGCCTTGACCTCACAGAGATCTGCCTGCCTCTGCCTCCCAGAGTGCTGGGATTACAGGCATGCATCACCATGCCCTAACAGTCCTTGCACTCTTGACCTGAAAGGGAAAAAGCTTTAGGAACCAGAAGACCTTCTGCTGGGCAGCCTGGCTTGCAGGAGAGCTGTGAGGGCTGTGAGTGAGCACCGAAATGTGCGGGTGCTTTTCAAGGCTAGGTTGTCCTTCTTTTTTTCCTTATGACATGGGCCATGAAGGCTGCCCTTCTAAGATTCGGGAAGACAGTGAAACCAGATTGGGGTGAGTTCCTGAAGAGGCCTACCAGCTAGAGTGAGGAGCCCCACAGCACGGGTGGAGCCCCTGAGTTTGAGGAAATTGGAGGATCTGAACAGGGACAGTAGCCTCACCGGGCACGCAGCAACTTGCATTATGGCATCCAGGCCACCCTCAGGGGCGTCCAGGTTTCCGGAAATCAGTTGCTTGCCGACCTCTGTCTGAAACTGGTTGGAGTTGTCTGTTAACTTGAGCACATGCCGGAAGGCAAACGGGGGCTGGCAGGCCTTCTCCTTGTTGGGACACGGGTTCCTCAGCTTCTCAGGGTGTGTGTTGACAAAGGGCAGCACTGTCTTGTCCACGAAGGACCCAAAGCCTGAGGAGTACATGGCATGAGGCGGGGGGGGGGGGGGGGGGGGGGGGGGGAAAGAGGGAGGGGGGCGGGGGGGGGGGGGGGGGGGGGGGGGGGGGGGGACAGAAACAGCAGGCAGGACTCCAGGCAGGATAGGGAGGATCTGAAGCCCGAAGAATATCCATAATGAGGCAGCAGGCTCTAGGCAGGACAGTGAGCCTCCCAGTGGGGTAACAACTTTCCAAACAAGGGAGGAAGCAAGATGACGGTTGTGGGAACATGTGTGGATGAGCATGTGGCCCAAGCATGTGTGTAGCCGTGTGAAGGTTGAGCATATGTGAGGTCATGTACAAACACGTGTGTGACAGAGCGTGTACATGTATGCAGTCGTGTACCTGTGAGACCATGAGGGTTTGCATTTGAGTACACGTACACACATGTAGTCTTGTGTATGCAGGCATAGAGGCACACAAGTGTGACTGGGCATGTGCACAGGCATGCAAATGTGATTGTGTATGGGACCCTGGACATGTGCGAGCATGAGTGTACATGAGTGTATGTGCACATGTGAGTCTATGAGCTTGCATCCTGTGTTCAAGCATGCTTGCGGGAACCCTCCAGCGCAGACAATGAGACACAGTGCTGTTCCGGAGTGGGTAGGGGTGGCCTGTTGGCCTGTCCCAAGTGCTTGGTGAGCACGCCGGTGCCGGTCAGTGCTATGACCCTCACCCTGTGCCCTTTGCCCTCTGACCCTCACCCCGAGACCCTCACCCCGAGACTCGCCCTGCAGTCTGCTTCCACTGCCCTGTTAGTGCTGTGGTTACTGTGACATAGATCTACTTTTTAGTAATCAGCGCTACAGGACTTTTGTCTCTTAAACATCAAAATAGAAACTAAGGAAGAGAAAGAGAAAGGGTTAGGAGGAGTTCACAGGTCTTAGCAGCCTGAGACCAGGTGTGTCCGCTGGTAGAGATTCAGGGTTGACTCTGGCCCCCACAGACACTACATAAGCAGTTTCCCCAGCTTCTGCTCCTGCAGATCTGTGTTGGTGGGGATCTGCGGTGTCAGGGAGTTCCCGAGATTGAAATGTGTGTGTGTACTGTGAGCTCACCGATGCGGCCAGACTCAGTGATCTCGTTGAGGGCCCGAAGCAGGTCACCACCCAGCTTCTTGACATTGTTGAGGTCGTCTAGCATGGAGTAGGAGAGGTCCATGAGGTAGTACAGATCAATGGGGTAGCCCTTGGCCCGCTGGAAAGTCACATTGAAGGCGGCCGCCTGCCCTGTCGGGGGAGAGCAAGGGACAGGCTGAGCCCGGCTGCAAGTCTGTCAGACCTCACCAGGTCCCCAAATTCCTATTGCCTCGAATTTACTATGACCTGGAAGGGGCTGTGGCCAGGACACAGGACAGGCAGATTTGAATTCAGAGAAGTGCACTCACTAAAGCACAAGAAGGCCTGCGTGGTGCAGTGTGTGTGTGTGTGTGTGTGTGTGTGTGTGTGTGTGTGTGTGTGTGTGTTGTGCAGATTCACTAGGTAGAAGCCTGAAAACCCAAACTGTGGCTCTAGAAGCACTTAGGCTAGAAGGGTGGAATGCAACCAAGGAGGGGGCTTTCAATGTTTACAGAGAAGGCCCAGAGAACTACCCTTCTCTCCCCACTAGGAGGGGCTGCGCCTCTGCCTCGGCTTTCTCACTCAGAACTGCTCTCCAGGGGTCAGCAGGGCCAGGCCCTAGAATCAGGGATCAGGGACAGAGGTCTTGGTGCAGAGGTCTTGTGTCTGCTCCTAGGACATCAAAGAGACAAGCTCTCTCCTCCACAGTCACTAAGACAACCTCCCAGACCCCCCCCCTCCTCATCCTTTTTTGTGCTTTCTTCTGCCCTTCGCTGTCCCTGACAACCTGCCCCTTAGATACTGACTAGGTCCTTGTGCTAGTCAGCTTGGGCACAATCCAGCATCACCTGGGAAGAGTCCCACTTCGAGATTGTCTTAATGAGGTCGGCACAATTAAGATGTGTGCCTGTGGACACATCTGCCCATGCTACACCACCATAATTTATGTCAGCCCCCTGAAAGTGGGTGGCAAAATTCCCTCCCTGGCTCGGGGGTCCTGATCCGGGTAAGAGTAGAGGAAGTAAGCCGAACGCTAAGCATGCAGTCATTTCTCTCTGCTCTTGCTTGCGTCTGGGCTATGAGCAGCTGCTACAAGTTCGTGCCGCCTTGACTTCCCTGAAATGGTAAACTGTGACCTAAAACTGTAAGCTAAAATGAACCTTCCACTCTGCCTCAGAGTTGCTTTTCGTCGGGTGTTTTATCATAGACACAGAAATGAAACTACGATCTTCCACTCTCTTGTTCTGTGCCCCTCCCTAGAGAGCCCCGCCCCGTCCTTCACACCCAGCTCCTTGCAGGGTCATCTGCTGATGCCCCTTGTCACTGTGGCTACAGCTACGATGAGCCTGCCCACTGCCGGTGTCCCACCCAGGCTTACTTCACTGCATCTGACCCAGTAGAGCATGTCTGGGCCAAGCCTGGTACAAACTGATATGCACTTCCTCGGGTACTTGCCAGTGCTCTTACTTTGCCAAGACTGCCTGAGTCCTCTGAGAGTGGAACTCAATGGTGACTTCTAAATGGCTTGGCTCTCCCCTTTTAAACAAGGCACAGAGCACACTGCTCAGAGAGGGTCCAAGCCGGCCAGTGGTGGTACCTGCCTTTAGTCCCAGCGCTTCGGAGACAGAAGCAGGCAGAGATCTCTGAGTTTGAGGCCAGCCTGATCTACAGAGTGAGCTCCAGGACAGCCAGGGCTACACAGAGAAATCCTGTCTCAAGAAAACCAAAGGGAGGAAGGGAGAGAGAGAGAGAGAGACAGAGAGACCAGAGACCAGTGCAGACAGTGGGGTTGAAAGACCCCACCTAGGACACAGCTCAGACTTTGAAGCAGCTTTTTGAAAATTATAGTTGTTTGTTTGTGGGAAGGGGGGAGCTTGTGTGCACACCACATGGAGGTCAGATAACTACTCTCTTCAGTCTTTGGGTCCTAGGGAATTGAACTCAGGTCTCCAGCTTGGTGGCAAGCACTTTCACTGGCTGAGCCTTTCCATAGTCCCAGAGCTCCAACTTCAGTGATGAGAGGTTCATCAGCCAGCCCAGCTCACCATCCAACACAGAGACATCGATCAGCCCAGGCAGGCAGGGGCAGGCTGAGCTTCCAGATATACCGTTCACCTGGCCCATCCCAACCAGATCCCAAACCTACCTGGTCGTAAGTAAAGCGTCACTTTTTGTGGAGATAGCTGCTTCTGTCCCCCCCGTCGATCATCCTGGGATTCAGCAAGGCTCCTGGGATCCATTATGTCATCGGCTGGACAACCCTTCGCCAGCAGCTGTGCCCGTGTGTCGCAGCGCAGGGAGTCAGGCTCCCCTGGCCCGGTAAAGTTCTAGAGGAGGGGTCTTGGGTCAGGCAGAGAGCATAGCGCTGCAACAGCAGAACCCTGCCCCGGTTCCTCCGCACTTGCCCTGGAAACTTCAGTTAGCTATTTCTGTGGAATGCCGCAATCACCTAGGGAAGACCAGACTCCCAGACAGCCTCGGTCCCCCCGACAGCTCTAGGCTCTCCCTGAGAGCGCTAGGTCACTAGAAGCATAGACAACAGACCTTTCTCTATCTTTTGGGCACTGACTCCATCAACCTCCAGCCAAAAAGCTGATCAGCAGCCACGAGCTCAAGTGTTAGCCAAAACCCGCTAGCACCTTTCTGCAACAGGACCCTTTGTCCCAGGGAGCTCCCGCCTCCCAAAAGGACAGAGGTGAGCTCCTTGAGCCAATGGGACAGCCCTTGCTAAGACCCAGAGCAGAGCTTGGGGTCAAGTCTCTCTCAGTTGGTAGGGAAAAGAGTTGATGAGAGGAGGGGAGAGCCCAGGACACCTTCTTCTTGACCACTGTGTCCCTTCCGAAAGGCCCCTGGGTCTGACGCGGAAGTATCTGGTCCTGAACCGGAGCCTCTTTCATCCAGAGCAGGTCTGGCTCAACTGCAAAGTACTGAAAAGCACTGGCACTGCCTGTTTGCTCTCCGAGAACAGCAACCACCCAGAAGTGCAATAGAGGCCGCCCCTCCAGCGCCTCCACTCTGTGCTGGCTTTCAGGGCCATATCTTCAATCCTCAAGAAACACAAGCTGTTGGCACGGTGGCGATGCCTGTAACCCCAGCACTCAGAGAGGCAGGGGCAGGCAGATCTCTGTGAGTTGGAGGCCAGCCTGGTCTACAAAGCAAGTGCAGGACAGCCAAGGCTACACAGAGAAACCCTGTCTCGAAAAACAAAAAACAAAACAAAACAAAAAAAGAAACAGAAGCCATCAGCGGGAATAGAGAGAAGTTAATATGTAATCGTATAGAACAAGCGGTTCTTTTCAGATGAGTAAAATGGCTCAAGAGGAAGAGAGAAATGGTTCATCCAGGCCTTGGACCACAGCCCTCAGCCACAGGATAGAGGTTACAACATCAGGCCTCTTGCTCTGGAGTTTTGCCTATGGCGTGGGTGGTTCCTGGAGACAGAAGCCAAAAGCCTGTGGGATGGAGAAGAGGAGGAGACTTGGCACAGAATGCTGGAAGCCCACTTCTCAGGAAGGCCTAGGAGTCTTCTGTAACTCTAAATCTTGGGTCAGGGGAGAAGGCCAGAGTAGAGTTAGCACAGCTGGTCAGTCCAGAGTAAGAAAGTTCTCAGCACAAAACAAAAGTCATAAGAGTGACGCCCACGGCAGCTTTGAGGGGCCCAGTGACCAGACATGGACAGGTTGAAAATCAAATTAGAAAAATAATGGTCAGACACTAGCAGGGTGGTGGTAGCACACACCTTTAATACCGGCACTTGGGAGGCAGAGGCAGGTGGATCTCTATGAGTTCGAGGCCAGCCTCGTTTACAAAATGAGTCCAGGACAGTCAAAGCTACACCCTGTCTCAATATCCCCCAAAAAAAGAGTCATAAACTATTGACCAGAAGAGAGAGAGAGAGAGAGAGAGAGAGAACCATTTTGCTGCCACTGCAGTGGTACTGGAGCCTGCCTGAGTCACCAGTGAACAGACTTCAAGGTCACAGATGCAGTTCGGTGGAGAAAGAATCCTAGTGCTCTGAAGAACCTCACAGATGAGCCTGTCACTCGCTGTGGGGGGACACAGGAAGTGAGGAGAAATCTGGAAGGTGCCACCTTCTGAAGCATCGTTAGCACCAGGCACGGAGGGGCCACGTGTGCCTCATGCAGTGCGCAGAGGTTAGAACCACTGCCTAGCGTCCCCAGCGTAACAATGGAGTTGAACCAGAGGACGTGCTGGGCTGGAAGTGTCAAGGGACTTTGAGTGACAAGGCTGGGAAAATTTGGAAAGCTGGGAATGTTCTGAATGTAAGGAGTTTAAAGTGATATCCTGTGTGAGTGACCTCAGACTACAACAGTGAGGGAGAAAAAAAACATGAAAATCTGGCAAGATTTGCCTATGGTTTGCCCACTGGGTTGATATGATATGTTCTGGGTTTGAAAACAGGATCAAATATGAGCATGCCTGGGTGGTGGTAGTCAGTGCTGATTATCAACCGGACAGAGTCTGAAATCACCTGGCCTCCAGGCACACTGGTGAGGAATTGTGTCGATTAGGTTCACTGAAGTGGGAAGAGCTGCCCAGTGTGGGTGGCACTATCCCGTGTGGACTGAAGAGAAATGCGACAGGAAGTCCAACATGTACATTCATCACTGGCTTCCTGTCTGTGGATGAGATGTGACCACCTGCCCGCCCCCCCAACCCCCGCAGCTCTTACCAGTTTCTGGCACCACGAGCAGCCAGGCCCCGACTGGATACAGTCCTGGCAGTTGCTGGCTCTGTACTTGGTGCACTCCTGGGACATGGCTGGGGAGATAGACAGGCTGGATGAGGGCCCTGCATCCACCCTGGCTGCCCTCAAGGGTGAGTCGGGGGCAAAGGTAGACGAGGCTCTGGGGAAGAAGGTCCAAGGGAAGGGCTCTGAGTCACCCCAACAGGATTCAAAGCAGAACTCTAGAGAAAGTCACACTCCATCTCCTGCTACATAAGGACAAATGCATTCACGCCTGAGATTTACTCTCAGGGGCTGGTCCTTCCTCAGCCACGTGGGAACTTAGACCCAAGGGGTCATGGGATGGGCCTGCTGTAAGGGAATATCATATGTAGGGACAACTCCACAGAACTCACCAGTTCCCAGAGAGAGCAGGCCAGCTACAACAAGCAGCGGTGAGTGTGGGCCCAGCATGTCCTGTGGAGAGAAGGGCCAGGTGACTCCAGGTTGATCCCCTGAGGAGTTTTTTCTTGTTGGCCTACTGCCCTTCTGCCATGGGGTATGAGAACCAGACAGGGCCAGCACAGATATCAAAGTCCACGAGGAAGAGGCCACTTAGGCACCACAGGGAGGGATGTGGGAGCTGAATATTGGCTCAGGTGGCCAGATACCTAGAAGAACAGGCATACACACATGCTCTCGTATACACACACAGAGCATGGGGGGAGGGAGAAAGGGAGAGAGAGAGGAAGAGGAAGGGGAGGGAGAGAGACAGAGAGAAGGAAGGAGAGAGGGGGAAGGAAGAGAGAATGAGAAAGGAAGAGAGAAAGGGAGGAAGGTAGAGAGAGGAGGAGGAAAAGAGAAAAAGAGAGAGGAGGGACGTAGAAAGGGAAGAAATGAAAGAGGGGGAGGGAGGGAGAGAGGAGGAGGAAGGAGTGAAGGAGGGAGAGAAAGAAGGAGGAAGAGGGAAGAAAGATGGAAGGAGGAAGGGACGGAGGGAAGGAAGGAGAAAGATACGGAGGAGGAGGGAAGGAGGGCGGGAAATATACGCATACCACACAGGCAAGCCCATCTCCATTCCACAAGTGCAGTGGCTCATGCTGCCCAGGACCATGGCACCTGTGCACCCCAAGTCCATAGTGAGCTTGGACCACAGACCTGGTTGGCTCAGATAGCAGAACCGAGCCCAGGCAGAGCCATGAACTTGGAGTATTTGTGGGACAGGACTGAGCTGGCTTACTGCCTGTCTCTGGTTGTCTCAGACACATTTTGGGGCCTTGATTCTATTCTTTCCCTGGAGGAACTAGAGCTGGGGATCCTATTAAAGTCGCTGTCCTGGGAAGGGGAGAATATGTTTTGCAGAGCTCACCCACAGCCTGGACTACCCTGCTTCAGGCCACCTGCTGTTCCCTGAACCACAGCACATTATCCTGCTTACAGCCAGTGGAACCAATGGCCTTGAAATAATGGGGAGCTAGCCGGGGCTGGGTATGCAGAGAGGCCTGGCTTGTGACTTCTGTACAGCTGGGCACTGGCAAGTAAGGCGGCTCCCAGATCCTCATCCTGGAAGTAGCTAGAGGGGCCAGGACTCAGCCCAAGAGAGGCCTAGAATGTTCTGGGTGGGGTGGCCCTCTGGTCTGACTTCCTAAGACAGGAGAACTTGTGTCAGGCAGGCAGGAAGAGATACCTGCACCAAGGTCCATGTTGTCAGAGACAAAATCAACATGCCTTTCAAGCCATGACCAGCAGTGGTCCCTGACATCTATCTTTGCTTCCTGAAGCCCAGTGTCCACACTGAGGCTCTCTGGGAGGTATGACACCATCTAGGGCCACCCCACTTGGGGGTCCTATGGGTATAGGCCCCATGTAGCCCTACTTCTGACCTTTCTAAAAGTGGCCTGTGACCACAGAAAGTTCACCTCCAGGGGAGATGTTAAATGAGGCCTGCTCCTCCCCACTGAAGGAGAAGCAGGACTTCCTCCCCGGGTTCCTGAGTTTAGCAAGGCAGGGAGATTGTTTTTGTGTTTCCCTGTCCCAGGGCACCCAGCTGAAGCTGAGGCAGGTGTATTTGGTCCCACTTCTCCTGCATCCTCACTGATGGCGGTGACACAGGTGTCCACCAATAACCCTCTTGGCTGGTCTGGGAGTTGGCACATGTCTCCGAGATCTTCAAGCTGGCACTGCAAATCCAGTCAGCCTCAGGACAGCCCTCTCTCTGAGGCCATGGCTGCTGTGGGTGGAGAGTGTGGATAGTCCTTTCAGGGCACGGGCAGGTGCTTCGGGGAGCAGCCTCTACAGATACCCCCCCCAACAGCTATGATAATCGGAATTCAAACTCAGTTTTCCAAAACGGGGAAACTGAAGGCTCCAAGCAGCAGCAGGGTATAGATCTGGATGTCACGTTATACTTATATATACACGCATGCTCACATGCACACACACACACACACACACACACACACACACACACACAGAGGGAGGGGATTGTTCACCAAGACCAACCCACAGACCACACTGCTCTGACCTTGACCACAGGAAACCTTGACCAGGGTAGCCACCTCCTGCTCCTTGTTCTGGGTGTAGAGCCCTCAGAACTAAGGGCTGTTGGGAGGAGCCAGCTCCACCTGCTCCGTATGCCCCACAGACGACCCCAGACAATGACAGTGGCTTGAGCTTGCCAGGTAGATGGATAAAGGCCAAGCTCCCGGGAGGTTGCAGAGCCTGGGACGGAGCACCTTCCCAGCAGCCAGCTCCTGCCTCTGTGTGGCTAGTTCCGGGGCCTTGAGTGAAACCAGCATCACAGAAGCCTGAAAGAGCAAAGACTATCTAGTTATTTCTGCCTCCATTTTCTCTATATAACAGGAGCAGCCCATGGGTGTTGAGGACTAGGCCCATCTAGGCTTTCCCTGAGGCCCTGATACATGGAGAAAGAAAATAGTTTCTTGTCTAAAACCTGTAATATGCTTATCAAGGCTAGCAATGGCCTGGAGCCAGGGCCTCGGAGAGCTGTGGCTTCATCCAAGAACTCAACTCTTCCCACCCTAAGGGGCTATGGTTACCAGTCCCAAGGCTACCTGTGTGTTCAGGCTCTGATGTCCTTGAGATATCCCATGTTCCCCTTGTGCAATATTGCTTGGTTAGCTTCTCAGGACTCAGTCTCATTATATGATAGCATGTTTGAGACCGTCTCACGTCTCCTCTAAAAACTGTATATAAGATGCTCTTCTCCTCCTGTTTCTCCTTCCCCTCCTTCTTTTTTCCTTTTTTTTTTTTTTTTTTGGAGACAGGGGTTCTCTGTGTAGCCTGGCTGTCCTGGAACTCACTCTGTACACTAGGCTGGCCTCGAACTCAGAGCTCTGCCTGCTTCTTTCTTCCTTCTGAGTGCTGGGATTAAAGGTGTGTGCCACACCCGAGGCCCCCAGCTTGCTGTACTTCATAACAAACTTGCTTGGCATAAGTCATCAGCTTGTGTATGACCTCTTGACCCCAGATTTCCTGTCTTCTTTATCTTCTCACCTCCTAGCCCTCCCTCTTAGGACCCTATCACTGAAGAATGGTCCGCTGGCCCAGGTCTCATGTGTAGCCTGCGTCTGAATGTTGCATTTCTGTGTGTCATACTTTTATAGCTGGACATAGCTGGTCCCTCCACTCCATCTGAAAGCCAGCAAATGAGGAGGCCTCTGGTCACTGTAGCTCCCAACTCCCAACTGTGTCACCAGTCTAGGCAGGAGGACAAGGGTGAGTAAGGGTGTCTGGGAAGTGGAAGACCTCCTCATGGTTACCTAACAGTCCTGCCGAGGTCTCCTCAAGCTCCTGGGCTTCACTGGGGCTTCTCGGTTCTTTGGGCAGGTACCCTCACCAAAGCATGAAGTGCAACGTTATGCAGAGGCCTCCTGAGCAGTTCTAACCCTGGCAGCTATCAAAACTCAGCATCAGAGCCACCCTTGATCTACACCCTCTGCTAGACAAGAGCTGTGTTGCAACCCAGGAAGTGGTGAGAGCAGCAGGCCCCTAACCCTGTGAGGCCTAGGTTTTCCTTCCCTGAAGATTCCCTTGGGGACTATGGCATCTAATGAAGGAGTGAATAAAGACCTCACTTCGTGATGAATAAAGCACTTGTGATGGAAAAGTATCTACATTATACATGTCCCCATGAGAAGTGACATGGCAAAAGGAGAAACAAGAAACAAAAGGCAATTTAGGCAGCCTATGTGGTAACACAGATGTAATCCTAGCACTTGGGAGGTGAAGACCCGAAGACTAGGAGTTCAAAGCCAACCTCAGCTACATAGTGAATTCAAGACCAACTGGAGGTGCATGAAACTCTGTGCCCCAAAAGGGGGGAGGTGGTAATGTAAGAAAGCCAGCAGAGATAGGGTGAGTCTACAAGAGGCAGGTGGTGGGTGGCTTCCTGTCTCAAGTCACAGCACATGGGACTCCTGGCTGACAGCCAAACAGGCAAAGACTGGCAGAGCCCCAGGGTGGTTTGGAGGGAGAGTAGATGGAGTTTTAGGGCCACCCCTGTCTCAGGCAAACAAAGATAAAGGATGTGGTAATCTCAGGTGCTCACAGCCCCGCTTTGAACTTTTTCACCAAAGCCCAGTGTCAAGATGGAGTCACTTCTGCCTTTACACATTCACAAAAGAACCAGGGGCAGATGGGCTCCAGGGTGCTGGAACATTGTTCCAAGATCAAGGAGCTCTGGGCAAAGGAATAGGGGCCAACAGAAACAGAGCGAGCAGCTGGCTTCAGAACACTGGATCTAGGATTCAGAGCTCTGTGCAGACACAGGGATGAGGGATGCCCTAATTCCTTTTTGTTGCTGTGATAAAAATACTTTGACCACAAGCAAGATAGGGAAGGAAAGGGTTTATTTCAGCTTACAGGTTACAGTCATTTTTGAGGGAAGAGAGGGCAGGAGCTTGTAGAAAAGATGGAGGAACCCTCACTCTCCCACAGGCTTATGCTTGGCTAGTTTTCTATACAGCCCATGACCACCTGTCCAGAGAATGGCGCTGAGCACAGTGGCATGGGCCCTCCTACACTGATTAATCATCAAGATATTTCCCCATAAACACACCCACAGGATAGTCTGGTCCAGGAAGTTCCTCAGTTGACTTAATGCTGAGTAAAACTGACAAAGTTAATTAGGACAAATGGCCCACAGGAATAGATGGAGGAGCTGGGTTCCAAAATACTACATTTGGGATCCTAGAGCTCCAGACCGGTGAGAAACCCTGTTTTAAAGGAGGTGGGTTGTAGGATGACAGCTGAGGTCTTCTGACCTCTGCTCAAACACCCAAAGGAACACACACACACACACACACACACACACACACACACACACACACACACAGAATGAAGAGGAACGTATTCAACTCAGTTTTAGAAAATAAAGGAGAGATGGGGGCATGAGGGTCAGAAGTTCAAGGCCATTCTTGAATGAATTTCAAGCCAACCTGGGCTACATTAAAAACCTGTCTCCAGGGCTGGAGAGATGGCTCAGAGGTACATGCAGGCAGAACATTGTATACATAATAAATCTTTTTTTTTTTTTTTAATTAAAACAAAGGAAGAAGGCTGGAGAGATGGCTCAGAGGTTAAGAGCTCTGGCTGCTCTTCCACTGAGTTCAATTCCCAGCAACCACATGGTGGCCCACAACCATCTAGAATAAGATCTGGTGCCCTCTTCTGGCAGGCAGAACACTGGATACATAATAAATAAATAATTTTTAAAAAGGAAAGAAATTACTTCTCAAGGTCCCAAAAATTATTAGTGTTTCTGTCTCCATTTCCAACATTCCTGAGGAGAGTTCCATCATGACAGTGAGAAGAGTGAACATGACCTCACACTGGTATGGGAACCTGTTCACCAGTCCTTCACTTGCTAGCTGCTTCACTCTCTCAGTTATTCAGTCATTCACCCAACAAGTGCTTGCTGGCCTCTTTTGGCTACTACAGACATAGCTGCTCTTTTTATTATGTCTAGAATGTTCTGCCTGCATGTGTGCCTGCATTAAGGCCCAGTTTTCAGGGAGCTGCTGTGGTGATGCTGTAAAATAGCACTGTGAGGCTGATCTATGGCTTCCTCCTTGGCCTATTCCTGAAGCAGTCAAGGCACTTTAGTGCCTTTATCTTCCCCAGCAGTGCCAAGCGGTAGTGGGTTCCAACCTTCTTAGATCCCACACAGACCATCTCTGGACTGGCTGCACGGGTAGGTCAGTGTTCACTGGGATCCTGGGGAAACCCAGCAGGAGAAGGCCCGTCAGCTCCTTATTCCAGTGTTGGCTGCCTTGATGCCAGGAGGGTGAGTAGCCCAGAAGCTCTGTTTCCCAAGGAGGGCACATACCCAGCACGATCCAGGGCCTGATCTGAGCTCTGTACATCACCCCGTATGGGCCAACTCTTTACCCAGAAATCACTTGTTGGATGATGACGGGGGACCTGACCCCAGCTTTATGATAAGGACCCTGGCTATGCCACCAGCCTGCTCTTCCCTGAAAAAGGACTAGAAGACTGCCTGCTTGGAGCTCAGAGTGACCTTGGCCTTCACTTGCTGCCCCCCCCCCAAGGCTTCAAGCAAATCCTGTCACACCAACTATGTGCAGTATCCTCATACAGAGGGAAGGCCTGGACCCCAGGCAGCAGAGATAGGGGCTTCACGGAGAGTGCAGGAGTCAGCAGCCACCTGGCTCCAGCCACTCGGCACACCTGGGCTACCTGTCTCAGCCTGGCTTTACCCCTCACTGTAGGAGTGTCACAGAGACCCGCTCCACGGGGCCTGGGATTCACTCAGCCATGTGGGGCCTGGGAGGGATCTAGTACTCCCATTTGAGGTCCCATTTATGCAAAATACAATGGAGACCAGACACAGCCAGCACTGGGTTGGCTGCCCAAGGGTTATCTCCTGAACATCTCCCAAGGTCTCCCAGTATCCAGGCGGAGGGCACCTTCAGTTGTTTTATTTTGTTTTATTCAGGGGCTTGAACTGTAAGCTCTGGGTGACTGAGTGCATTTGGGAACCTCAGCTGAAACAGCTTCAGACAGGCCCAAAGGGCAGGGATGTGAATGGAGGGGCTGATTCAGGACCTGCTCCTCCCCACAGAGCCATCCCACCAGGGTCCTATGCAGTGACCACGCCCCATTCACCCCTCTCTACAACCCTACCATCTGCAGAGGGCCACCTGTGCCTGAGTGACAAAGCTAGAGTTGGCGGGAACTGGGAAGTGAGTTTTGAATCATTGTTGACTACACACACTTGGAGTTAGTGGAGCTGGCCAGCCCACCCTCTCGTTTCAGAGTCCAGTGGCCTACCCAGCTCACACCCTTTCTGCTCAGAGAGCAGAACAATTTCTCTCAGGCCCTGTATTGAAGAGAGCCCCTGTGCAGAACTTCCTGCAAAGGAAGATTGTATGGTTCCTCCACCCCTACAATCGACTATAATTTGCCCCAGCACAACGCATGCCTTTGGCAAGACTGTGTCCACCTATGTCAATAGAAAAACAGAACTATTGGAGAAAGATAGAGATAGGCAACTTGGGCCTCTCCAAAGCCATCTAACTTCTAGGGTTTGTTCATTTCACTCCTGCTTTGGCAGAGGTCCCTGGGCCTAACTCATGTATGTGGCAGATATCAACAATTACTAATCTGCTCACTCACTCTGGAAATGGAAAGGGTGTCTGCCACCTGAGACCTGACCTCAGGGAAATCACCTCACAGGATCAGCCAGCCCCTCAGCAGCTATAGCCCCAGGAGGCCAATCTCATAGGACTGGGTGCCTCCATTCCCCTCTGTCTGGAATGTGGCTCAGCGGTTGCCGGCCCCAGGCCTGGCCACCACTGTGTGTGGGATTGTTGGGCAGGGGACTTCCTCATTGGTTGGTATGCTGTGGGCTAGGCTAAGTGGTTTGTAGCCCAGGTCCCAGAGACTTACAGGTTAGACTGAGAAGTCCCTTCCTAAAACACAAAGATCTCAAGTCCCTCCATTATAACGCAGATGGTGGTAACGGACATTTCAGTAGCTCTTCCTCCTGCTCCACCTCATGACCACAGCTATCTACTTCCATTCATGGTAGGTGGGTGACAGCACACAGCGCCACAGCTTGTTCCGGTCATTCCCACTGAGCTGCCATAGCTGCTCTTCCTCAGCCCCACTCGTCCAGGCACCACCACAGAGAGGGGGATCAACACAGTCCTCTGCCTGCTGACCCACATTCAGTTACAGAAGTTCCCAGATCTCCTGGGACCCTCTGCCCTAGGGTGGCACCACGCCTGCCTTCAGCGGACATCAGTCAGGAGGGGCTGACTAACCAGAAGCCACATATAAAAGATCTCAAGACCTTTTCCTGCCACATAGGCTGGGTGAGGGATGTGGAAAGGCTACCAGGGCCCATTCTGGGGCTGGGGTCATGAAGGGAAATTCCATAAGAAAAGCATTTTCTGTAAGAGCTACCTGAACACAGGAGCCCTGCACTCACCCCTCTCAGTCCCAGGAAGCCTCCACTCTGTGAGTCTGGGTGACTGGCTATGTCTTTGCTTGCTTCTTTCCAGCTGGCTCTGTGGTTATGTCTACAGAGCACAGCGGCTGAGGCCCCAGCCTGATGCTTCCTGTTCTAAGTCAGCACCCAGGCGGAAGTTGAGTGACATAGGGCTGGTTGGCCCACATGTGGGTCTCACCCCAGCCCCTTTACACGTGGGATGTTAGAGAAGAGACACTGACAGAGGGTGGGACCTGTAGGTGCTGACAAGCTTTTGCCGCAAGAGAGGAGGGGCTGCTGTTGGATGTAGCGGTCGCTGAAGGCATCAAGGGGCTCTCTAGCATGTCAAGAAGACGTAGGGACGCAGGGAACAGAAAACAGGCTGATTTTGTGGGCTCTCAGTGTGGGAGAGGGACCCAGCTTACAAGGGAACGGGTGGAGGCGGTAGCCCACTGAAGGAAGCAGGTGAGTGGGAGGAAGGAGGTTGGGGGAAGGTTCCTGGGCAGAAAATATGGGGCACAGAGTGATGAGCTAAGTCACATTGTAGGTACTCAATCACAGTCTCCACATGACAACTTGTAAGACCAGAGGGAGCAGAAAGAGAGATGAGGAGTGGGAACCTTTTAGTCCAAGATTGGAGATGCTCAGCTATGTTGAGAAACCGTTGTCAATTTTTTCAGTGATGACGTTTCATGGTCACACCTCACTACCCCCTATCTTTAGAATTTTACGGGCTGAAATGTTTGCAAATGGTACGATACAATATTTCAGATTTTCTTCATTGTGATCAGGATGGGGGTTGGCGTTGGGTGTGGCTACAAGAATGGCCATGAGTTGACCACCGTGAAAGTGTGATGGTTGGAGACCTGGGCGTCTCCATATGCTACTATTCCTATACATTATATATTTCATAGAATTTTTAAAGAAATATTTACATGAAGATAAAGCTGTTGAGTGGGGATAGTTTCAGTTTTGCAGGATGTTCTGGTGATGGTGGTTATGGGGGCTGCAAGAAGGTGAAGTTAACACCCTTGAACACAGTTCAGTATTTTTCTCACAGTTGAAAAAAAAAGTGCAAAAGAGACCATCAGATGAACCAATAAAAGAACAGTGTTAGAAAGCAGGCGAAATGGTTCATACTTGTATTACCAGCATTTAGGAGGCTGAGGCAGGAGGATTACTGTGAATTGAAGATCAGCCAGGCAATACTGCAAGATCCTATATCAAAAAAGATCAGAGACTAAGATTAAGGAAGGAAAGATCTATGCATATATGTAGAAAATACTAACAAATACCACCCAGGAATACCACAATTCAGAGGCCAGAGAGATGGCTGGGGGGTGGGGGGCAGTGCTTGCTGCATGTACTTGAGGACCCGAGTTTAGATCCCCAGAAGCCACTTCTAAGGCTGGGTGTGGCTGTGTTCATCTGTAAGTCCAGAGCTGGGGATCTGGAGGCAGTAGGATCTTTGAGGCTCACTGGTCAGCCAGCCTAGCTAATTGGTGAGCTCCAAGTTGTTCAATAAAGAGATTCTGTCTCAAAAAATGAGGTGGAGGGGGAAGACACCTGATGTTGACCTCTGGTGTGCTCTCTCACAAGCATACAAACACGGACAGACGCCACACTGCACAGAGAGACACCACAATCTATATTGCTTTTCAAACTTCACAAACTATAAACTGATACAGGAGCAAAACGATGGAGCCACAGACCTGCAGTAGGCTTTAGCATGGGGTCAGTGGTCATTCCCATCATTGAAACCAAACACCTGACAAGGAGAAATTTAAGGGGCGGGGGATTCATTCTGACTCACAGGGGATATGGGCCATCGTGGCAAGGAAGCCTTGGTGACAGGACAGGCTGCCTGTGGTGTGTGTTGGGGATGGGAGATTTAGAAAAATAACCCCTAAAAAGATTTGTTTATTTATTTTATGTCTATGAGTGCACACCAGAAGAAGGAATCAGATTCCATGACAGATAGTTGTGAGTCATCATGTGGTTGCTGGGAATTGAACTCAGGACCTTGGGAAGAGCAGCCAGTAAGTACTCTTAACTGCTGAGCCATCTCTCCAGTAATCCTTTTTTTTTTTTTTTTTTTTTTTAGCACAAAGGTGAGATTCTTTTCAAACAAGTTTTATAGCAAAAAAGAGAAATAAACCCACTTTAATTTTATGCAAATGATCTGATCATCTGTTTCTTGAAAGGAAATGTACAGATAGCCAACATATATGAAAATATGCTAAGCATCCCTATATCACAGGGGAAATACAAATCAAAGCCACAGGGCATGGAGAAGTCCCCTTGCCCCATCGGAGTGGCTATTACAGGGCAAAGAATGGCAGATGCAGTGAGGGTTTGGAGAAGGGGGGACCCTATGAAGTTCTGGTAGGGATGCCAGTTAGCATGTCTAATATGGAGAAACAGAACTTCCTCAAAAACCCACAAAATGGAACTAGCATACCCGCTGATGTTCACTGGGCAAATATCAGTGATAGGAAATTAGTGTGCTCTATGCACAACAGCAAAACAAAACAAAACAAAAGAAAACAGAACCAAATGTGGAGTGTGTTGATGGATGAATGGGTAAAAAAAAATATGGCCCATACACATGATGAAATATTACTCAGCCACACACACACACACGGAAAGTAGGTTCGTGAAATTATAAATCATTATAGTAAGTGAAATAAATCAGACAACACACACACACACAGAGAACCTCTTGTTTCTTGATTATGTGGGGAAGCTAGAAGTTGATCTCGAGGCTGGGCATGGTGGCACACGCCTTCAGTACCAGCACTCAGGAGGGCAGAGGCAGGTGAATCTCTGACAGTTTAAAAACAGCCTGGTATACAAAGCAAATCCAGGACAGCCAGGGCTATGCAGAGAAATCCTGTCTTGAAAAGCCAAAAAAAAAAAAAAAAAAAAATTATCTCAAAGGAGAGAGCAAAGCAGGGCATAAGGACTTACACCTATGATACTATCACTTGAGAGGCTAAGGTTGGAGGATTGCTAGCAGGCTACGCAGTGAGTTCCAGGCCAGCATGAACTATAGCATGAGACCCTGTCTCAAACAAACAAAACAAAAGAAAAAAGTAAACAAAGGGTAGAAGAGTGGTTAGCAGAGGCTGGGATGTGGGAGAGGAGGATTGTTACAGAGATGGATGGGCCGGTTCTCAGCATCATGGATCTATCTCATCTCAAGTTGTAAAATACTCCTGTTAAGTGTTTAGTGTATGGATTGTAATCCCCTGTAGCAGCCATTGAAGCTTACTGTGTTAGGCCCCATGTCCAGGAAACGTAAAAATTAATTAATTAAAATAAAACCACTTTTACTGTATTCATTGTGAATCTCATTACTCTGATAAAATGCCTACAAATGGCTGCTTAGAAGAGGAAGGGTTTATTTTGGCTTACGGGATTTGTTTCCTTTGTTTGTTGGTTGGTTTTGGGTTTTTGAGACAGGGTTTCTCTGAGTAGTCCTGGAACTGTCCAGGAATTCTCTCTGGTCTCAGACTCAGAGATCTGCCTGCCTCTAGCTCTCAAGTGCTGGCTTGCTTTACAGTTTAAGAAGGGACACGGTCCATCATGACGAGGAAGCTTGGCAGGAGTGTGAGGTCCCTGGTCCTTTTGCATCCATAGTCAGGAAGCAGAAATGAATGCCTGTGCTCAGCTCATTGCTTCCTTTCTATTCAGTCCAGGACTCCAGCTCATGGGATGGTGCCTCCGATATTCAGGTTGGGTATTTCCCCCTCATTTAACTTAGTCTAGAAAGTCACTCACAGACACACTGTGGTGATTTGAATGAAATTGCACACACACACCCCGCTCCCCGGCTCTCCCCTCAGCTCCTAGTCCCCCTACTCACCCCCCATCTCTACCTCACCCCCATCACTCACAGGCTCACTTATGTGAATAGCTGATCCCTGGTTGGTGGCAGTGTTTTGGAAGGTTATGGAATGTTTAGGACGTGGGGCCCTGCTGGAGGAAGTGAGTCACTGGGGGAGGATTTGAGGGCTTCATAGCCTTGCCCCATTTCCTGTTTGCTTTCTGTGCTCTGTGTTTGCAGTTGAGATGTGATCTCTTGGCTTCCTGCTCCGGCCCCATGCTCCCACGCCACCCCAGCATTATGGACTCCCTCTCTAGAACTGTAAGCCCAAATAAATGTTTCCTTCTACAAATAGCCTAGGTCATAGCGGTTTTTTCACAGCAACAGAATTAACTCATACACCCAGAAGTCTGTCTCCAAGGTGACTCTAAGACCTGTCATTTGACAATAAGCACTCACTGTCGCATCTATATAACAATCATCGAGAGACAGTTCCTGGATAGAAATGTAGCAGTATAAATATTCACACTGAAAAAGGTGAAAATGGAAAAAAAGAAAGGGAAAAATGGAAAAACAGGAGAGATCAACAAAAAACAGAATTCTAAGCCACGGAGTTCAGCCCAGCCACCTCGACAATCATCACACAAAGTGCCAATGGCTCATGGCACCAGTTTCAAGACAGATATGGGCAGATGGGATTTCAAAACCTGAGTCTTTACTTCCAGAATGAAGCCAGCCCCAAATGTGGCAATGCAGGTAGATTAAGAAAGTGCAGGAAGGGTTCACTTCTGAACCCAGGGGAGATGAGACTGGCATGCTGAACTGCTCAGAGTTGACAAGGCAAGGACGGTTGGAAGTTGTGGGAGACTGGAAGGAGCCAAAATAATCCAACCTCTTGACAGCTGATGAGGGCTTGAAAAACAGGAAAGCGTGCAGTGGGAGACAGGGCAGGGGCAAAGCTGAGCACTCAACCTGACTTTGAGAACCTGGAATGGATGGCTGAGCAGGACTGCAGGATTTTTAGGCGTGAGCGGAGCACAGCCGTAATGACACAGCAGGGGAGACACCACCCCCTGCCTAGAGGCTCAGTTGTATTGGTGTGTGTGAGTGTGTGTGTGTGTGTGTGTGTGTGTGTGTGCGTGTGCGTGTGTGTGTGTGCGTGTGTGTGCAGGTTCGAGCTTGCCTCCTTTCACCACCTTCCTTCTCTCACGCTCCCTTCTGATTTCCCACAGGGCTTCCACACAGGGATACTCTAGGGCAGGCAGGCCAGCACCT